AGAAAGATCCTTCGCGTCCTGGTGGAGGATTCTTCGTTGCGCATGGTGAGGCTCGCAGTGGTGATTACGAGGGTGTACCTCTGGGCACGATCGTGACGTCATCTGATGATGAAGCAGAAGGTTCGTCTTAATGCAGCGACTAGAATCCATAGACGCGACTAAGCTGGTTGATTGCTAGCGGGGGTTACCGAGAATTCGCAGCGCTGCGGGTCATCGATGGTCACTATAACCCCACTTCCATCTACGCGTGGCGATGGGGCTAGCTTCCCTAATATGAACCCTGTTTTAAACAGTGTCAAGAGGGACACGCCTAGTAGCGTGCAAGTTCTTAACGTGCTTGACGTTCCGCAAGCATCAAATACGCTGGAGCAATTTGCGATGGCCGATGTTGGCCTCCTTGAGGGAATTCCTGGAGGTATGTTTGACTGGGGTATGTTCTCCGTTGAGCTCTAAAATGCGTGATGGTGCTTTAATTGGGTGTTAGGTCAATGGGACTCGTTCTTCTCTCGGTTCAATCCATCTGTCACTGGTGTTGAAAATGCAGGGGGACAACGACAAACAGAGGTAAACTCACCGTCGTCGATGGTCCAGTCTGGTCAGGCCACACAGACTCTATAGTTAGCATGGACACGGCATTCCGCGTTATGCCTCATGCCAACGATCATTATGGTTCCGAAGTATGGAGGAACTTTCTATTTTATTTTGATTGTATTCTGTCTTCTACCTGTTGTTTCTTTCGCTAGTTAAACTAGTGTGTGTTTTTATAATCTAAAAAACCTGCGAACTTTGGAATGACATACATACGCCACACTGTATCTACGTAACGGCAGCTCGTTTGAACTTTGAATTCTCCAATGTTGGCCCACTAGAAGGAGTGAAATGATCACATGATACCAGGATATCTAATTAATCTTGTTCTCGTACCAAGCATCAAACTCTGGTCCTAGGTTGCGACGAACGACGCTCGGACTGACTCGGGCTTGCATGATGTAAATCTCAATCGAAACATCAAGGGTGCGATCGGCGATCGTGAGTCACAGCGTCGCCAAGTCGCTATCAATGGTCCGCACTAGTAATACTTGCGTTTCGACACAAAAAACAACACATACCTTGTATGTCCAGCCTGCAGATCCAGAGGTGGGAATGGACGAGGTGGAGTGGGGAAGAGAGAAAAGTTTCAAGGCAAGATTCGACCCTGAAGGGCTCAGACCATTTTGGTACAGAAGAATAGAAGCAAGACCGTTTCCGGCGGATCACTCACGTTTGAGAACTCCCGCAACCTACTATAGTACTTGATGGACAGACCACTCTTTCACTTTCCTCTTGCAGATCCCAGGAGGGTCTAAAAAATAACTAATAGGCCGCCAGACAGTTGGAATGAAACCTATCTTGGTCGGAGCACCAAATATCAACCGACCCGTATGTTTTCCTCCAAAACTTTCATGTCAATCGTTAACAGTGCATACTAGACTTATCATAATAATCGCTGGTCGTTTACATCACTAGTGGTGCTTTCTTATGGAACAAATTGCCAGCAATTCTCCAAAGCAACCACCGAGAATCTCACAGCTTCTTCCTACTGTAAAATGTTCAAGCTGCTTGCAGCCAGTCCCGCTCGCTGACCTCGGTGACCACGTATGTTCACCACAACCTCCTCCTACCTTACCGTCCCTTCAGAAACCGCCCATGTCGCCAAAATCAACAAACTCTCTTTTACCACAGAGGTTGCAGAATATTCTTGTTTCTAATAGGGCTGGGGCGCTACAACAGCAGCAACCCGTTACTTCCCGCACCCCGCCCCCTCATGCTCATCCATCCAGGTCTTCCCAACATGATCCTTTTCAGCGAATACCCCCAACTGTGCATTATAATCAAGGTGCTACTCGCACCAACAGCCCGGCTAGTCCTCCGATACCACAATCTATTCTTCTCAACGGAGGAACATCAACTAATAAACCCCATGTTCATTTTCCAACCCAATCCGCTGCTCCCATTCGAATAGCAACTCCTCCCGTACCCACCAGGACCCATACTCCTTCAAATACGGGAAGTCCTAGTTCCAGATCACCCCTTAGTGTGTCATCTTTCCCCAATCCTTTTGAAGATGACCTACGTCAGTCGGGTGCATCTGAACGAACTGCATCACCAGCTCGGAGAGAAAATCTATCCGTTACACCCCAGGCGCCGCCCTCATCATCCAGGACAAGAACGCCATCAAACGCCCCTTCCCACACTTCTATCATTCCACCGAGTCTCACTCCGCGCGCGTCGTTTGATCGCTCACGTATATCTTCTACTCTTACGCCTAGGCCATCACTGGAAAAGCCTCGCCCCTCTTTTGACACTCCTTCTAGACCTTCGTTTGATACACAACGTCCTTCCTTTGACGTATCTCGATCTCATCATCCTACCGATGTACGACCGCAGCCTGTGTCAGTCCCGCGTCCACCCCACAGTACTTCGACACTCCCTCCACCAGGGGGTGTATCCCTTCCGTCGTCTGCCCCTACACCACAATTACAACCACCACCCGCAACCCGCTCGCCAGTGCCAGATAGTGAACGTAATATTGACACAAAATGCGGAGGTGAGGCTGGTATGGCTGGCGTTGGACGGAGAGGGTTTGCAGCTGTGGCACGAGCTGCGATGGTTGCTGCATCTCATTCTCAGCTGGACAGTCGTCGAGCAAATGCTCCCAAGTATCTGGACCTCAACACCGCCATGAACCATGTCATGCGAGGTAAGCACCTTCCTTGCGACACCTTTATCATACATCTTTGGTGTTTATATTCCTTCGTCCCATATATAATTATATGGATTAACCTACTCTGTTTTACGGCAGTGGACTGTACGATAAATTTTTACCTTTTAAAAATAAATCATTTTGCATAACTGTTGATTTGTCTCCACTTTTGTTCATTCAATATGTACTCACTGGTTCTGTATTTACAGCCGCAATGACACCCCCGCTCTCTCCAAACTCGGGATACTCTCATTCACCTGTCTCTCCTCACCCCGTGTCGCCGTTGTCGCTTCACAACACAACACCGACCACTGGACAGTTTCCAAAGACACCACTCACACCTCATGACAAGGCTGGGATGCAGTTCCTCTCATCATCCCTAAATCAGAAACCCGCTCCTCTTTCGTCATCGCCTGCTGATATCCATATTGTCACTCCATCACGATCGCCCTCGCCCATTTCGAATCCTTTCTCCCGACATCTCAGCGGGGAAACTGTGAATCAATCACCGTTTGCAGCTGTTCCTGTTCGCCTACCATTTCTCGACGCATTTGATAAAGGACCTGTAAAACACAGTTGCGATGATTCTGACGATGAAAGTGTATACACGACGCATACGGCCGAACCAGGCAGGGGTCATAGAGGCGGTACAGAACCCATGTCCCCGTCAACTGATTCAGACGTGGGGCTAGCCTATGCGGATGATTCTGACAATGACACGCCTGTGGTGATGCCACTCGATATACGCAAGTCAAATGCAGTATCTGGGATCAACAAGGTCCAATTTCCAAGTATCGAAGATAGACATCAGTCTTTCACGGTTCAGAAGCCGCCATCGCGGAAAGCTTCAGCTTCGTCTGCTCCTACTGCATCCACCTCGCGAACTATTGATGCCGGAGCCAGCCGCACGCGCAGCGCCTCGGCTGGCACCCACACGACAACACGATCTGCTGGAGCGTTAGAACGTGCAATGGAAACACTGATTGAGGAAGGAGCATCTGTCTCGGTCCTCGCTTCAGGTTCAGTGCTCGCCTCAATGGCTGGGCCCTCAGGGAGTCGCGCTTCAGGAAAGCCCATTCGGTCGAATACAGTACCGGGCCCTGTATCACCGGAAAGTAGACCACCGAAGCTACCAGCGCGGTCCTATACGAGCCCGCACCATCCGCATATTCATTCCGAACCCCCAGGTATAACGGGTCAAGTTGCGCGAGTACGGGAACGGTCCAATACAAAGAAGGACCGCATTTGTGCGAGCTGCGATACGAAGGTCGACGATGGGAGGTGGATTCAGATGGACGGCGGGAATATCCTGTGTGAACGATGCTGGAAGAATATGTATCTTCCCAAGGTATGTATCGTGTGGCTGATTGCTGTTTTCATCTAAGAAGTTTCATTATAGTGCCGCCGGTGTAACCTTCCCATTGAGAAGCAGGCTGTGTCGTCTTCCGACGGTCAACTGAAAGGCAAATATCACAAGAACTGTTTCAATTGTCACGTCTGTCAGGTGGGTTGTGTGGTCTTTACAACCGTGGCTGGTTTTTGACTGTCACCTTGCAGAAACCGTTTCCAGATAAGGAATTCTACGTGTTTGATGGCAAACCACTATGCGCATACCACTACCATGAGGCGAACGACTCCCTCTGCGCTGCAGCCTCATGTGGCCAGCCAATAGAGGGTCCTTGCGCTGTCACTCATGCAGGAAGGCGCTATCATCCAGACCATCTTCTTTGTGAGTTTGAGAATGGCTGCGGAGAGCGGTTGGCAGAGTATTGGGAGGTAGATGGGCAGATGTTATGTGAGAAGCATGCTGCATTGGTTGGGGGCAGCAGCTGTGCCTCCTCGAGAGGCGATAGTCCTGACCCGCAACGTATACGTGACGAGGGGCGCGCGAGGAGGCGTATGACGCGGTTCATCGACCTTGGGGCTGTAGAAGAGGAGGACGTTGACATCCGGTGAACATGATGGACTTGACATATGCATTAATTAACCTTATTCTTCATTTTTTTCTCATTCTTTTTCCCGGACCATTAGCAAGTGTACTCTCACATCTTCCACAGGTTATAATACCCTTACACTCCCTTGCAATCGATATACCGCATATTTCTTCTTCTTGATATCATTACGGGACTTTATGAGACATGGACAAGGCTTTTGCATCTTCTCTATCTCGTTTGTCGTCCAGGATTAGGACAGAGTTAATGTTTCCTCCTTAGTCATACATCTAGTAGCTGCACAACACATGTACTTGCACTGCAGATCGGCGCGTGATCTTAGGTTATCCTCACGCTTGACCAACATCATCCATCGGGCTTTACTAGCACTTTCGACCGAGCTCAGACGATATGTCCTTTTCTTTTCTTGCTCGGTGCTGTGAAACAGCAAGAAGTCCATTCTCTTTACTTGGTTCGTTTGTGCTTTATCGTCAACATCCAGTTTTTTTAACCACCGTTGTACGAAAGGTTCTGTGCGGACTGCTACCAAACGTGCTGGAGGAACAGTTCGAAACCATGGAGGATCGCCGGGTAAGCGTCTGGGTCTCAAGAAGTTTTCTGGTGCGTCCTTCTGTCTCGCACATGCGCCTCGCCAATGCTAGAGACCTACTATGCAGACCAGTATGTCATTCCCGGCAACATTATAGTACGACAACGGGGAACGCAATTCCACCCAGGGCAAAATGTACGCAGCCTTCCAACCCATTGAACAGCGATATTCATATGTTCCTCAGGTCAGAATAGGTCGCGACCATACTATCTATGCCACCACCCCGGGCTTCGTACGATTCTACAAACAAAAGTGGCTACGAGGAGACCGGAAGTTTATTGGTGTAGTTCTGCATCGCGGCGAGAAGCTTCCAAGGGATGAAACCTCGCTAGGTCGCAGTCGATTCTTTGGCCTCGTCGACTTGAATACTTTCGCTAAGAGCGGCCCATCATCACAAAACAGTGCATGAGTGGATTTTGATTCGCCCACGGTTTCAGGATGTCGGCTACACAACCGTCGTCGTATTTTCTAGGCCCGTTGCACTCACCATAGTACTGGGCAGTGCGCACTTTTTGCCATAATATTTTTAGCGCATCTTTTATATATAGATGATAAATCTCATATGCATTGCTATTGCTGGGTCTATCCCCATCATCTGAGGTTTCTTTTTGACCATCATGTCGTTTCAACTCTCCATTGACCCCGTTAGACCCGCAGGTACGTGTCGCTCTATTGGTTGTTAGTCATTGCACATGTGGAACTCTAGAATTCCCTGTTGAGGAAACTATCATTGAGCTTGGTCGTCAAGTATTAGAGTCCATCGATTCTTGGAAAGTAGGCAAGACCTTTTCAAAAGGCACTGTCCGAACGCTTTCTCGTGCAAAGGGACCAGGAGGCGGAGCCCCTTGGCATTGCAGAGTTTCCAATCACACCAAGGAGGATGCGACGTTCGATGAGTTTTGGAGCAAAATTGGCACTAACAAAGCTGAGAACGAGAAGGAGTAAGTTTCCCGTCGTCATCCAACAATAGCCTGAACGTTCATGCTATCAAGGTTCATCTCTGCGATCAAGAAAGTGACGCTAGTCAAGCGAATCTCAGAGACTCAGTCCATCTGGACGATGTACTACACTTTCCCTCCCCCCGTTTCTCCGCGTGTCTTCACTGTGTTGCAAACAATACACTTTCACGAGTCAGCTCCAAGAACTGGGTATGACTACTCGAAACCTGTTGAGCGTCCTCTGATATAGAGCATTTAGTTTGGTGGTTTCAATTCCAGTTGATTTGTCTGGGCCAGGTGATGAAGATCTTGCCAAGCTTGAAGAGAAAGGCACAAAGGGACGATATGTCTCCGTCGAACGCTTGCTCGAGTTGGATGACGGCAAAGTAGAGTGGCGAATGGCGACGTCCAGTACACCTGGAGGAAGTATTCCGACTTTCATCACGGAGGGCAGTATGCCAGGCCAAATATCTGCGGTGAATATTATATCGTCTCATGTACCGTGAATCGAGACTGATGTAACCTTACAGGATGTTCCACACTTCTTAAAGTGGTTCCATACCGTTCGCAATCAAGGAACTGCGTAACTCGATAGTTGAAATTAGACCGGACAGTAGATCGGACAATAGATGAGCAAATACATGCGCTTGTTCAAAGGCGAGAGATATGGTTGAACGTTCTGCATGCGTTACTGTTGTGCGAACTTAACACAATCTACACAATTTTGACATCCAATGTCGTTGGAAATAGGGCTTGATTACGAGTGAGAGGTGAGGTGCAATAGAGGTATGGGAGAAAGGGTTCAGAGTCAATATAAAATGGTATAACAGTACAAGTACCGTAGAGCGACGATGAAGCATCAAGTCTCGCGCTTTTCGTCACATTCGCGTTCAAGCTGCTCGATCCTACGGAGATGATTGTCCCTTTGAGCTTTTACCCTATTGAGATACTCCTCGTCGGATATTTTACGACCAAACATAGCGAATATTCGATCTGTGAGTGATCTGGGTGGTTCCGGGGCGGCGACGGGTAAGGAGTATGTTGGAACAGGTGCTGCAGGTATAGAAGGTACAGGCTGTGTATGCGCCACTCGGGATAAGTGAGTTATCCTCAGAATGTCGAACTCATTGAATGCCCATTGGAAGAGCCCGCACATCACTGCGCCCGTCGCTAGTCCAGGAACAGTTCCCGATCTTCCACCTATAATGGAATGAGAATTGTTGAGAGGCACAAGAGAGCGACTCACGTTTCCAGGTGTTGAGGATGCCACCAGCCAAGGCTCCGCTAATGCTAGAGTCAAGTACTTTACGAGAGCGAATGTCACCCCACGTTAACCGGGATACATCAGTAGGAGCCCCTTCTACAATTTCCTTGAGTCTCTGTCTGCGCAGTTCGTACTGTTTTCCTGGCATTGACAAAACGAGTACAGGACCAACTAGGTACTCTCGTATGCCTGTATGCCCAGTCAATTCTGTTGGATATTTGACGAAATGTGCATCATACTGAAGAATGTTGCAGACGCAATGCCGCTATTCAAAGCTGAAAATAATAATAGAGGTCCTGGTGGTTGCGATTTGACGACGCCATAAAACCCTGCAGTCAAACCGCAGACAGTAGCTAAGGAAGACAATTGTCAGCTTTATTAATTTGAGAATGGCCATGGTGGAAGACGGACTCGCATGTTATGAGTACGCCTTTGGCTACCGTCTGTGGGGCTGAATGATCCATCTTCACGCTGTGTGCAACAAGCCGAGCAAGCAAAGAGTAAGAGCAAGTGACTTGGTGAAATTTCTGTTTGTGACCCCCTAAACGGGGGTGGGTTTGTGTCGGTTAAACCAAGCTTAGACTTCGGACATGTTCCTTTTGGTACTTGCATAATGTTCAAACGTACGGCTGCTCAAGCGTTGCGATCCCGCCGCCTGTACTCTCGTATTTCATGTACGGCACAGGTAGCTAGAGCACGACCTGCTCGGTCTGTAGTCATAGCTTCTTCTGCAGCTGCTACCGCAGGCCTACTCTGGTATTCGTTTAGTACTACTATCCACAACGACGCTATCATGACACCAAAGCTAGAAGATATATCCAAGTCCGCCCAGAAAGCTTCTGCATCTAGTACTGGAGTCACGGAGGACGATGGAAGTATATGTGCAGTCGTGTGGGGTTCCAACCAGTGAGCTGTACAATCATATGTTTACTAGATGCGTATGCTCATGCTCACATTCAGGTACAACGTAATCAACCCAAACGAACCCGGAGTCCAACGGGTACAGTGCCCCGTAAATTCTAGTTGGCTAAAAGACGTCGCGCTGCGTGACTTGGCACTTCATGAGCGACATGCTGCTTGTGTAGATGCAAGGGGAGATGTATACCAGTGGGGTGACGGATTCTTTGGCTCAAGTTCCACATCAAAATCAGAGCCACAGGGACCGAAATTGACATTACGTGGTCATGTAAGACGTTTTGCCCTGTGAGAAGGCATTGTTACTCAGTTTATGATTTGGTTAGGACATCATTCAGCTTCAGCTCACCGAATCTCGAATATATGCTCTATCAGCTTCGGGAAAAATATATGTCATCGCGGCTAATGCAGAGCAACAACAAAAGCCCCCTCCGAAGCCACTTTCTGCTAGTACTATGTCCTGGTGGACACCCGGCTGGATATGGGGAGCGCAAGGAAATGCCATCGACTTCGCGGAGATTGTACCTAGGCAGAAACTCGGTTGGGGTGAACAGTGTGTACCAGTTTGTCATCTGAGACTATGAGCTCATACCAACCTAGATTCGTATCTATATCAGCAGGCAGGAACCATCTCTTGGCATTGACATCTTCTGGTCGGACAATGGTTCATCCCATGAACAAAAACGCAAACGCACATGGACAACTTGGTCTACGGAAGTTTGACATTCCTAATCCAAGTTCTACTGACACCGTTTCTCCACCTCGCATTCCTGTCGAGCTAGTTCCAAGAGCAGTAGCTGACCCGTTCGCTAAAGCTTCTCCTTTCTCGCGTTCGGCGTCATCATCTGTGCCGCCTTCCATATCCACCAACATTGGTGGAATAGATGACCAGCATATTAGATTTTCAGATGCTCTCTTTGAGATTCCCTCTCTCCAAGGCGTCAAGGTCTCTCAAATTGCAGCTGGAGGTCGCACCAGCTTTGTAATGACAGATTCAGGTAGGGTGCTTGGCTGGGGAGCGAATGAGTTCGGGTAAATATACCTATCAACACGCAAAATCCGCTAACACTTATTCCAGCCAGATCGGACTGGGTGGAAACATGACTCTTGACACAATTATCCTGCCGACAGAGGTGGTTCTGTCGAGAAACGTACCCGGTTCTGTCCGCACTAGATGCATCGACATTTCCGCAGGCAAGTGAGAATACTGGGTCTTTTTTTACCTATACCTAAATTCATTGTGCAGGTGGTGATCTGACATGTTTCGTCGCCGAACGCACGGATGGCGAATCCCTCGAATATGTAGACATTCTGACTTGTGGTAACGGACAGTGGGGAGGACTAGGGAACAACCTCTACTCGAATGCCCAAGGGAACCCTGTCCGCGCAAAGAACATCAGCGGTCTCCGAGAATGTCAGTACCTCATCATTATAGCCTTACATGCACTCATAAGCCCCTTGTAGATAACGAAGCTAGCCGGACCATGTCCCCCATCTTTCCTCATGCTATCTCGGTGTCTCCCACTGGTCATGTCCTGCTGACTTTGGATACACAAGCCCATGGAGGGCAGGGTGGCTTGGGCCGGGATCTGGTCGCCTGGGGAACAAATCACGACTATCAGCTTGGTACCGGTAAGAGAAGCAGTCTTCCTGTACCTACCACCTTGGAGCGTCCTGAAGGCGGCCGATTTATCCTGGGTCAACGGAAAGCTCTGGTGAGGGACCTTGCTGGTAACGTATGGAAAAAGAGAGTCGAAGTCGAGCAGTGTGCAGTCGCAGGGTACGGTAACAGCATTATATATTGGAAGATCAAGTAGATAATCGAGTGTGGGAGATACTAGTCACCAGCGACCAATCAAGCTTCAAGGTTCTTATTGCACGTGATTTTCACATGACCGTGATGCGGTTGTGGCACGATATAACTAACTCTGTTAACTACCATCACGCGATGGCGAGGGACCTTCAATCAAAAGATCCTCAGCTACAAGAATGCATGTGCGCGAACGATAACATCTCATGTTTCACGTACATCGACGTCCTAATCTCGATCTATTCAATGCAGTAAATTAATTCGGGAGATGACGAGCATCATTGATCCCGCGGATGACTACCTCACAATAACCGCGGCTGAAGAGCAAATGAAGATCAATTATGCCAGAGGAAAGAAAGAGAACGAAGAGGCGTATGCGGATTTGAAAGGTATGGACATCTCTACCTCACGACTTGTCGGTGATCATCTTCATCCTATTTCCAAGCCTTGTCTCGCGTCTTAGAGGCTGCCAAGAAATCTTCGATGCGACCGCCAAACGTGCCCTCTTTAGAAAAGCACGCATCCCATCTCAATGAACTTGACGGATCCAGGTTGTCCCTAGCTAAGGCTATCCGCGACGCGGAGGGCTCTCTAGCCAGTAAAGAAGCTGAACTGGCAGCCCTGAAAGAGCAAGCGCGTTCATTAGAGGAATCAGATCCTGCCAAGGATCACCAGGCTCAGCTAGATGGTTCTGCGTGAGTACCATGCTGTATGACATGAGAGGCAATTGACCCTGCTACTTCTCTAGATTGCGCTTGAAGATCTACAGAGGGTTAGGGTTCGAACCCGTTCTCGACAAGGACGGGCGAGTGACCAAGATGCTTGTGCGTGAGTGTATTACATTTGAGTTGTCCCTTAGAAGTGTGCTCTAACATCTTGTTTAGGCAGCGAATCTAGTGACATTTACTCCTTCCCGTCCGATGGAAGTAAATCAGATTTTGATGATGCCGCTCAGCTTTGGAGGCTGGCAAGCTCATGATGATGTCAATTTTAAGGACGACTTTATCTGTTACTATACACGCTGTGATACTAATGCCTATATCTATTTTCTTTTGGTCCTTCCTCTGATGTCAGGCTTTGATACGGGACGAACCAATTTGATGTACAGGACACATCTATTATAGAACGCAGTTGACGCTGCATGAGATATAAGATTACATCCTCCGTAATCAAACCACGAGCACTTAAAATGCTGGTATTGTGTTTAGAGGGAATCAACGATCATAGCTGTTGCCCTTCGCTGATAACCCATATTTTCTTCTCCTTGGATTTCTTTGCTACCTCCCGTATCTTCGCCTCGATAGCATTCTTCTTCACCTTATGCGCGCGAAGCTCCTGGTGAACGCTTTCCACGATAAATGTCAGGTTTGCCGTCGCTAAAGTCGTGATCTTGCTGATGAGTAGAGGGACATGTGCATCAGGGAATGTGGTCTTCGGCGTGGACGCTAGGGTAGCACGCTTGTTCGCTGGAGCCTGAGTAGCAGCAGCTGATGACTCTGCAACGCCGTTGTTTCCTGATAGCCGATTGGGTAGGGAGGGAACTGCGAACTTGGACTCATCATTTAGTTGCTGAATTTCTTCGGCAGTCTTTGCGACGAAAGTGAAGGGGTCGATTGGGTATTGGGTATCTGTAGCAGGCGATCAAAGACGGTTCAGCAAACTCCGTGAAGAACATACCATTAAATAGCTGTATACGGTATGGCTTGAAAGCATCATATTCACATTGACCTATGACCGACTCCCACAGAGGACCTTTGATATAGGGGACGAGAGGGACCACGATCTTCCGCTTCTTTTCAGGCTGTTTGCTAAGAAGCTCTGCTTTCCTCTTTGGAGGGGGCAGGGGTATGTCCAGAAGTGAAGGTGATAGGTCCCCGTCATCCGGAACAACTTCTTCAATCTCATCATCATCCACTAACCAGCTTTCCAGATCAGAATCATTCTCCTCGCCGTCACCCTCCTCATCGTCATCGTCGTCAACGTTGTCCGCGTCTGCTGCGCCTTCATCTTCCCACTCCTCTCCAGAATCGTACCCGTAATCTCGGGCGAGCAGATCACGAGTGAAAGGTGATCTAGGACCAACGATGCGCGAGTTCTTCGTCCAGGAACCATAGTAGCCAGGACGCGCATCCTCATGGAAAATCAAGACCTTCGCTGGAAGCATGTTCCTGTCCCTAAGGATGTTTGATAAGTAGCGAACTTGAGATGTATCCCCAGCTATTTCAGCATCATTGAGCTGGGAATATATATCTTTCGTATTACATGGGCTGAAGGATTTGAAGGAGGATTTCGATCGGTCGCAAGGCTGCGTGAGCCGAAGCGGTCGCAACGACCGTATAATATCCTGAAAACGCTCTGTATACAATATAAACGACATGAACTGGCGTGCTTTGATGTACGCACCTTGCGCATTAGCTCCGACATGATTGGATGCTGGTGTGCGATATACGAACACATCAACGTCATTCATCTCCGAGGCTTGGGCATCATCGACCATGATAGCGTCTGCATGGCTGAACCCCGAGGTCTGCTTCTTCCAAATTGACTTGCTAGGCTCTAAGAACCAGTTCACTGGCGCCATTTCTGCGTCTTTCTTCAAGACAAAAGGCTTAAACGTCTTCTGAAAATCTGATTCACTAGTGGAAGTCCCACAAACGGGTTTTGAAGGTGATTCGCGGGGAGGAGCCTTCGCCTTGCCGAAGAAATTAGCCATAAGAGACCGGGATTTGTCTTGAGTCGCCTTTTGCTTCTTCTCTTTTTCGACCTTGGCTGCCTTCCTCTCTTCCTTCTCTTTAGCCTGAAATAACAACATTAACTGAATAAATTTGCTACGCAAAGACCAGCGTACTTTGGCGGCCTTCTCTGCATCCGTAGCTTTTCGTTGTCGAGCTTTTGGAGTTCCACTCCCAGACTACCCAAGTTTGTAGTGAGTCAGTGACATGGGAAAAGGAAAGGAGAACATACATCGATATTTTCGGGTTCATTGGCACTCACACTCGGATCACGCTGGGATGTCGAGGCCTTGAGCTCTGTTGCATCAGCCTGTTCTGCGGTGGCATTGCTCGGTGGATTGGGCTTATTGATGTCTTTAGCAGGGAGCTTGTTAGTACCTTTCGGGTCGAGGATTGCATCCCGTTCATCCTGCGGTAGACTTTCGAAGATTGCGCGAAGGTCTGTCTTGGCCTAAAAAGATACGTCAAGGAAGACAATTAAATTCGAGACAATACATACCTGGACGCGTTCAGCTATTCTTGTCTCGGCTTTCTCCCTGGCAGACTTGGGTAGCCAATCCCTATAGTCGTCTCTGACCTCCCATCGCCAAACGCACACAATAGGAGGGAGTTTATATCCCGATGGCCCATCCAGGCCATAGTTCGTCCTGACCATGAGCGACTGAATGGCATGCTCCACCACGAGAAGAGGCAAAGCAACTGATATACTTTCGCGTGAAGAGTCATCGTCCTCATCGAAGGATGGCAGAAGTTCGGAGCGGATATGCTTCGCAAGTGGAGTGACACCCTTCTCACTAGATGTAGAAGTCAGTAACGACTTACGTGGGTCGCCATGTCCCAAGCTCACCTCTCTTGCGCAAGCTTCACTATCAGCGGCTTATGTTCGTCTGGAATAGAAGTAAGTGGGGGGTCCTGCCTCTCAATTCGCTGCTCGATCATCTCCCGAAACTTGACAATTTCTATTGAATAGAAGTTTAGATTGAGCGCTCTCGAAACGGGAGGACAGACCCTGCATGGCTTCCGACGACTTCTCAAACGATATGGGCTTCTGCTTGAAGATAACTTTTCCATTTTTCAACTCAGCAAGAGGTTTCTTTGTTACTATATAGCAAAATGACGCGTCCGCGTGAGTGCATCCGGGATAGAAGGCTGGTCGACTGCTCACCAGTAGATGTTGATGCGCTGGAAGAATCTGACAGGGATTTTCAGCTATAAAACATGACATTCTTGCGCAGGGCATACCCCTTTTCTCTGTATCTGCCATTTGTGCAGAATGATTAGAATCACGACGTAGTCGGGAACGAAAAAAACGCGTGCTTTAGCCCAGTCGCGTCGTGGATGGATTGTGACTATTGTTATGTGGGAAACCTTTTGCCGAGTCGTGTTCGTGACGTGACAGTTACGCGTTTCCGACGCGATTCAACTTATGCCGCGTGAAGGAGATAATATCTAAAGAACATCCAAGGGTTGTTTGAGGATGGCGTTTTTTCAAGCAAAGTCGACATCAGCAACGTCGAAACATTCTGTAGACCCAGCACATCAACCATGGGTAGAAAAATAGTCAGTATGTTCGTTTTGCTCTGTGAATCTTCTCATCACATGCAGTCGACCAAAGACCATAGATGATGTCTCGGCACAAGAGCATACAATCGCAGTACTGCGGAAAACACTGGTCTCGACGAATGTATGCAAGTCTTTCTTACTTATGGCGTGGTTCTTCCTCATCCAAAGTAGCTCCCTCACATGTTGTTCTATGGACCCCCCGGAACTGGTAAAACATCCACCATTCTTGCACTTGCAAGGCAACTCTTTGGGTGCGGCTGATTTCATTTTAATTTTCCCAAACTCACTGCTCTGCCAGACCTGATAACTTTCGAAACCGAGTCTTAGAGCTCAATGCATCAGACGAGAGAGGCATCAGCATAGTCAGAGAGAAGATCAAATCATTCGCCCGTCAAACACCTCGAGCACAGGCAGTGGCATCAGATGGAAACGTTTATCCCTGTCCGCCATACAAAATCATCATTCTCGACGAAGCAGATTCCATGACACAAGATGCGCAAGGTGCATTACGGCGGATAATGGAGACCTACGCCCGAATAACTCGTTTCTGTCTTGTTTGCAATTATGTGACAAGGTGAGAGCACTTTTTTTTCTCCCTGCAGTCACTGACTACTACAAGAATAATCGAACCTCTCGCGTCTCGATGTTCAAAGTTTCGTTTCACGCCTCTTGATTCGACATCAACCTCATCCCGACTCTCTCACATCGCAAGCGCAGAACATATTGACGTTAGTCCTGAGGTCATTTCTACCCTGATCGAGACCTCTGGTGGTGACCTTCGTCGCTCCATCACATATTTGCAATCTGCGTCTCGATTATCTTCCTCCACCAACCCTCCGGTGCCAATCACGCCTCACGACATCCAGGAGATAGCAGGTGTTGTTCCAACTGCTGTTATAAACGATTTTGCGAAGACTCTCGGCGTATCCGTCGTCGAGGACATGGATGTTGATGACTTGCCGACAAACTGGAAACTGAAGGGTTTCAATGCCGTCCAGAAAAAGGTCAAGGGCATCATGCGAGAAGGATACTCAGCATCACAGACACTCTCACAGGTTAGTGATTCATCAAAGCAACTGAACTTGTCTGACATCGTTATAGCTTCATGACACTATCATACTGCATCCGACGCTGCCTGCACGACAAAAAGCAAAGTGCGCTCTCGCTTTTGCAGAAGCCGATAAAGCTCTGTGTGACGGTGCTGACGAAGAACTATGGGTACTCGAGGTTGGGCTTCGCATTCACAAAGCAGTTACCACATCATGACGTTCTAGTGATATACATGCCACACCATAATAGCGCCGGCCCCAGCCCCCTGACTCGCATTCATGTTTTGTGTTAAATGCAAACTAGTCTTTTTATTCTCCTTTTGTGTTGGCAAACGACTGTTTAATCTCATGTGATTCTACTGTCAATGCATGATATTCTTTGACTTGTAAACTAGTAATAAGTGTGACAAGATACAAATTTGTTGTGGGTTCAAAACCTGCTCATCATTTGCCTTTTACCATGTTTTGAACATTCAGTCATGGATGGGTTTATCTTAAGTAGTCATAGCCAACTGGCACCAGAACAGATCAGAAATCTGCTCTCTTGGGTGAGAAGTACAAGTGCATGAACACGGCATGACATTTACCTATCTTCCAAAGCAATCGGCACCCTGCATACACCAGTCGATCACTCTGGCTTTAGTTCTGGCGACATACGTCCCACTTTCTGGCATCCAAAGTTCAAGATCGTCTTTCTCCCAGTTCCTGAATCATATGATGCATGAAACTCTTGCTGATGCGTCTACCCCTTCCCAAGTCAAATCTACAATGTCCGTCAACCATCCTGCTATCAGAAAAAGGAAGGAACTAGTTGCCGGACAGTAAACACGCACAACGGCTAAATGAATTATCCAGTATCCTCCAAACCCCCACGCAGCCCAGATACCCATATTTCCCTAACGCCCTCCCTAAACCACACGACATTCCACTCCACCAAACCCCTGCGCATATCATACACTGTCGTCGGAAGGAGTGCCAGCAATGCGAGGTGCGGCGTGACGAGGTGGTACGTGAGCGTAGTTCCTGGGCGTGAAGGTGAGAGCGACGTCGCTGCTGAGGGGTAGAAGTGGGGCTTTGAGGGTGGAACGGGGGATGTCGATGACGAGAGTGGCGGCGTTCCGACAGGACTGGTGCTGGAGGCGGGAGTTGATGTCGTGGCTGTAGGTGGGGGCGTTGGTGCTGGTGTTGGGGAAAACCGACTCGTCCGTGAATCGTTGGCGTTGGACCTGGTGGAATGGTTTGAGAGCGGGAGGGAAAATTATGACACGTACGTACTTGTAGAGAGGTCCGAAAGAATTGAGCATGGATAGGTAGTCACAGCAGAGATTGTGCGTGGCTTGGTCAACGGGTGAGGTATCTGTTGCAACGTGGATTTTACTGGATGTGTCGAATAGGAAAGCTTTTGGGGACGCTGTGTTCTGCAAGCGATGAGACGTGCCCGTGGAGATAAGTGGCAACGAAGGCACATACAGAGCAAAAGACATTTAATAGTTCTTCGAGATATGGTAGGGAATCAATCAGTTTATGGAGCACGCGAGAGAACGCCTCTCGAAGAGAATGGTCGTATATGGAGGTGAGATGGAAATTGAGAGGGAATTGCTCAAATTCGGGAGATTCGTCTACGAGGCGGTCCATGACGCGTTCGTGTATCTGGCGGAAGTTTTCTACGTGCTGTTTCATGCAAGAGCAAAGATGTATGCGGGGCTGGCGTACCGATCTTGTCGTCCTCCTGAAGTCTTTCCGCTTTGTGGACAAACACTTCTAAATTTATGTCTGGGTTGATTTGACATGCGGCGACAATAAACTCTACAAGCTTTGAGACGGGATGTTGGTAGAGATCCTGTGCATCTGGATGAGAATGGTAGTCAGTGTATGAATTCAGCACACGTACTCGAATATCTATTACAAAGACTATAGTTGAGAAATCGGCGAGAGATGCGCCGAGTGTGTCGACGGTGACGTTTCCTGGACAGTCCCATATCTCCAACGGGATGACGGTGCTGAGAAACGATGTTCAGTACAAGGTACGAGCAGAAGTCATGGACAAGGACATACTCGATGAAATGCTTTGCGACACGCATGGTGGGCTCGAGGTAAAAAGTCTGTTTTACTGGAAGATCATCGAAGAGGACTTGGAGTATGGAGGTCTTTCCACTCCTGTGATAAGTTAGAACTGGCAAAGGGAGAAAACATGAAGATTCACCTTCTCATACCCAGAAAGAGTATTTTTGTCCTGCTGGTTCCAGTGGAAATGGCTGTGCTTGAGGAAGAGCTCATCGCACACATAATATGTACTCAATGAAATGAAAGTAGGGAACGTTAGCAGTACGGAAGCTTTGGGATTAATATTAATATTCAACCCCACATTGTTCTGAGAATGGCTGAGATTGCATGAAATTGTCTGAACTAAGCGACACAATCTCAACAGAAAAATGAGACTAATAGCACATGTGTAAATGTGTGTGATTGTGCTAGATTGTGTGGATGCAAATAATAGTGGTACTCAATTCAACTTTTCAAACATTTCAAAACTCGCTTAAACGCTTTAAACTCCCGGCTAAAGCTTCAACAAACTCGCGTAACAACAGTTGAATCATGCTCGGCACGTCGGCACAAAGTCGGACATTCAAACACTTAGGATTTTCAAAGTGTGCTATACAGAGGGGAAAGTCGTGCTTTAGAGTAGCAAAAGTAGCCGGGGCATAGATTCATTGTGGGTAGCAAGTAGGATCCAATAGACTTTGTATTTCAAATGACTGCGTTAATAAAATTTAAAAAAAAATTACTCCGCAAGAATGAAATCAGCCATAGGTAGCAAGTACCGGACGGAACAAATAAGTGCTGGGGGAAGGAGGATGAGATGGACTGAGAGCGGGTCGTCGGGGGTTTGGTGGGAATTTCAAACGGTTGGGGGGGCAGGAGCGGGTGATGCAGCAAAGTGGCGTTTCGTGCCCGCGACTTGGGAAGGGCTACCAAGGGCACCAGGAGGCGCATAATGAGCGCCAGTGGAGGGCGTAATGGCAACATGTGGGAAGGGACCTATAGTGGGAGGAGGCACATCATGAGCGCTAGCGAACGGTGTAGCGCTGAAATGTGTGGGAGAGGGTGAAGCGCCAAAGGATGTGGAGGGACTCTGAGGATCTGATGTATGCACTTGGGTCTGAGGATCTGATGTACACGCCTGGGTCTTCCCACCGCTGTGAAGGATAGGATCTGATGTATGCGCCTGGGTCTTCCCACCGCTGTGAAGGATATAACTCGTCATAGTTGTCGATGATACCAAGTGAAGGGCGGAGCAGCGGCTCTCCCATAAAGATAAGGCGTTGTTGGTCAGGTGGGATGTGTGTGGGACCTGGATTAGAATAGATTTCCTGTAAGATAAGGGTGAATGTAAGCTACAACTTGCAATAAGCACAAAAATCACTTACTTTGGGTGGATGGCACCTGGAAACTTGAATTATGTCCTGCTCAGTGCTGCAGGTGAGCATGGAGGATGTGAGGTCAACGACGGCACCAACGTGCTCAGTGTGAGACGGAACTTCGGAATTTTCCGAAATTTCAAACTCCGACAAAAAGTGTGTCACATATGCATGAAATGGATGGGAGGTTTGATCCCCTCGACTCCTGCCCTACTGAAACTATGCCTCGTCCATCTACACGCCAAGAACTCCTTGATATCGTTGATCAGGCCACACTTTCGTTGGCCAAGCTACAGTACCAGGACATCCTGGACGATTGGTCCGACCTTGAGAGCGATTCTGACTCTGACTCTGAGGATTCGCTTTCTAGCACCTTGGATGATGATGACATCATCAGTCTATCCTTTAGCTCCTCATCCCCCCCCTCCCCCCTCTCCCCTATGACAGGGATATCCAATTTTTCCAGTGATGATTCTGTATCTTCCGATGATTCTGTACTGCCTTACGACAGGCTCCAGGACACGATTGATGCACTTCGTGATGAGGTTAAGAGGGCTCGTGTACTCCACAAGCCTGACGAGCCTCCTCCACGAGCACCCCAGCTTCACATGCTCATTCACCATGAGGAACATCGCCCTCACTTATTTCGGCAGAAACTTCGTGTCAGCCCTGAGATCTTCGATGACATTCTCGATTATATCTCTGATCACCCTATCTTCCAAAGCAAATCCAACAATCCTCAGCTCCCCATCTCCATCCAGCTCGCTATTTTTCTGAATCAGGCAGGCCACTATGGTAACGCCATTACTCTGGAGGATGTCGCTCAATGGGCAGGTGTGAGTGTTGGGTCCGTGGTTAATTGCACTAATCGTGTGATGATTGCGGTGTTCGATGCCCATGATCAGTTTATCTGCTTCCCAGCAGCTAATTCTGAGGATGTTGACCTGGCTTGTAAATTTGCCGAGTCACGTACTTGTCCTGAGTGGAAGGGTGGCTTTTTGGCCATTGATGGCTCGACCATGAATCTTTTCACCAAACCAGGCTATTATGGGGAGACATTTTATGATAGGAAATCCAGGTATTCCCTGGGCTGTCAGGTATTTTTTTTCCCCTTTCATATTCAAAAAATTGATTTAATTTTAGGCTGTCATCTTGCCCCACAACCTCCTTATTGTTGATTATTCCCTTGGTCATCCCAGGAGTGTCCATGATGCATTCGCTTTCCGATCTACTCGCCTCTATGAAGAGCATGCTGACCTTCTGCCTGATGGTCATTGGGTTTGGGCAGATAGTGCATATCCATTAGAGCCATGGTGCATTGTTCCCTACAAGAAGCCTCGCAATGGACGGTTGACAAAGGACCAGAAGACATTCAATTATCATCTCTCCAAGGTTTTTTTTTTCTTCTGGTTTTTCAATGAATTTAATTTTTTTTAGGTTCGTGTTCGTGTTGAACACACATTTGCGGTCTTGAAGGGACGGTTCCAGTCCCTTCGAGAGCTTCGCTTCCGCATTCAGGCTGAGAAAGACCTTGATTTTGCTGTGCAGTGGATTAAGTGTTGTATTATCCTGCACAACATGATTATTCGCTTCGAAACTCATCGTCGCAAGGAAGATGGAACATATGAAAGCTCTCTCAAGTGGGCTCGTGAAGAGGGGGAAGACTTTTTTGTTCAGGAGCTTGAGGGTCCAGATGGTGATGAGGTCATTGGTGACAGGACATATGATGGCACTCCAGGTCAGGCTGCTCGTGCAAAGCTGATGGATGATCTCTTTGATAGTCCTCACTCAAATGCACAACATAGGGCTGAATAATTCCTCTCAGATTCAATTTGACATGTACTACCACAAATAAATATGTACCATACATGTATGTAGCTATGTACTATGCATGTATGTAGCTATGTGACATCAATCACAAGAAGTACTCACAATGACAAGCAAAACATGATGACAACAAATGAGAGACAACGACGACAAATGAAAGATGACGACGACAAACAAAACATGACGGCGACAAACAAAACATGATGATGACGACGACGACAAAACGATGCCAGACTCACAAAGCTCAATCCAACCCTGGAGCCTTATTGCCCTGCATCATCTGGTGGTATTGTATCTTGAGCCGCAGGGTTTCGGCCTCCTTGTCAAGCATGAGCGAATGCGCTTCGTGCACCCGTATATCCGTCTCACGAAGGCGAATTTCGGCGTCCTTGTCCTCCTGCTGGCGCTGATGGACGAGGCTAGCTTGACTAGCCTCGTGTGCACGAGTGTCGCGGAGCCACTCGTACTTTTTCGTGTCTCGGGAGTGCTCGCTCTTCGCACCCAGCTTCGCGAGATAGCGCTGGTGCTTGCTCTCGTGGCGCGACAGGGCGCTAGACTGCAGGCTCTCGATCTCGTCCCGGACCAGGCCTACCTGGTCCTGGACATCCGACCTTGCCTTCTTTTTCGAGCTGCCCCCACTGTTGGGCAGCGAGGTCTGCGGGGTGGGAGAGATGACGTAGTCCGACGACGGCGTGGTATTGCGCGTCGTCGAGGAGGGTGTAGACATGCTGCGGGCCATGTCCGATGGCCCTTTGCGTCGCGCTCCATGGCTTGACGGCTTGTGAGCGCCGAATGCCGAGCGACTGTCGTATAATGGCGTTGGGAGTTTGGTGCGAATTGCGAACAGCTGGGGGGCGTCAGGAGGAGGGGAGGGCGATGCAGCAAAGTGGCGTTTTGTCCCCGCGACCTGGGGAGGGCTACCGGCACCAGTATCATCCAGCATTTCTTCGTCGTTGTCGTCGAGGTAGTCTAGTGCGTTGCCGAGGGGGGCATTAAGCGGGCCACTCCCGGAGTCAGGAGCATAATCGTCCAGGATAGTGACATCGGGGGAATTGCGCAGGCCGGGAAGGTGTGTTTGAGGGGGTGTGAAGGGGGGAGCAAGAGTCTGAGGTTGAAGGAGTTGTGGGTCAATGGGGGGATCGCTGTAAAACAGAGGATCTGATGTACGCGCCTGGGTCTGAGGATCTGATGTACGCGCCTGGGTCTGAGGATCTGATGTACGCGCCTGGGTCTGAGGATCTGATGTATGCGCCTGGGTCTGAGGATCTGATGTACGCGCCTGGGTATGAGGAGACACATTATGAGCGCTAGCGGATGGTGTAGCGCTGAAATGTGTGGGAGAGGGTGAAGCGCCAAAGGATGTGGAGGGACCAGCCCCACCACGTGGTTGAACCAGGGAGTAGAAAGAACCTGCGTGATCAACGCCAGGCTTGGAGGAATAAGTCTTTGCGGCCAATGACGGATTGGAGTGCCAGATTCCATCGAGGTCCGTGTACCACGGGAACTCCGAAAGAACTGAGTCTACAAACACGATAAACCGATTAAAATAAGCTGAGAACAAAAAAAGACAAAGGATGCACCCAGAAGATTTTTTGCAGCCGTCCCATCAAGCGGCATCACGCTGGCACCTGTGTCACCGAATCTAGCCTTCATCTTCTTGTATTTTGTTCTGAGACTTGAGGGATTCCATTAGCGCATGTATGAATAAGAAAAAGAAAAGAAAACTCACCTGTTAATGCGATTGTTGATGGCATCGCGGAATTTCTTCTGATTGTCGTGATATGCGTGACCATATTTGGGGTGATTGGTGAAGATAAGTTTAGCGATAACGCTACAGATTTGGCCTTTGTCCGAGCCCGAGGGGCTGTCATTGACGGGGGACATCGCCTTCTTCCCCTCAGAATAAAAGAGCACCCTACAATCAGCAGGGTGAGACGTTAGATAATTCACCAAGACATCTGTTAGGGCAGTTTCGTTATGCCACTGGATGGTCAATCGTGGTCCAGATTCGGAGGGGACCTTGGATTGTCCCTCAGAGGGAGGTACAGAGAGTGCTGAAGGATCCATCGAGTGCACTCGAGCATCAGCTCGAAGTCTTGCAGAACGACGTGCACGTTGACGAGTGGGAGGCATGGTGTTTCAAAGTCTGCCCTGCGGAATTCACCTGACTTTGAATTGATGCACATGACACCGAGTTTGTTGAAGCTTTAGCCGGGAGTTTAAAGCGTTTAAGCGGGTTTTGAAATGTTTGAAAATTTGAATTGAGTACCACTAATGTTTGCTGTTCATGCATGCATGGCGCATCAGTAAACCGGTGAGTTCTTGCTGGGGATTATCCTGATTATGGTGTTTTTACATAGTCATATATTGCTTTATATTCCAATGTGACGAAAACCTTTCCTATATATTAGTAATATTACGATCCCCGACTCCGTGCACGTTAGTGAGGACATCTCGATCCGGGACATCCGAGACATCCGAGACATCCGGCCCCCATCCGACCCACTTGCATGTATAATGGAAATCTCACGGTCACAACATACCACGTGACCCACGGCGCCGCCGTGTCGCGGCTGACACCGTGACCATGGCTGCTACTAGTACCCAGCTAGCACTTGCAGGTAGAACTCTCTCCTGGCAGACTGTTGACTCTCAGGAGCCTTTTTAGAATGGTTTGAGGCCCAAGGGATGAGGTGGAGGACCCCATTACAGTATTCATTCAATTATGTACACTTAGGAGGTCTAAAAATATGAAATATTTAATATTTAATGACATGTGACATGATACAGTGAAAGATTACGAAAAAATGTGTGAAAATGGTAAAATAATTGAGCTCACTGTGTGCAACAGTGAGCACGAAGGTTTCGGCAATGAGCGCAGTGAGCATGTGAGTGTACTTACCTATTTTGGTCATCATTTACACGTCGTACATGGGAACTACACATGATGCTAAGTCAACCATGGGTCATATGGCGTTATAGGTGCACATTTATTATTGCGCATTGCGCACCCTGCGCATTTTGGTGACCTGTTTGTCATTGCCTGTTTGGTACCTGTTGTGACATCTGCGCGCTGCCCGTTCAATCAGTGACTCAGACTCTCGCCATGTACTCTTTTTGCTAGTATTTTTTGGAGGGCTGCATTGTCTTCTACAACGTGTCCCCCTACTACTTACCTGGCACATCAAATGGTCAACATCAAAGCAAAGAAGGGGGATGCTATTGTCCTTGTCGTATGTAGATGTAATGACAGTGCAAAATCATTAGTGGTCGATGCCCGAGTCATTCAGCTCAAAGAGTATTGTAAGTATCATGCTGCAGTAGTGAAGTATAGTGCAAAAAAAGCAAAAAAGTGCAATCAAACACGTAGACAAGAAACTGAAACATCAAAGCATCAAATGAGATAATGGATGGGCCTAATAGCATATTCAGATTCCCAGGGATTGACTATCACCAGTGCAAAAGGGTCATTGGGTCGAGGCTGGTTGCGCCATAAAATATCATCATCGCTCACAGAGACAATCGTAACTGGATAGGATAATTCAGGGAAAGTAGCACATCACCTGTTCATGGCAGGGTGATACTTAACCATGTCTAACTATACACAGTACATTTTGTAAGTTTGTCTCGGAGTCACCAACATGAAGCTTCATGAAGCTTAACAGGCACGATGCCTCACTGGTTCTAAAGATCGGGATCTCTCTTGTGATCTTGATGCTACTGGAAATGTTTTTCTCAGGCTTCCAAGAATAGCGCTACCACCGGAAAAATTACCAAATTGGGATATTCCAATAATCTCACTATTCCCACATACCTCCCTGGCTCTACTGCTGCACCAGAGCTTTCCCCTTACTCACTCATGTATATAAGTAGTAGAATGGCATGTACATACATAAAATGATACAATAGACCGCTTTTTTCATTGTCTGAGAGCTTGTACAGCAGTCTACAGTGCTGACTACAATATGTGCATCCCAGGACTAAAACATATTCGGTTTTTTGCCCCTTTAGCAGGGAAGCAATTCTGACTGTATATATCATATATTAGAGTGTTAATGAATATATTACACTGCTTGTTTGAGCCTCTGTAGTGTCCTACATCAGTAGATATGTTAAATTCATGAATACCTCTCAAAAAACATAAACCAGTTCGCATTTTTTAGTGTTTAGGTATATAGACTGGTGAATATTATTTCTAACATCTCTTTACTAGTATATACATCATATCAAGAGTATAGGTCAGCAGGATCAGTCCCTAGGGTCATATGTATTGTCATCTTCCTGGTGGTTCACTCTCTGAGAAAATTTTTCCTGCAGCTCCGGCCCTCTAGGATGGTAGGTAGTCTTTTACTATGAACATATGGAATATATTTATCACATAGGTATACCAGAACAATACCAGGATCCTTGTCTACAATCCAAAGTCACTTTTTGCCTACAATGTACCATATTTTCGCATTTTTGAGGTTTTCCACTACATTCTCACTACATAGACTATACCAGCTGTTCATATATCACTTATAGTACATATATGAAGCCTTCCAAAGGCCATGATCAGGCAGAAATATGTCAGAGTAATGATATCAAGCACATATCTCCTATTCTCACTGATAAGAATTCCCAGACATGAATATAGTAAAATATTATGATCAGACTATCTTGGAGTACACTATATATACCAAGTAATACAGTCCTCGACTACCAGAAGGATCCATGAATAATTGACGGCAGGGGAATCCAATAGATAAGAAATAGGTCATGGGAAAGTCAAAAGTCCAAACATCGAAAAAGTACTATGCACCAACAGTCTATGCAAGGGTGGTCTGACCATAATAATGCAACAAATTGAGACCACAACACTTCCACATCACCTTTACCTTCACAACATATATTAGTATAGTATATTTAAGTAGTTTACAATGTATTCTATACATTTTTAATGAAATCTTCGCCCTAGACAGGGTTGAAATATAACATTTGCATGATTGTGGGATTTGCCCCTATATCATTGATATCATTACTCTGACATATTTCTGCCTGATCATGGCCTTTGGAAGGCTTCATATATGTACTATAAGTGATATATGAACAGCTGGTATAGTCTATGTAGTGAGAATGTAGTGGAAAACCTCAAAAATGCGAAAATATGGTACATTGTAGGCAAAAAGTGACTTTGGATTGTAGACAAGGATCCTGGTATTGTTCTGGTATACCTATGTGATAAATATATTCCATATGTTCATAGTAAAAGACTACCTACCATCCTAGAGGGCCGGAGCTGCAGGAAAAATTTTCTCAGAGAGTGAACCACCAGGAAGATGACAATACATATGACCCTAGGGACTGATCCTGCTGACCTATACTCTTGATATGATGTATATACTAGTAAAGAGATGTTAGAAATAATATTCACCAGTCTATATACCTAAACACTAAAAAATGCGAACTGGTTTATGTTTTTTGAGAGGTATTCATGAATTTAACATATCTACTGATGTAGGACACTACAGAGGCTCAAACAAGCAGTGTAATATATTCATTAACACTCTAATATATGATATATACAGTCAGAATTGCTTCCCTGCTAAAGGGGCAAAAAACCGAATATGTTTTAGTCCTGGGATGCACATATTGTAGTCAGCACTGTAGACTGCTGTACAAGCTCTCAGACAATGAAAAAAGCGGTCTATTGTATCATTTTATGTATGTACATGCCATTCTACTACTTATATACATGAGTGAGTAAGGGGAAAGCTCTGGTGCAGCAGTAGAGCCAGGGAGGTATGTGGGAATAGTGAGATTATTGGAATATCCCAATTTGGTAATTTTTCCGGTGGTAGCGCTATTCTTGGAAGCCTGAGAATCACCAAAGGAATCAGAAGCCGTTAAGCTTAATTGTAGGGGATTGATAGTTTACAAACAAACTTACAAAACCATACCGTTTCTAGTCAGTGAGTATTATGCTTAATTTTAACAGTATAGCCTGAGCACATGCAGCTGGCGCACTTGGAACACTCAGCTGACTGAGTGAAGGAGGGGACTCCAAAGGCAGGAGTAGTGTTGCTGCGGCTTCCGGCTCGGCTCAGCTTTTCCACGGCTCGACTGGTGGCTTTAGCCGAGACTCGGATCTCACATTACGGCAGTTCCCGCAGCTGGCTAGCTGCAAGCTGCAGCTTTGAAGCGGCTGTGTAAGTGGCTAACCATTTAGACCATGGCCAGCGCCGCCCCACAGGATGTTGTCGATGTCATTACTCATATCGCTGACGAACCTGTGCAATCCTACGGACCATCGGCACCCCCTGAGTCTGGGTCTGGCGCTTGTCTGCCTTCAGTCACTCCTGCACCTGGAGACCCTCAGCTGATCACTGATACTGATATTGAAGACAGTGGTTACAACACTCCAATCAAACGCGGCTCATCTACCATGGTTCCATTCTCTACCAACGCGCATTATCGTATCAATACAATCAATGGCCTTGGGAAAGAGGTGTTACCCTTCGCAGTGGGTCTGATGCCCGTTCAGCAATTTTTGGATGAATTCTTTCCAAGCAGCCAATTACTGGATCACGGATATACTCCTCTCACTAACTGTCACGAGTTCCAAATACGAACCATTATACATTCCTAAATTCTAAGTCCTTTAAGCGCCCAGTCACAGCGCCTGTTACTAAGAAAGTATTTATAGTTGAAGATGTCCCAACAACGGCGTCTATTGTAGAGTTAACTAAAGAACCTATGAACGAGTCACGTGACTTATCGGAATACGCCGGACTAAACTTTATTCCAAACGACCCTGACAGAATGTTCCAGAACCTTACGGTTGCTGCGGCACATGTCATGACATCATAGTTATATATAGAATCGTACGATATCATCTTATTATTTGATTGGTAGTTAGTTCAGACTCAGTTTCGATCTCAGTTACAAATATGTGTATATAGGTAGTGTCTTGTAGTCAGTAGTTCTTTAGTTCAAACCTCTTGTATCTCCTAGTGAGCAATCCGAGACGTACCTGCTGCCTTATCCTCTTTGTGATTATCTTGTTGTTTGAGTCCTAGTCTCTGCCCAGCGTTAATTTGTTATTGGGTTGTGACATTAGGTTTGAACTATAGGAGACTCCGACTCTTGCGTTACACTCTCGCACATCTCTTTCTTTGCTTGGCCATATTGAAAGTCTTTTCATATCGTCATTCAAACAAAGCCATTTACTCTTTGCCCGGTCTAAACAACCGAGACCCATTCATCACTTTTTTGCTCATTTGAGCGCATTTCATACCTATCCGCTTTATTAGTTAGTAGTCCTATACCAGGCCCTGTCTTACCACAGCCGCCAGTATACGGAGGAGTTGACAACATTAGGTGTCTCTCTACAACTTTGAGTGCTGGCCCAAAACCCTGCCTGCTCAACGTTACTATAGTTTCCTTTTACCTATCCTTTTTCATCACGCACGTAGGCATTCATTTCGAGTCAATAGCGGAACTGTCTAGACGACAAACCGTGCTTTCGACCTACGAGGATTTAGAGACATACCCTAGTGAGACTCGCACTTGTAAGCTTCGGCTGGAAGAGTGATAACTTGTCCTAGGCTTGTACCCTCAAAACGGAGATTGCATTGTCCCTAGTTTTTCCCACTCGATCGAGTATAGTTTACGTATTCTTTCTTAGTCAGTATTAGGGAAGTGTCAGTGTGGGATTTTACCAGAACCCCTTGACCCTGAGCCAGTGGTAGATCCGATCAGATATCGGGGACCACTCAGTTTTCCGTTACATAACTTTTCTCTTTTCATCACTATTCCCTTTCGGAAGAGCCCTTACGAGCAGCTCTTCAAACAGACATCAGTAAATCGGGTTCCAGAAAACAACTGGTACTATGTCTGAACTACCTCCCCAACCTACACAACCTGTGGTGCTACCCACTACTCCAGAACAAGTAGTGCAGTACATTCATCAGGCACTAGCAAACCAAGCGGATCAATTTAGAAGCAAGATCCTGGAGCTAGAAGAGAAGAATTCGATCCTACAGAAGGCAAACAAGGATCTTTCACTACACCTGGAGATGCAGGAAGACGAGACTATGAAAATACAGTCTCAACAGACCTCTTTCGGCTCCGCAGGAACAACCATGCTCAACCAATCCCCCCCCAGTATCAAATATGCAAAACCCTCGGACTTCACAGGAGAAAAAGACTCCGTGGAACTTCAAACATGGATTGCACAGACGGCACTATACTCATCGCAGTGGCCAGCAATACAAGAGGTTCAAAGAATAGGGGTCTTACTTTCTTTCATGAAAGGCGCTGCAGGCAAATGGGCGCAACCATACATTGCCAGACTCCCAGAAACGGGCAACAAGAAGATCACCATGGAAGAATTCAAAACAGATCTCGAAGCCATGTGGGGTCAAGAAGACCGTGAAGGGAAGGCGGTCCGAGAGTTGGAATCCCTTAAGCAAGGATCTTCAACTGTTCCCGAATATGTGGCTGCTTTCAAACAAAAAGCCGCATTAACATCTTTCTCAGACTATGATCAGAGACAAAAGTTCAGGACTGGACTTCAAGACCGCATTAAAATGCAACTCGCTCATGTTCCCTACAGGGACAAGGACACCATGAAGAAACTGGTGGAACATGCGATCCAAATCGGACGCAATTACGAGGAGCTAGATGCGGACAAGAAAAAGACAAGCTGGTGGACCCCAAGACAGGGTACCAAGAACTTTGAGTCAAAGGCCGGTCCGAGCAAAGACTCTGACGCCATGGACGTCGACTCCAGAAAGCAGAAATGGGCCCCAAAGCCACAAGGAAAGACTGGATCTTTCAAATGCTATCGCTGTGGAGGAGAAGGCCATATGGCTAGAAACTGCAAAGACGCAGTCGCGCCCAAAGCGCAGGTGAAGGCTACTACAGTGCCAAAGGAAGAGAACCCGATGCCGCAGTGGTTCAAAGACTGGACTGCTAGCAAGGAAGGCAAGGGTTTTTAGAAGGGTCAAAGTCAAAGTCTGCGAACTTAGACCCGAACAATCGTTTCTCCATTCTATCTACGTTTTCGGATGTATCAGAAGTATATATTAAATCCAAATCTGAGCATTTTTATATTCCGATTACGTTGAAGGGAAAGAACCGACAAGCAGACATGAAAGCGTTAGTAGACTGTGGAGCGTCAACATTATTTATCAGTGAAAAGTTTGTGAAAAAGAATGAGATCCGGTGTCGTAAATTATTAAGACCTATTCCGGTTAAAAATATTGATGGCTCGCTAAATGCCGCGGGATCAATGACACACTTCGCAGAACTAGGTCTAAGAATCGGTGACCATGTTGAGGATGAAGCAGCCTTCATGGTTACGGATCTAGGAAACGATGATGTTATTATCGGCATAGATTGGCTAAGATATCATAATCCGGAAATAGACTGGAATGCTGGACAATTTGCACTTTCTCGATGCCCGGTTAAATGTATTACGAAAAAAGAACAAAGACAAAAAAATAAAGAAAAAAGAAAAAAGAAAAAGAAAAAGAAAAGAACAAAAAAAGACAGAAGAAGTGCCAGATCTGATTCCCACAGAAGAGGATGACGAAGAAGACATGGCGATGAAAAGGGCGACGGTCGAGGAAATAGAAGATGAAGAGTATCCTGGAGAATGGATCAAATATAAAGCCTCGGTCGCCACGGAGCAGAAGGTTGCAGAAGAAGCAACGAAGGTGAAGAAATCGGTTGAAGAGATGGTTCCCGATTGGCTTCACGATTACCTGGGAGTTTTCTCAGAAGAAGAATCTAAATGTTTTCCTGAAAAAAAGAAATGGGATCATGCGATAGATCTTAAGGACAATGGCGATCTTCCGCCGAATGCGAAACCATACCCTTTGTCACCTAAAGAGATGGACACTCTGAAAGATTGGTTGAAAGCTGAGACCGCACTGGGACGTATTAGAGAGTCACAATCCCCAGTGGCAGCACCTTTCTTTTTGTGGCCAAGAAAGATGGCAAGTTAAGACCGGTAATGGACTATAGAAAGCTCAATGAGAAGACGGTTAAAAATGCGTATCCGCTACCGAGATCTCAAGATTTAATTGATGCTTTAACCGGTGCCACGATGTACTCCAAGATGGATGTACGATGGGGGTACAATAATATTCGCATGAAAGAAGGAGATGAGTGGAAGGCGGCCTTCAAAACGCCGTTTGGTCACCATGAACCAACCGTAATGTACTTCGGGTTGACGAACTCCCCTGCCACGTTTCAAACAATGATGAACGAGATATTCAGAGATTTAATTGATGGAAAGACCGTAGTTGTCTATATTGATGATATTCTCGTGTTCACAAATGGCGATAGGGAGCAACACCAGAAGGTTGTACGAGAGGTACTAAAACGACTAAAAGAGAACGACTTGTATCTGAAGCCTGAAAAATGTAGCTTCGAACAGTCGGAAGTCGAGTTCCTCGGGTTGATCGTGGAGAAGGGTGGTGTTCGAATGGACCCTGTGAAAGTAGAAGGAGTTATGAAATGGCCTACACCCAAATGTGTTAAAGATATCCAAGCATTTATGGGTTTTGCCAACTTCTACAGAAGATTTATCTTCGGGTTCTCGGACATAGCCAGACCAATGAATGATTTATTACGGAAAGATGTCAAATGGGACTGGACGGAGAAACAACAAGATGTGTTTGATGAACTGAAGTCAAGGTTCACAACAGCTCCGATTCTAGTCATGCCGGACATTGAGAAAAAAATGAAAATAGAAACCGATGCTTCCGATTATGCAACTGGAGCGGTTCTATCTCAACTGATGGAAGATGATTTATGGCATCCCGTAGCCTACTATTCGAAATCAATGAATGATGCAGAACTAAATTATGACGTTCACGATAAAGAATTATTGGCAATCATTCGAGCGTTGGAGGAGTGGAGGCATTATGTGCAGGGAAAACCTCATCATGTGGAGATCTGGACGGATCACAAAAATCTCGAGTATTTTATGACGAGCCAAAAGTTAACAAGAAGGCAAGCCAGATGGAGTTTATTCCTGGCGGAGTACAAATTTACGCTCCAACATAAGCCTGGTGTAGTTAACGATAAGGCAGACCGTCTATCTCGGAGAGAAGACCACAGAGAGGGGGTAGAAAACGACAATTCTGATCGCGTTCTGTTAACACCGGAGTTTTTTACTGTAAAAGCCGCCAAAAGAGGTCAAGTTCTAGTGCAAGGAGAAAAACAATTGCTGAGAAGGATAAGGCAATGCACAGAATGAGAACCTGAAGTCGCTAAAGCATTAGAAACATTGAAAGCGGCACCGGTACAACTACGCAGAGGGATTGAAGAATGGAATGTTGAGGATGGATTGGTGTTATTCCGAGGATTGGTTTATGTTCCAAACAATAAAGAGATCCGCCGAGAGATATTGGAGTTGTTTCACGACTCTCCACCGGCTGGACATCCAGGACGAGCCAAAACCTTAGAATTGATTTCCAGAAATTATTGGTGGCCTTCAATGACGAAATATGTCCACGATTACGTAGATGGCTGTGATAGATGCAGAGCAACGAAGATTCACCCAACGCAACCACACGGTCCGCTGAAACCAAACGAAATACCAGCGGGACCTTGGCAATCAATCACTTGTGATTTGATAGTAGATTTGCCTAAAAGCGAAGGGTTCGACTCTATTTTTGTCGTCGTTGATCGATACACGAAACAAACGCACATCATGCCTACGAAAAAGGAAGTTGACGCTCGAGGAATCGCGAAACTTTTCTTAGATAACGTATGGAAACACCATGGAACTCCGAAGCAGGTGATATCAGATAGAGGAACACAATTCATCTCCAAGTTTATGGGACAAGTGTCGAAACGCCTAGGCATAAAATGGAACATGTCAACGGCTTATCATCCTCAGACAGATGGACAAACGGAAAGGATAAACCAAGAAGTCGAGCAATATCTGAGAATGTTCACGTCTTACCGCCAAAATGATTGGGTAGACTGGCTTCCGCTAGCAGAATTCGCTCACAATAATTCCGTCACTGTAACCGGTCATAGTCCATTCAAAGTACTCTACGGATACAATCCAGAGTTTACTTTTTCACCAATTTCCAATTCCAAAGTACCTGCAGCTGATGAACGAGTGGATGTAATGAAAGAGGCGAAAGAAGACGCAGAAAGTATGCTGCGCATGGCTAGTGAACGGATGAAAAGATTCTACGATAAAGGAGTAAAAGACGCACCACAGTTCAAGAAAGGAGACATGGTCTGGCTCAATGCCAAGAATATTCATCAGAAAAGACCGAATAAGAAACTCTCCGACCGAAGACTTGGTCCGTTTGAAGTGCTTGAGAAGACGGGTGATGTAAATTACCGCCTGAAACTTCCGGCAAAATATCAGATCCACCCAATATTCCATGTAGAATTACTCACTCCGCATTCCCCCTCGACCTTAATCCAAAGACCTCCACATCATTGTCCGCCGCCAGAGATCGTATCAGAAGGCGATTCCGAATGGACAGTACGAAAAGTCCTAGATTCGAGACTGCACAGATCAAAACTCCAATACCTAGTAGAGTGGGAAGGATATCCGATAGAAGAAGCGACATGGGAACCTGAAGAGAACCTCGAGAATGCACGGTTGAAAGTTCAAGAATTTCACCGGCAAAATCCGAAAGCATTGAATCCCCGCAAAATTAATAAATCGGTGTTCGAAACACAAGAATTCTTGGAGTGGCGTCGAAACTTTATCCGCCCAAATGTCTTTCGCGATGACGCTCAACCTAGAGAGGGGGTAATGTCACGAGTTCCAAATACGAACCATTATACATTCCTAAATTCTAAGTCCTTTAAGCGCCCAGTCACAGCGCCTGTTACTAAGAAAGTATTTATAGTTGAAGATGTCCCAACAACGGCGTCTATTGTAGAGTTAACTAAAGAACCTATGAACGAGTCACGTGACTTATCGGAATACGCCGGACTAAACTTTATTCCAAACGACCCTGACAGAATGTTCCAGAACCTTACGGTTGCTGCGGCACATGTCATGACATCATAGTTATATATAGAATCGTACGATATCATCTTATTATTTGATTGGTAGTTAGTTCAGACTCAGTTTCGATCTCAGTTACAAATATGTGTATATAGGTAGTGTCTTGTAGTCAGTAGTTCTTTAGTTCAAACCTCTTGTATCTCCTAGTGAGCAATCCGAGACGTACCTGCTGCCTTATCCTCTTTGTGATTATCTTGTTGTTTGAGTCCTAGTCTCTGCCCAGCGTTAATTCGTTATTGGGTTGTGACACTAACCAGCCATTAGAACGTTTCAAGCAAACCATTCAGTGCACTAGTGAGGTTCCAGCATACCGTAAATTTGTATGTACCCCCCATGATATTATTGATATCCCTTATCAACTAATTTAAATTCTTTTACTAGGTGCACGCCATGAGTGCATTCAACTTCGACTTATCCTTCGTCGATGTCTCTTCCAAGGGGGATATATACAACTACAAATCGATAAAATATGACATCAAGCCCGATGTTTGCGTATACCCGTCGAACATCAAGACCCCTGACAGGTGTGATGTGACGCAAGCTGAGATGATGGTAGAGTTCAAATGGAACAGGGGCGATGACCCATTCTCTACATCGTCCAGTGCTTCCTCGTTTATTATGTCTTCTCAACAAGCAAGAGACACGATGGGCCAAATCACCGCATACGCCTCTGCTCAGCTAGGTGCTCAGTGGCGCACTCACGCTTACCAGATCCTCATCATCAAGAACTATGCTCGCCTGATAAGGTGGGATCACGAGGGATTCATTGTCACTGAGCCTATCTTCTATCGAGAGTCTCCTGCCCTTATCGATTTCTTCCGACGCTACAACGTTGCACCTCATGCAATGCGCGGCCATGACGAAACTGTTTCCCGTGTTACATCACGTTACCTGCGTCTCATAACCACTGTCAGGCAGAAGCTTGGTTTACCATCGAATGCCCGAATCTTTCAGATCACAATGAAAGATGCAGACGGCTCAGACTTAACGTACTTAGTCCCTGCTCCGGTTGCAACAGGACTCTCCCCCATAGGGCGCAATACACGTGGATTCTCTGCATACGATACCAAGGGAGATCATGTTGTGTTCTTGAAGGACACATAGCGTGTCCTTTTGCCAGACATCATTCCAGAAGGGGATGTATACAAGCGTCTGAATGAGAAGCACGTTCGACACGTTGCAACGTGCCTAGCCTCTGGTGATGTTTTGGGTGGCTCGAACGCACATACCACCCAAACTGGTCGCTTTAAGGATGCGCCATGGGCCCATCCTACAGGAGCTATCCTTATAGCTTATGTTCACTATCGCCTCGTTCTTAATATTGTTGCTACCCCAATCACATCCTTCGTCAGTTCTCGCCAAGTCGTTGAAGTAGTGCGAGATGCTTTAATAGGTATGTGATTCTCTCCATTCTCGGGCAATGGCCATCTTATTTACTATTATCTCTAGCTCATCAGGATGCATATGAGAATTGCGACATCTTACATCGTGACCTCAGTGTAGGTAATATCATGGTGCATGAGAACGAAGGTATTCTCATAGACTGGGATCTCGCTAAATCGACTCGGGACTCGGGGCCAAGACAAATTACTAGAACTGTATGTACATTTCACTTCGGTGATGGTCATGACTCATGAACCCTAATGACGGTTGATAGGGGACATGGCAGTTCATGTCTGCTCGCCTTGTTGCCAACATGAACACACCTCACGACTTCCAGGACGACATGGAGTCAACGCTATACGTGATCTTATGGATCATGTTCATCTTCACGGTATCTTGTATCAGTGATGCTGAGCGATCACACTTCTTGCACACAACCCTGGACCCTGAGCAAGTTCAGGGTTTGGGGGGTTCCGGGAAGGCAAACTTCCTGCAATCGAAGTCTTCTATTACATCAACAACCCCTCTTTTCAAGGGTCGCCCGGCTCTTGACGCCCTCGTGCAGCAATTGCAAAAGACGTTCTCAGCAAGATACATCCCCTCAATGAAAGAAGCAGAGGAAAACGTCAGACTTGCAAAGCTTCATCTGCATGACCCGATAGTCGAGATGGCATTGCAGGACAACTTGGTTGCGATAAAGCTAGATGGCCTTGAGGCCATGAAATCGCACGAGGGCGTTATTAATATCTTCAATACTCACCTTGATTGGGAGGAAGGGTGGCTTGATGCTGATTCTCCTGATCCGCAGCGCATCCTTGTGGAGGACCACAAGGAACTCAAGGAATTTTACATGTCGAAGACTAATTGGTGGCTTTGGTCTGACTTACGTCCTGTCAGCAAGAGGAAGCGGAATGACGATGATTCCGAAGATGAATGACTTGTCAATCTCCTGCAAGTTGCGAGTTGCAACTGTGCCTGAGATTTATTCTCACTGGGATCGCTTATGTTTTTTTGCTGTGCCGTGTATCCTTTGCTCTCATCTTTATTGTTGTCTCATGTATTACTTTCCCAAGGTTGTTTCATGGAATCTTATGTGTTATTACTCATGGAAGGCGCCCGCTTACAGTCTGCTTAGTCTTGATATGCGATACCTGATGATTCGATCACAATTGACCTTGCTAACGATATCTCACAACACGATCTTTTTCTATCTTACTACACTTATACTTATATTTCACAGCAGTCTGTCCTTGAGGCCGCCCAGAACCAACTTTGCCGAGCCCTGGCCCCTGGAACCCTGACTCCCTGACTAGTGGCTAACATTTAAATGTGAGGGTGAGTTCGCGTCAACTCAAAGTTCAAACTTCATCGACTAACTTAATGTCGAGGAAGCTCAAACAACCACCCCCTGCATCTGAGGAACTTGCACCAAGCCTAACTGATGACAATGCAGAACTAGGGCGCAGCCATAGAGTTCCTCAGCCGAAGATTGCTGCAGATGGGTCTGTTGTTGGTGCTCCTCGTCGTAATCCCCGCAAAGATCCTCAACAGGCTCGCCTCCTCAACACAGCCGCACCTGTACATGCTCTTGAACCCATCGTAGAGAACCTTGAGCCTGTCCTTGAGCCTGTCCTTGATACCGTCGTTATACCAGCCAAGCTGAACAACCCAAAACCTCTAACCACATGTGCACCAGCACCTGCTACACCACAGCTGGTGTGTGCGCATCCTGTTGTGAGGAAGCGAACTCGCCAAGTCAGACAAGGTTGGCTTTCTCTAGTGCCACCAGAGACCTTAAGCAAATCAGACTTTCAACCATCGACTGATGATGATGCCAAGGACAATGATATTCCTTCAAGCTCTGAATCCTTTGACGGCTCTGACGAGTCAGACCTTGAAGAATCGGAGGTTACAGAGCCATCTGGGGGAGGATGGCTTCCAAGAAAGTCTAGAGGCGCACCTGATATCAATCATTTTTTCGAACGTACTTCTGAAAAGCAGACGTGCAGGTTGTGCATGTAAGTATTCTTTGCCTTTCCGATAATGACATTGACACTATCCTTCAGGAAGAAAAAGAAGATACCTCAGAAGAGCTACAGTTATGGCCCGAGGACATCGACCAGCATTCTCAGAGGCCACCTTGATGCTCTCCACTCAAAAGCATACCTTCGGTTCTGTGCCAAGCATCAGCTTGAGAACCAAATTACGCGCACAAGGACCCAGGCTGGAACTACCAGTGGTACCAATGCCCAAACAACAGAATCCTCTCAGTTGGACCCATCCATCGACGATTTCAATCATCAAGAATTCCATGCCCGTCTCATTCGTTTTATAGTTGCAGATGATCAAGTAAGTGTCTACATTTTGTAATATTTCATTATGTTGATTGCATCCAATATAGTCTATTAATGTTGTCGAGTGCACCGAATTTCGACAACTCCTACTCTTGTTGCACAAGGACTTGAAAGAACGTGACATCCCCAAGCGAACAAAGACGAGAGAACTTATCATTGTAGCATGGAAGAAGTATTTCGATGTTCTGAAGAATGATCTAAAGGTATGTGTCTCTTCTACCAAACCTCCCGAGTCCCGAGTCCTACTGATCTATCATATGTAGGCTGCACTAGGCAAGATCTCAGTGACAACAGATCTGTGGTCGGACAAACGTCGACACCCATACCTGTGTTTGACTGCACATTGGATCGCACGCGAGGCATCCCGCCTCGTTCTGAAAGCTGCTTTGATCGCTTTCCATTGTGTGCAGGGGCGTCATACCGGAGAAAACTTGGCTAATATTATTGTCCGCTTGCTTGATAGGGCCGAAATCACAGCCAGGGTATGCATCCTTGATGTATTAGACGTTCCTGCTGACTTCCTCTCAGATTGGGCACTTCACCATGGATAACGCCAATAACAATGATACCATGATGACCCATCTTGAGGTCTTGCTAGAAGAACGTGACGTCTCTTTTGATGCTCTCTCCCGCAGAATTCGTTGTTTCCCTCACATCCTTAACCTCTGTGTTGGCCATGTCGTCAAGAGTCTTACGAACTTGGATCTGACCGAAGATGATGATTGGATCACTACGCTTCCCCAGAACCTTTCCGAGTCACATACTTATGAGGAAGCCCTCGAACGTGATCCTATTGCACTTGGTCGCAATATTGTCCAAGTGCTTCGTGCATCTGGTATGCGCAGAGATGCCTTCAAGGCTATCATCATGGAAGGCAATGAGCAGTCATGGTGGACATACACGACAAAGGAGGGACAGACAGAGTCATGCGAACTTTCTGTTCTGCAGTTGCTTCAGGATTCGAGAACACGTTGGGACTCTGTTTACTTTATGGTACAATGCCTCCGATATCTACAGCAGGTAATGTGTTGGAATGTTTTTGTTATCATCAACTCAACCCATCATTAGCCTATCGATTACTTTCTTGAGCGCCCTAATAACAAGGAGTTACGAAGGCACAAACTCTCAACAACAGAGTGGCTTGTACTTCGTGATTGCGAAGTTATGCTGATGGTAAGCTCTATCAAATGAACTGAATGGTTAATAGTGATGCGCAATACTATTTTACATCCAGGTTCCTCATATCGCACTTCAGTCCATGTCGTCAGAACGATTGCCAGTCTTATGCGGCACCATCATCATCTTCAAACAATTCATTGCGAAGTGGAAGTCTCTTCAGAATAGCCAACCCCGTCTAAAGCCATTCTTGGACATCGGGTTACAATGGGCTCAGAAGTATTATGATCGTATGCAATCAGACGTGTACATCATAGCAATGGGTATGTAATTTTTACTTTGTCTTCCTTACTCTTATAATTAATGCATTTCATTAGTTCTCAACCCGGCATATCGCATGAGTTGGATCAAGAAACATTGGTCGCATGAGGGATCTGACAAAGCAATACAAGTAATCAAATCAAAGGTATTTCGAGCACATCTGACCTGGCGTTGTTTCTAACGCCCTGCAGATGCATGATAGCACACCCCGCTCCAGGGGACAGGAATATCGTCCAAAGTCACCTGTCAAGGTTGTCGCAAGGGCCCGCAAGCCTTTGTCATTGTTTGAGACCATCGGGGAAGAATACGGACTTGAGGATGACATGCTTGTATGTAATCTTCACGGTGGAGAGGACAAAACCGTCGATCAGGAATTTGACATATATTTCAATGGAATGACATCACCAATCGGCACTGATATATTGCAATTTTGGCTGGTATGTTGTCACTTGGAGGGCTATTTATCTTACGGTATTAATTTATACATATCTCTTATAGATGAACGAGTTCACATTTCCAATTCTTTTCTCGATTGCCATGGATTACCTTCCTATACAGGCTTCTGCAGTTCCGTCTGAACACATATTCTCTTCCAGTGGAGAGACCGCATCAACCCTGCACTTATGGAGGCTCTTCAAATGCTGAAGTTTTTCTACAAGAAGTCTCACCTTAATTTTACAGAGGGATTAGTACTTGATGAGCGAGCATTTGAGGAAGCTGACACTGACATGGACTTGCTCTCTGTACTCATGGAAGCACAGGGAAAAGATAGCGTCAAGAAGTTGGACAATCTTTTCCGTCTCTTGGCGAAGGATGATGAAGACGATGCTCTCGATCAGAATGTCATTGAGTTGTCTGAAGGCAGCAACCCCGAGGATGAGTGTTGATTAGGTATCTCGTTATATCTGACAATCTACTATTTATTTCAGACTGGACTGCGCTGGATCCATTATTGATGATCTATGTTGTACCTACTAGTACTACTGCAGTGCTACCTAGTACCTACTCATGTTTTGAAGTTCGAAATTTATTCTGGCCTTGTTACAAGCCTACAGTGATCACACTATGACGAACACATGATTCTATTCTCTCCAGCATTTGCTGAAAGCCGAAAGACCTCGCAATTAGCCGACTGAAGTCACTGAACGTGTCGTGCATCATTACTGCATGTTGTGTACTGTCAGTGTACACTCTTTCTCGTCAACTACTGTGCTATTAGGGATGAAAGCTCCAAACACACCTCTATCTTTCTCAAAGCCCAACATTGTAGCCAAGGGATCAGGATTAGAGCCTTTTCAGATCGATGGGAGGTTCAGGCTGGGTGCAGAAATCGGGTCTGGATCACATGGTGAGTCCTGCTTGTTGTACAGGTAATATAATTTGATTCAAGTGTTATAGGTCGCGTGTTCATCGCCAAGGATATTTTTACTGGCCAGAAGGTCATAGCAAAGCTAGAACGTTCAAAACCAAGAACACTAGAGCAGGAGTATGCTGCGTACTTGGCTCTTGCTGGTGGAAACAGTATTCCGCATATTCACTGGTTCAGATCAGACTCTGGACATCACGCAATTATAATGGAACACCTTGGTCCCTCGCTCGAGATGTATTTCAATGCCTGCAACAAAAGATTGGACTTACAGACGGTAATTTCATTTGCAAAGCAGCTGGTGCGTAGGCAACTTTACTGGTCTATAGTATTTGGTATCCGCAGCTAACTTGAAAATATAATAGATTTCGTGCATTGAGTATATTCACTTGCATGATTACATCCATCGTGATATTAAACCCTCCAATATCGTTCTCAGCAGAGAAATAGATGAGGTTGAGAGCATCAAGCTTTATATCATCGACTTCAGCGTTGCACGACTGTTCCGTGACTCGAATCGTCGTCACATACAATTCAAAAACGACCAACACTTTGTTGGAAATCTACAATTCGCATCCATCAATGCTCATCGAGGTGTGGAGCAGAGTCGGCGCGATGATATCGAGTCACTCACTTATGTTCTTGTGTATTTGATATGTGGTGATCTCCCTTGGGCTCCACTCGATTCAGAAGATGCGTACCCCTGCGACAGTTCAAGTCGTATTTTGCAGTCGAAAATCCAGACCTCTCCCAAAACACTCTGTTTTGGACTTCCCTCAGGATTCGCCACCATGCTCACTTATGCTCGCGGTCTTCAGTTCAGCGAGAAACCAGATTATCCCTACCTTCGTCAACTTCTGTAGAGTCCTTATCTTTTTGTATGCATTCAAGACTCAAGAGCTCCCTTTCCACTCTCCGTGTCTGTCTTGACAGAATTTGTTTGCTTATTTCTGTAATTTTACTACTCAGATTTGGCTTCCCTAATACTCGGGTCACACTGCTTCCTGCCCAACCTGTAAATAGCCGCTTGCAAGCCACTTTGGAACTGAGCCGGCGCTTAGCTGTGGTTCTACCGGTTTGGCTAGCCGTTTATAGGATAAGCTGTGGCTTATTAAGCCGAGCTGCAGCTGCCGCAACACTACCTGCAGCAGGTCTTCAAAATTGCGTGCAGCAAGACATTTCATCGCTGATGCATTCCTGTGGAAACATCTAATTGTTCCCCTTCCAAAGGTGGGGACCTGACGGTACCTGCAATTTGTAAGTAGATAGCTGCTGTGTTACCGCTGCAAAAACTCATACCTCAAATTAAGTTCCTGAACTGCAAAACCACCTGCAGCCACCAGAATATGCATAAGGTGTGTGAATATTGCCTTCCACACACCCAGCTCGAACTCGTGGAGGAGGTCAATGACGAGCATTAAGAAAAAATTGAATGCATATTCAAGGAAGCATTCAGAGAACACATTCTGGAATCATGTAAGTGACCAGGTGTGCGCATAAATAGATGGCTTACACGAGTAGGGACCAGCAATTCCTCTTGTAAAATAGTTTTGATGCGCTGTCCATTGATGCCAATACCATATCTAAAAATAAGGTGTTGCGCCTGTTCAACTTTACGATGACGTTTTTCATCATCGACACACTGAGTTGCCTCACAACGCTTCATATCCAGCTTTGTACCCATCTTGGGAATATCTTCTTTCTTGATAAGGCAGTGGGGACAAGGACATTCACCGAGAAACTTGATACATGCAAGCAGAATTCTGTAATAAAAGTAGAGTCAAGAGTAGGTTACAAGAATCAACGCAAACTACTTACTTTTCAGGGTAGTCTGCAGAATAGCTGAAGAATCGAGGGAATACTCGTCGTGTGATCCCATCTCCGCATCGAATAATGATACCATACTTATATGCATGCATGAACTTGTCGTCAAGCAGAAGTGCCCAGATAGCTTGCATCAGCTCGTGCTTGCAATGAGTATAGGTATCATTTGAAGACGCCTCGCCAAAAATACCAATGTAGATGTCTTGAAAGTTGTCTGGAAGCTTAGATCACAATATTAATTAGTAAGGTCGAATAGTGCTTCCAAGAAGCGACTTACTGTAGGAATATAAGCTACATGATGACATGCAGATGCTGTGGGCTTGCCTTGCATATACTTGGACTGGTTACCGAAAAACAAGTAGACCGGCCAGAGAGATGCATTGCCAAAACTTGCGAGATGAGTAGCATCTGACCACATCATCAATGAAGCAACAACTCGCTCCAGATTATCGTCGGCATCTCAAGAAAGAGAATTGATCTCTTTGTAGGCTGCCAGAAAGGCAGGCGAAGAATACACCTCGCTGTAAACATTTACTGTGCGCTCCTCTGACACTTTCCATTGCTGTTGGAAAGGTGTCATGTGGAATGTACATGAAATACTATCCTGGAAGACGGCTGTGATGATGTCAGTGAGCGAGCGGTGATAAACGCCTGGAATCTCCATTTCTGGAGCATCCTCTTCTGACGCAAACCTCTCCTTTTCTTTAGGCAGACGAATTTTGACCGAAGAGCAGTGCCAGCCATTCTCCATGTGGAATGGATTAGATCTGTCCTTAAGATAGTCCTGTATAAGCCTCTTCTCACGAACAGTGTCATACACTCGTGCATCTTCCCTCCGGTAATTGTCGTCGTCAAGAAAATCCCATCCAAGGTGTTTCATTTCAGCATTCGACTTTGAATTGGATCCAGAGTATTGCCAGCAAAAGAGGAGGCCTGCTGTTGGGCTACTGAATGCGGAGAAAATTTTGTCAGGCCAGATATCTGGGGAGGGAAGTCCAGGAACGATCAGGGATTGCTCCAAATGAGTGTTACCTCGAGTTTCAAAGGTCGGAGCATCGGCAATGGCATCCAGCCCTTCATTTCTGACTGGTATCAAAGTGGGACGTTGCGTGTATATGCGGAAGAGACCCATTGAATCAGGTTGAGTCTCGTAAGGGATGAGTGTGGGCTGGTCTTGAACAGCAGCAGGAGGGGTTCCTGGTTCTTCTTGAGGTAGGGATGGTGACACGGATAGGACAGAGGGCTGGCCACGAGTCTGATGAGTGGTAGAGGGCATATGTGCTAAGTGGGTTGCTGTCCCTGGGACATAATCCATGTACCGTGCTGGCATCCGGATTCGTCGACCAGACCGGACAGAGACAGTAGCAGCGACCAGTGGATCTGGGACAATGCCAGAGGGACCAGCATTAGAAGGTCCTGGTGCATTGTTTTCAACCTAGTGAGGATCAGCGCATGAACTTGAGAATATATTATATCCTTACCTCGTCAATGTTGTACCATCCATCGTCAACATCCATCTGCTCCTCAACAGGAGGTGAGTTGCGAGCAGGGGGAGTTTTTTCTTGGAGTGTTGGCGACCGAGACACTTCCCGAAGTCTCCTTCGCTTTCGCTTCTTCCGCTGCTCCTTTTCGAGGTGCTGCTGGCGCTTGTAAATATCAGCATCTAGACTTTTGTTAGCGGAACATTGAGCTTCATGACTACTCAAGCATTTTTGAGTTGTGAAAGACTTCGCGCAACCTAAACAACTAAGGTCGTCCATACAAGATGAACTCAAAGGATGGTGGGACTCAAGGTTTGACTCAAGCATGGACAGAATGGTAGAATATTTATATTGCATTGTGTAGATGTAGCTACACAGATGCCGATGCATTACCTAGAGGTACAAAGCGCTATGCAGGTAATTAGTATACCAGAATATAGATAGAATAATGCGGCGCACCTGCGGACCATAACTTAGAGCAACGAAAACTTATGCAGGTAATCAACATTCTGGAACATATGAAGAACATAGTGAACGCACCTGCTACCAATCCTGATCCTCAAGTATCCAACTGGGGCAGGCCTAAGACGGATATCCGATTATTTGATACTCTGCAAAGTAGTATCAGTACAAGTCTACAGCGTGCATCAAGATTCCACTTACCTTGATCCAGATGGCTGCAGTGTTGATACTGCAGGATGACCAGTATCTACATGTTGAGATGCGTGTTACGTGTATAGAGTAGTTAGTACTAACTTTCGCAGTAGTGGCTGGACTTGTTGTCGCACAAATCAATCGATCACGTGTTATGATACATGCGGAAATTACTAAGAACATGACATATATGGTCTTGATATCTTAATCTCATACTACTCCCACCATCATCATGGCGCCCAAAAAATGTTCCAGATCAATCTCGATTTCCTCTCAATCTTCGATATCATCCAGTAGCGAAAGTAGCTCACTGAGTTCTTCCGAAGATTCTCGTCCTCCTCCCCCAAGAAAGCAAGTCAAGAAACGTGTGCGCTCAAGCACCGACAAGGAGGCTTCAAAATCAAAGTAAGTGTGATCTATCTATCAGGATCAAACTAATATATTCTTATCACTATTAGGAAATCCAACAGATCCAAGGCAAGCAAGGAAGATCCTCACGAGGAGTACCTGGTAGCTGCGCATGGCATCGCACATTGTGTCGACTTGTTTTGTAAGGTCGACAAGCTCATCAAGACTGGCTGTCTACTTCAGCAAGAGGAAGCTGTGGAGAAGGGAGAGCTCGACGAATCTGAGGCTGAGAAGGAGACTCGCAAGAGGAGACTCTCTACTATGTAAGTCCGATTTGATTGAAATTTTTTCTTGAGCTAATGTTTTCTTTAGGTCATTAAAGACTCGTGATTGATATACTCGGAACTATCAGCAACTGCTCCACTTAGCTCCAAGCATTCGATCACTCATTAACGATCGCACCAAGGCCAGGGAACTGACTAAGGTCACTCAAAAGGTGAGTATATGCTATTTATATGCGCATATATTGTGTACTTAGACCTGTAATAGATGAATACAGTCATTAGTGCGACACGATCAGATGATGCAGCTCGTTTGAAGTCGCAGATTGGACACTATGTGGCGCCAATTCCATCCGATGGTGGTTTAAGACCCGCTATCTACAATGGCAATCCCTCCAGATCGCATTTGGGTGTGAATCACCCTGTTTTAGCGTCCTTTCTTTGTCCTGTTTCGCATCTTGCAGAATTTAACAGAGACCCAGCTGAGTACGCTGTAGGGATTCATTTCTGGCTGGGCTTGTAGAGACTGTTTTTACCTTACCTTATGTTGGCACTTTTGTAGCTTACATAAGGAAGTTATCTTTTCACCAGTTACCAGTAGGAGTCAGAGTACTCAGCAAGTTTTCATGATATTTCCTCTCCTCTGAGCCTTGAGCCTGGTCCAGAAACCCTTTAGGGTCGAATAGCAGCTAGGTTCTGCAAGACCCAACATTGTTCAGACTCACTCTCTGAATTGTTGTACCTTCAACGCGTTGTTTTATATAGTGTGTTCTTACTGAGATTCACATTCCACAGGGGCCAGAAGAAACTTGCCAGTGGAGGAATTCGCATGACTGCAAACGACTTCCCTGCATTCCTTTGGTCCAGGAACCCCCCTGGATGTGACTACGACGATGACGCTATGACAGAAGGCCTCCTCCAGGGCTATCTCATTGAACATGTAAGTTTTTCTTCGGTATAGTCATCAGCCTCACTAATAATGTGCCTAGGTAATGCGACATATATTTACGGGCCCATCAACAGCTCTGGGTCAAGACTCACGGGCAACACGAACTTGTAATGCTATGCTACACGACGTGACAACTGTCGAAGCGGAGCATATTGCTTATGCTTGTGTACAGGTAAGTCCTAGTTTACTAGCAAATGCTGTCTCACACTGTTTAATTTGCAGGCACATTTTGGAATCAGCGCGCAGAATAAATGGTCGGACATCGACGGCAACTTCAAATACCCGGAGTTTTACCACAATATCATCGACTTCATTCGCGACTGTGGAGATACAGATTGGGTAGGGGAACTCAAGAAGTGGTGGAACATGTACGTGTTTCTTTAAATCATTTGACTCTACTAGCTATCATGTTTCTGGTAGGTCACTCTTCAAGAACGAGGCCGGCCAGGAAGGTGGATCAGAAGCTCGGCCATCTGCAGATGAGTATGGAAGGAGTTCCTCGGGTTCCGTGGATAGCCTGGCGAGAATGCGAGCACAGGTTGCGGCATGCTCCACCACTACCAAATCTTCTGCAGCTCCCGCAGTCCCTGATCGTCCTCTACCGGCCCGTCCTGTTACTCCTCCTCCAAGCTCTCCGGCCCTAACTCATGCTGAATCTCCTCCTGCTCCACTTCCACCTGCCCCTGCCCCTGCCCCTACTGCCCCTGCCCCTACTGCTCCTGCCCCTGCCCATTCTTCTCCTTCGAACTTCGCTTCCACCTCACGCAAGTCACCTGCGTTAAGCGAATTAACGGATAATGAAGACGCACTCGATGATATCAGCAATGGAAAGTCGAAATGTCCGCCTGCCAAGACTCATTCGAAAGGGAAGGGTAAGAACAGGCGCATCGAGGATTCTGGAGACAAGGAAGCTCAGCGGCCGGCGAAACGTGCAAGGAAGCAAACACGCAGGAGATAGTGACAGACTGTTTTTTGTTGCATGGTATGTTCCCTGTCATTTTATTGGTCTGTACTCATATATCCGATTACAGGACTCGTTTTCACTCAGTTCCCGCGCTTTCATGCTTTCACGCGTTCATCATGGACTCGTACCTCCGACTCACACTCTCATCGTCTTCCCGATGCATGCTTTTTAGGGACTTACACTACATTGACTCGCGTTTTCGTACATTACACTGTATGTTATGTTCTTATTGTATCGTATAGATACAAAATACAATGGATTGCATGGATATATCTGAGTGATGTATAATGCCTGAATTATCTACACGATGGACAATGTCGCAAGCCGAAGTATGATGTGCACGCATATGTTGATCGAATTTAGCGTTCCCTAGGATGACAAGACATACCTGGACCGGCAGCCGATATACCCGGCAGTCCTGATACCGTAGACATGACCATACATGGTCCGGTCTGAGTTGAGCAATTTTTGTGATGATTCATCTTACTGTATCTTACTGTGTATCTAAACATCATACCCCCACATTCTGCGCCCATAGTACATCCGGCCATCTCATCCAACCATTTCACCCGACCCTCATCCAACCCCCACAAAGGCCAATCAAGCATCCGCAACCTGCCTCTCCGGCATGCTCCAACCAAGCAACCTCATTGTGCCCCGTCACCCAGAGTATGCAAGACCTGGTGTGAATGTTCTAAATTGTGGTTGAACCTGGTTCGAACGCAAACTGGACCTCCCGAACACGTTCAGCAACATTCGGTCATGTGTTTCTCCTCAAGATGGGTAACACAGTTGCCCTGTGGATGCAGAAGGGCGGGAATGGAGAGTAAAGCAGAGGGAGAGCGTGCTGGACTCGCGTGCTGATAACAGCTGTACAGAGAATAAACGGTGGCCTCCTTTTAGGACCTGCGGAGAGATGTACCGGTTCTTGCCCAAGTGCCGCATTCGACACTCCAGACGACAGTGAAGATGTCATACCTACCGTCGATGATCAGCCCCAGTCGTAGGACAATTTGTAGCGCACTATTCATGTACTGCCCTTGATATATTTATATCACACATGAGTCATTGACCGTAAGAACTTGGAAGATTCAATCTCATCAAGATTGCAAGGTACCAACAATATACTATGAGAGGCACCAAGGACATATGAGATCTGTGAGATCAAGACTTGTCGCCTATTAGAGGATGGTATGGCATAGTGAAGTCATGTATTACTGGGCACTATACAACAGACTGATTCGTGTATCACAATTTCGCTATGGTAAGAGTAAGTGATACATCACTATCCCAGCTACAGGTGTGGTGAAGGTACAACAATTCAGAGAGTGAGTCTGAAACATGTTGGGTCTTGCAGAACCTAGCTGCTATTCGACCCTAAAGGGTTTCTGGACCAGGCTCAAGGCTCAGAGGAGAGGAAATATCATGAAAAACTACTGAAGACTCAGACTCATACTGATAACTGGTGAAAAGATAACTTCCTTATGTAAGCTACAAAAGTGCCAACATAAGGTAAGGTAAAAACAGTCTCTACAAGCCCAGCCAGAAATGAATCCCTACAGCGGGACCACTCAAAAAGAGGAAAAAGTAGTATTAAGTACAATAACCAAACTACATGTAGAAAAGATACTAAGTGAGCAAGTCCAGAGGCATTTGATCGCAACATCTGTAGATGAACGAACACGTCAAAATGGTCATGGGTGTATAAGTAGGAGATAGGACGATCTTCTTCCGAGATAGCGAATGAGTACTGCTGTGTGCTGAAGTAGAGGGAAAAATCTAGTGAGTGTAACTTCGCACCCATGCGCATCATCTTCCAAGTTCTTCCGAGATGGTGAATGAGTACGAGCAGGAATTGCCGAAGGGTTCAGAATTGAGGTGTGTGGGTAGGTAGATGAAGGGACTTAGATCTTGGACGCAAACTCAACGAATGTGACAAGTCACACACATGACCTGTGTTCGAATCGTTCCACTCACTGTCCTTTGCAACTCGCTCTACACATGTCTCTGCTATGAAGTTCCAAACTAATACATGCTTTCGAACGCCACTCACCCTCTGTCCTTGACATACCATTCTCCATCTTTGTGGTTCAATGTAAGTCCTTACCGCCTGTTTGCTGTACTGCGCAGTCTGCGCTGAATGCCGTTCTCAGTGTTCAATCCTCGTCATGCAAGCGCTCTTGGAACATTCAATGCAGAACTACATATCTCCCACTCTCAGTCGGTGCATGATCTTGTCTTTCGAGGTCCTTAGGCAACGCTGAATCGCTGATGGTGCCATGGCTATGTTCTGCTCTAAGTCAGTGCGTGATCTCGTCTTTCAAATTTCTTAGGTGATGCTGATGTACGACAGCTATGTCCCACTCTCAATCAGTGCATGATCTCATCTTTCGAGGTCCTTAGGCAACGCTGATGGTGCCACGGACCTGTTATGTCCCACTCTCAGTCGGTGCGTATCTCGTCTTTGAAGCTTCTTAGGTGACACTGACTCTGGTGCCACGGCCATGTTCCGCTCTCAGGATGTACATGATCTTGTCTTTCAAGCTTCTTAGGGCAACGCTAATAGTGCCACGGCCACGTCCCAACTCTCAGTTTGTCCTTACCATTCCTGGTGAGTTTTTTTATTGAATTCTCATTGAGTAGCTACTGATTATACAATGTGTTGTAGATGGAGTCACCTTAATTTTGTGCTTATCACGCTTTTTATGTATACCTGTTATTCTGCTATCAAATGCTTGTACCGCTTTTTCTGCTTTATTTAAGTGAAATAAGTGTAAAATAAGCGAAAATCCAGACAACGAGTGGGCTTAATAAGTGGCTCCCGCTTTTTCACTTGATCGACTTATGGGTCCCTTTTATGTAATTAAGTGACAAATAAAGTAGAAAAAGCAACCAGTAGTTTTCCTGATGCTTTTATGCTGCCGCAATACCTAGTACTACTAATATCATGCACTGTCGTAGCACATTGTTTCTCATCATATCAATTCATAGTTTCTACTGTACCACATTACATGGTGTGATAAGATTTTATCTGAAAATCGAACAAAAAACTCATGTCGTCAGAGGAGATCGTGGATTCGTGCCCCATCATGCAATATATGTGATGCCCACCGACGTCATATGTTTGTCTCGACAGTCTTGAAATACCCCATGGAATACTCAAAATACTTGCGTCAAACGCACCCAAATGTCCGTCATTTGGAAGCTCTTGACCAGACACTACCAACGCCACCTAGGACGAGCAAGAAAGTCTCGACGATGCGGCCATGGGCATACAGGAGCCAAAAGAAGGCCTAACAACAATCAAACATCAACAAACAATATAAAACATCCGGGATGATAACTGGAGGAAAATATTAAGTACATCGAGATGGCCACAGTAACAAGCTCCAAAAGGGCGAGACTTGCGAGCTCGCCAAAAGAAAAGAAGAAAGTAAAACCGGTTGCCCAAAGCGATCACCATCTCGTGCCCTCCACTAAGGGCAAGCAAAAAGCAAAACAATCCACGAAACCTGTTAGTACTCTCCCAACCTTCTTCAAGGTAATCGCTGGCTCCTACGAAAAACTGCTATACGGCTTTGATGGATCCGTCTCGCTCGATGAGATCAATGATGGCTACAAGTTCGAGCTGAAACCCATCTTTATATTCCCCGCACATGTATCGTGCATCAAGGCCGTCGCCGCGTCTCCGAACGGGGGAAAGTGGCTTGCTACTGGGAGCGCAGACGAGGTTATAAAGGTCTGGGATTTGCGTAGAAAAAAAGAGATCGGCGGGCTCATGCACCACGAAGGTGAGTTACAGTGCTCTATACATCTGCCTCTTAACAAATTGTTGCGACAGGATCCATCACACAGCTTCAATTCCCCTCTCGCTCGCATCTTCTCTCAGCGTCTGAGGACGGTACATTATGTCTTTTTCATGCACGCGACTGGGTCGTGCTTCGCACCCTCAAAGGTCACAAGGGACGAGTCAATTCTACGGCGGTGCATCCGTCTAATAAAGTCGCGCTAAGCGTAGGAAAAGACAATACGCTGCGCATGTGGGATCTCATGCGCGGAAAAGGATCTGCTAGCACAAAGCTGGGGAAAGGTAAGTGTTTGTTTCCCTCGGCCCCGCATTCATTTCTCACCTCATTTGATGGTATAGAGGGGGAAACCGTGCGGTGGTCAGCGACAGGCTCGTCATTCGTCGTGCAATCTCAAAATACGATCGATTTATTCACAGTCGTAAGTGCATATCATAATTTTTCTGTCTATCTGTAAATTCAATTTGATCGCACTTAGGACATGGTTCTTCGCCACACAATCACGCATCCCTCCCGAATACATACAATTCGGTATAGTAAACGAGTGAATGGCTCCGGAGAATTATTACTCGTTGGCGCAGAAGACAAGAAATTGTCGATCTACGACATTCCAGATGACCCAGAAAAAATGCCCACTGTCATCGCAGAAATGACTGGACACTCCAATCGGTACGTACAATGCATTCGTTTTGACTTTGTTTTTATCATCTTTTTTTAGTGTAAAAGCGGTCGAGATTCTTCCTCTCGCACTACCCAGATCAACCAAGGCAAATGCATCCCTCTCGACGATCATCCTGTGCACCGTCTCATCTGACGGTAAAATCCATATTTACGACCTGGCTTCACTGCCTGCCGACCAAAAAGCTGGAAGTGAAACGTTGCAGATACCACCTGTGGCTGAGTACGATACAAAAGGCACGCGGCTGACGTGTGTGACCATCGCGGATGGTGAGGCTCTCGAGCATGCCAAAAGTGTGAATGGGAAGCGGAAGCGGGGAGATGAAGACAGCGAGCAGGAAGATGAGGATGAAGGATGGGGAGCTCCTGAACAAGAAGCAGAGCACGATGACAGTGGGTGAGGCAGAGTTTTGGTAGGTCCACTATTATTGTATCTTGGCTGCTATGAACTCATAAACTCATCGATGCTCGTCTTGTTTGCGTTTCGTTATGGTGTTCTTACTAGCATAAGCTTCAACCTTGTGTCACCACTGATTCGGAGTAGCATAGTGCCTATTGCACTCGCGTGCATCGAAAATGGAGTATGATATGATCACCAAGACAGTCCACCAACAGATCCTCCATACTGTGCGACCTAGCCCGCCCAGGATGTCGAGCGTAAAGTGAGCCAAAAAATGGCCTGCAAAGCGAGAGGGCGTATGAGCGTAGATACGACAGGCATATGGAAGACAGGACTGCCGCGCTCCGTTACATAGCGTGACCACAGTCATATCGGGCAGGTGTGATGCAAGGACTCCGTGCACCTCTAGTGTCATTCAACTAACACAAAAAAGACAAACTCTACGCTAAGTTAGGTCACCAATCAAATGTTTCATCATTGTCCTCCTCATCAGAGAATCCTGCAATAACTAATGCCTCTTCCTCTATGATTGGAGCTGTAGGCAGTAAGTGTGCACCTGGTTCGTCCAACTCAGCCAGTTCATCCAGCCGGTGATGATCAGATGCATCTAATGTGCGGTAATTTAGCGCAAACTTGATTCAAACAGAGAAAATGTACCGAGACCTTGTCCGCCGTGAATGCCACCCATATAGTAAGCGCCATCAGTATCCTCGTGAAAAAAAAGGTCGTTTTGGTTTTCGAGGAGAGGCAAAGGCTCTTCCTCTTCGTCTGGGTCAGTGCCATCTGTAAGAGACCTGACAACGGCTGGCACCTGCACAGAGCGCTGCATTGAATCATACAAATCTAAGTAGATCGTCCACACGGACTGGCGAGTGATTGGAGGACGGCCTAGGTCTTCATAACAGCCTTGAATGAAGTTGTTGAGGCGTCGGGGAACCAAATCGAAGACCGGATGATCAGGGTTCACATAAAGACGGCGGACATAGTCTATATCGTCTTGTTTGACTGTTACCTAGAATGATAAGCCGGTTAGTGTGACAACACGGTTCAAGTAGTATTTGAACGAAGCGCACCTTAAAGTTTAAGGCCCCGAAATCTTCTGGAGACTCGTATATTAAATTAGGTACACCATGTGGAAGCACCTAGATTGTAAGCGCTAAACAAATATAAATGACCACTATCAAACAATCAAATACCTTGTTACGATCTGGCCTCTTGAGGGTGTTATTAACGCGGTCCTGATACCTATCTAGCTCGCACTGAAGCCACGGAATAAAAATCCAGCGGAAGATCATGCTAAATACACCGCTGTGAGCAAAGTCGAAATGGTGGAAAGCCAGGCCCGAAGTCACTTACACCTGAAGGGTGTTATCGCTATCATACCAGCCGTTCTCCACTCCTTCATCCAAGAGTGTTTCGAAACCAGGAGTAAACCGTCGCCGTAACTGAGACCAAGTGATCTCCGGTTTAACGTTCTTCTTGGTCCGCATCCAGCGGTGTTGTAATGTACCTTGCAGCGCCGGATCGTACATTTGACGAAGCATAGTGTGTGCGTTGGCGATTCCGTAGTTTTCAGTGCCGGGATCACTCTGAGTCACTAGCGGAATATCTGTCATACCCAGGCAAGGCAACTTGAATAAGTAACAGTGCGATAGATAGTTATTAAAATGAACTTACGGCCCAGTTTCTGGATGGTCTCAAGATAGTATGTGAGAATGAGCTGGGGGTTGCGGTTAGAATGCCAGACTCGGATCCACATGATGCGACCCGAGAATGGCTCCACTCCAGTATGCAATGCAAGACCGAATCAAAGCCACTTATCGTGTTGATCAACAGCAAATAGTCGGGCACAATGATCCGACTCGCTGAAGAATTTGCTGACTCTCAACTTAGATGCAACTCAGTACTGCGGGATATCAATGACCCTCCACTTACTAGATGCAACTCTTCAGAGCGGTGAGTTTTTCCAGGCAGTCTTTATATAAAGCCTGTCTCTGAAGTGTTGTAGGGCCACTGTTCCAACAATATTCCTTCAATTCCTTCAACTCATCACACAAGCACCTACTAGCGTCATGGAACTCGTCTCTCAGTTTACCGAAGATGCTATTGCCAAGGAGGACCGTGTCTGTGGTCGACCTGCTTGCTGTGGCACGATACTCAAAGGCGCTCCATGCTATTATGTTGCCACCATTGTGCCTGGCCAACCTGGTCGATTCGTTTGTGAAGCATGTTACTTGCGATACTCACAGAAGCTTTCAACTTCGGTCCGACCCTCTTCAGTCCGCCCTTCTTGTAAGTACACTTGAAACCCCTATATAGCTTTTGATCAATGACGCTATTAATTACATCCAGCTGCACAATCACAGTTACTTCCAGATCCTCATATCATATGCCAGACCGTGAATGCGGCACAACGCAAGTGTAAGTCAAATTTCTCTATTACGTATCAAACATGTCTGAATGGCGAAATTTAATAGCAACTATCAATCCACCCCGCGTAGTACCCTTCTTGTCTCAGCCCTCCAGTAGCACTGCGCACATAGGCCGCATTTCAGGCCCAGATATCGCTGTGCCTCTATCATGGCAACAATCGCCGGCTAGTTCCAACCCAAACATGGTATCCGGTGCCGCAGGATATTCCGTGCACCATGCTCAGTATGGTCTGGAGCGTGAACGATGGGCTAAACTGGCATATGCTCCGCCCCCTGCAGAGACCATCACATTAGAGATATCAGCTGTATACGAGGGAAATTCACGGAAGAAAAGTGGGCGCGGCATCAACTTTGGGGTACATTTGTTTTTCTTTCTATCTCTCCAGGTTGCTGTTTTTCTGACGCTCATAAATCAGAATATTTGTGAAGGAAAAAAGGACATCGACACTCGCTTGGACGCCCCTGGGCTTATACAAATCGCTTTAGATACTATTCTACCGAAAATCCTCACATTTGGAAGGGGATTTCTTTGGCGCACCGAAGAATTCGTTGTCCGGGATGCTACCTGGGTTGACCTATCTGGACATTTGCCTGCCATTCCGTACTTCTTAGCTCAGTGCTTAGTCCAATCTCGACGCGGACCAAAGACGACAACTTTCAAGACCAGGCAATTCTTACTCATGGTTGTTGTGCCTGCAGCGCAGTGGTGTGAGTATGAGGCATGGCTGGAAAAAACTGAAGAAGAAGTAAGATTCCGCTCATTCAATGTATTGTCACTCTGCTAACTCATAGATTTCTCAGAATACCTTGCGTGAACAGCTCCAACGACACAGATCTATCAATACTGTTACTGAAGAACGAGACCCTCGAACTTCCGGCACCGACTCAGAAGACCCATGGGCCGCACAACAAGAGGATGAAGACCCTTTTGGTCTTGACTTCGAAGGACCGGATGCCTTATCTACTGTGGGACGTAATTCCGCTGTTACTGACAGCTCAGCACATAATCCGACACGTCCATCAGCAAAGCGGGCTCATGTTCGCGGAGAGAGCGACTCCACGAATAGTACCGTCTCACCTCCTCGCAAGAAGCCAGTGCCTGGTGTATTCCACCTTCCTGACCGTAATTATTTGAAAGAGGCCTTGAAAAGTGGAGGTAGTGTAGATGCTGTGCGTGCACCTAAAGGTGAGTTTATCCTTTGTCTTGAGGCAGGCATTCTAATGAGCATCGACTTTAGTTTATGACTTCCGCAACAAGGACATTCAATTCCATCCAATCCCTGTGCGCCCACTAGCCGATATCTTGAAGACTCCTCAGTATCGTTCATTCAAACCCAACATCTCAAATTCGTCTATCGGACAACTCACTATCGATGTCCCCATTCGCAGCATGATCGGGATCGGTGCCTTTAAGACAGCTCATCCAGGGTGGCTCACGCTATCTCCCCTGTCCTCCAGTGGCCTTGGGTCGCGTGCTCAGCAGGATGTTGTCGTCAAGCGGCCATTTCACAGACCTCCCCCTCACACTACTGGATTCAGCGTCCTCAAGATTTCACGTTACGCACTACCAGATGAGCATGAAAAACTCCTCAACGAATGTAACTTGTTGTACTGGGCAAAATCTCTCCTCAACTTCACTTACGAGTACATCGATCACTGTATCGATGCCGCACCGACTCCGCCATCTTTTTCAATCCCCCGTGTGCGTTTCGTGGAAGCGGGCATTGCTTTGGCATTTTCTCGCCACTCGTCAAACACTCAGGGCACCTCCGAACAAGCTCCGATGGCAGATATTAAGGCAGGGATGTTTTCGGCAGTATATCTCCTTGAGGAGCGGGTGACATCGGGTACTCCTAATGATCAGACGTTCACGAAGTTCATCCACAACAAAGACTACGGACCTTCACTCGACGAGGACGAATACGGCTATGACGTAGCCGTCTTTCTCTCGTTTACTCAGCATATCCAGTATGAAAAGACAGAGGGTCTGGCATTCATTTCTGATTATCAAGGCAGCACCGAGCTTCTGACTGATCCTCAGATTTTGACCCACCGGTATGTGCATTTTCAGCTACTATGATTGGCGACCTTCGTTAACCGGTGTTGCTTCTCTAGCTCGGTCAATGAAGGAATTGATCTTTTCGGTGATGGGAACATTGCAAGTGTGGTGGACGACTTTAAGGCAAGGCACCTCTGTAACCACTACTGCAAGTGGCCAGGATTTGGATTGGAAGTATATGCTTAGGAGAGTTACTTATTTTGACCAGTTACGATGGACCTTGTAATCCCAGCGCGCTGCCAGGCGGAGACACTTTCAAGTCAGAAAGAACACTTGTAAATAACTTATTTATTCGAGATTGGAGTGCACGGAGTCCTATTGCCTTATATGTGATTGTGACATGACTAAGTGAGCGCGGCAGTCCTGTCTTCCATACAGGCATCTATTGATGCAGCTAATGAAGCAGGCACAACAGACAAGAGGCGCAATACATCAAAAAGTAGAGTTGTTAGAGTGCTTGATGGAACCACTGCACCGATGGATCCGAGACAGGTAAAATACACGACGTCGCAGCTCGTCGCAACTGCAAATACGGAAGGTACTAGTAGGTGTCACAGTTTAATTGGATCCCTTGTACCTGGGGCCTACGTGGTCGATTCTCGAGCGCTAAGCCCCCGACCACTTGCCAAGTTGCCATCAGGCGTGTCCTCGGTTCATCCTCTTTTCCTTCAATCCCTGAGCAAACCAAGTACCAGTATCGACGTTCTCACATCATTCACACTGACCGCTCGCATGATTATTCACGTTTCGTCTTTCTTCCCCCGTCTCTTGCTTCACTGCATGTTAATCCGCGTCTTGCTCGGTTATTGTCTTTCTTTCGTCAGTGTCTCCTGTGTCTCCCCTTTCTTACGGTTTTCATCACTACGTCCGTTGCTGACTCCGTGGCAGTTAATCCTTGGATAATGTATTAATGAATAATTGCCATTAATGCGCCAATTTAAAAATGTCATGAACTGTTTTGTTGTAGCTCTGGATGGAGATGTCGATGACATACTACGAATACGACGAGCGGTTCACCGATGCCGTGTGGGTCATAGTCCTCGAAATGGGTTATCCGTGCGGTGTATCGTGAAGGAAAAAAGGGAGCCTAACTCAATATTGTTTTCGAGGTCTGTTTGGGTCTGTGTATCTATACCTTGTTTGCTCGGATTGCAGAAACCGAGCAAAGATCCGAGTAATATCAGGGTACCTTTCCCTCGAACACACCTTAACAGGCTGTCCGTTCCTCACAATCTGCGCACCCCCGAGATTAAAAGAGATACATCGTTATCGTAAGTGCTGCGCTTTAAATCGATGATGAGTACCGAGTGATGATACCTTACAATTTGCTTCCCAACTCTCACCTCCACTACCAATGGCTCTAGAGCATGTTAGCTCCCAGCGGCTGCATTCAGAAATGAAGGCAGATGACTCAATCAAAGTCGATGTTACCGACGATGTGGATTTTGTTGCTTATTACGAGCGGGCTTCTGGCCGTTTAGTAGTGGACCCCGAGTATGTGGTTGTTGCTCCCATATATCCTAAGTCTATCGTGACTCATTCGTGACCCACTAGACAGGCGAAGGTCGAGTTTGGGGAGGTAATGGCCTCTAGACTCAAGCTTAGCCCTGATGGGTTGAAGGTCCTCTGGCCTCAACCCGCTGACGACCCGAACGACCCACAAAACGCTCGTCATTTCTCATTGTCGTGTCCCTTTCACTAACACTAAGCTATTCATTCGTAGTGGACCGATTTTCGCAAGACTGTGCACCTGATCATCATTACAATGTCTGCAGTGGTACCTGACTTCGACTCTGGAATTGGTATGTGTCTCGCCCTCACTCAATATCCATAGTGGTGTCATCATGGAATACTTTTATTGGCAGGAATTGCGTCGATATTTGGCCTCGCTCAAACTTATGACACGACCTCGGGTGTCATCAACGATCTGACATCAAAGTGTGTGATGCATCAATCGTTACTCACATTCAATGACAATTCCCTGAAGCTGGAGCATCTTCCTTCTGGGTGAGATCACACCATTACATGAGAATAGCCTCTTCTCATCTGTAGTCCAGGTTGGGGAGGCATCTTCTGGGTCATGCTCATGAGACGGTATGGTCGGCTGCCAGTACTCTTCTGGAGTCAGGTATATATTTCCAGTGATTTAACCGATATGAACCCTGAAACCTTGAGCGCAGCTTTTTGCGTTTGCATTCTTGATTGGTACCACGTTGGCGCCGAATCTAGCCACCTTTGCAGGTATTTACACAATAATTTGGTATTTATTGGACAATGTTAACTTTTGATGAAGGGATGCGTTGCCTAACCGCATTCTTTGGGCAGGTCGTCATGTTATCCATGCCTGCGGTAAACTGACTGCGGTTTCAGAACGTGTCCCCAGGTGACAGTACGATTAGTGGCAATTCTCATGGTAGCTTCAACATTTACCAACCTCCAAGGGTCTTTATGTCGTGACGGATATCTTCCCCTTCCATCTTCAAGCACGGAAGCTGAACATCTGGACTTCGGGTTTCGTTCTGTCAGAAATGAATTCCTTTATTGAGAGAAACATTTCTCACTATCTTATAGATCGCCTTACCTATCACCATTTGTATTTGGCTTTCTTGTAGCGCGTGTGAGGTACGTCTTACATATGCTGTCCTTGATTCAGAATATTCATCAATTGTTGGATAGCTGGAGATGGGCCTATGCTATAGGATGCATTTACAGCGCCATCGTATTATTTCTCATTGTGTTTTTCATGGAAGAAACGTAAGCTCTGTTATATTGTTTCTTAGGGCAGTGACGTTGACTTTTGCTGAATCAGTATGTATGATCGTCACCTTGCATCGAAGCCACTGCAAATTTCTACGGGACTGCGATATCGATTTAAAACTTTGATAGGCGTCACTGGGTACAAGATGGCAAAATACAGACCACGATGGCCGGAAGTTCTATTGGCATCGTTGGATGTTGTCTGGCGTCCTCAGTTTTTCTTCATAGTTCTCTTTGAGGTGAGATGAATTACATTGCTTAGTACATTTGCTGACCTTTTCGAAGGCATTGGTTTTCGGGTTCTCTATCGGTGTGAACGTGAGCGTTTCCGTTTCGACCTGCAGTAATAAACTCATTGACTTTTGTAGACGACAAATGTTGTCTTCATGGGATCTCCTCCTCCCGTCGGATTTGGCTTCAGCCAATATGCCATCGCTGGAGCGTATGCGACTCCAATTGCAAGTTTTTTTCATCTATGAAGTACGCATGATTACTGTTCTCAGCATGGAATTTTTAGGTTGCCGTCCTTCTTGGCGAGATTATTGGACGTTACATCAATGAATTCATTATGGATCTGCATATTCGCAAAAACGGTGGTTTCTTTGAGGCCGAGAGCCGCTTGTGGTATGCAAACTCAACTGATGGTCTAAGGTTAGAGCTGAGAATTTGTGTAGGACCTGTTACTTAGCCATGCCGCTTTATATTTGTGGCTTTTTGACGCTGGGCGCTGGAATACAAAATCTCAGCGAAGCCGCTCTCATCATGGGCTGGGGCATTGCGATCGTTGCAATCACCCTCAATACTGTTGCAGTGTGTAAGTCTCGGATCCAATATTTCAAGTGTCGTGGGATAACTCAAGGAGTATTACTAGATGCATATTGTAATGACTGCTTCCCTCGTAGGGCAGTGAGTGACGCATATATACTTATTTGCATTTCAGTGATATGACCTCCCCTTCTAGGGCGAAGTCAGTGCCCTGTTAAACCTTACAAGAGCATTGGGCGGTGAGTTATAACGATAACGACGCATGATTTGTCCAATATTCACGATTGTGGTCTAGGTTTCGCAGTCGCATATTTCCAAGTCCCATGGGCTACAAAATCTGGAGGATTAATGGTGTTTGGTGTTGAAGCAGCGCAAGTGATATCGCTTGACACACTCGAAGAGTCTGACGGTTGTTATAGGCTTGTGATTGCCATGTTTTTCATCGCCGTTCCTATGACACAACTGAAGGGAAGCTACTTCCGAGTAAGTGCAGTTCTTTGAATTTGTGTTGCAGCTTTGAATTTGTACATCAAATATTAGGCACGTTATGCCTTATAATTGGCATTGATAGCTTCTCGATTTCAGAACCAGAAGAATGATTTAGAGTTAGACATGTATGCTTCCTGGTTACTTTGTTATACATTCAAGTATGTACCTGCGGGCGTGGGCCTCTACACATCTATGGCGCGTCCCAAAATAGTAATATGGAAAAGGGCACACCTCAGCAGGAAAACAATAGTATCAGGGACTGTTGCGGCCGAGTGCTGTTGGGTGTTACTTCTAATGAGGTTGTGCAGGTGGTCTCCTTGGTGTAGGTCTGAACGTTAACATTGCCAGACATAATGCAGTGCGAAAGTAAAAAGAAATGTCATTGCGAATACAACGCCAAATTTTGGTATGCAAAACAGGGAGAACAACAGACACAACATCATGGAAATACTACGCTGCTCTATTTTGCATACTATACATCAAAAATCATTATCGTTTACCGGATGCCAGCAGTTGCCTTTTGAAGTGCCCGCTTGATGGCAAGCTGCGACTTCCTCAACTCATCTGCTGAAGAGTCCTCAATCTCGAGCTTTTCAAGTGCACGGGCAAGCTCAGTCTCGACCTGAGACTTGGCACCACGCTTAAGCTTCATGCCGATCTCAGGCGAGGTGATAGTGCCTTCCACCTGGTGGATGTAAGCCTCGAGGTCGGACTTCGCCTCATGGCGTGAAGAGAACTCCTTGTCAGCCTGCTTGAATTGCTCAGCGTCCTTGATCATCTGGTCGATCTCGGCCGACGATAGACGACCAACGGAGTTGGTGATGCCTGAACAAAAATGTCAGTTGCAGAACAAATCTAAAGACCGCCACTGACTGATAGATGCCTTGCGGCCAGAAGCTCGGTCTTGTGCGGAGACCTTGAGGAGACCGTTGGCATCAACCTCGAAGGTGGTAACAAGCTCAGCCTGTCCACGGGGCATAGGAGGAATACCAGTCAGCTCGAATTCACCAAGCAGACGGTTATCACGGCACTGAGTGCGTTCACCCTCATACCTGGAGGTCAAGACGTCAGCATAACTTTGGGAGATAAATGAACATGCGCCTTACACAGGGAAGGTGACAGTCGTCTGGTTGTCCTCAACAGTCGTGAATGTCCGCGACTTGTTGGTGGGAATGGGAGTGTTACGGGGGACAACGACACCAAAGACATCGCCCTGCATAGCAACACCAAGCGAGAGAGGAGCCACGTCAAGAAGGAGAAGGTCCGCAGTCTTTTCTGAGGTCTGGCCAGTGAGAACAGCAGCCTGCACAGCGGCACCGTAGGCAACAGCCTCGTCGGGGTTGATCGACTTGTTCAGCTGGCGTCCACCGAAGTACTCCGATACGAGAGATTGAATCTTGGGAATACGAGTGGATCCACCAACGAGAACGATATCATCGACCTTCTCACGAGGCATCTTAGCATCCTTGAGCACTTTCTCGACGGGCTCGATGGTCGACTTGAACATAGCGGCATTAATCTCCTCGAAACGGGCACGAGTAATGTTGGCAGAGAAGTCTTCACCCTAGTGATGGATGTATGAGATAAAATCCAACTTTCGAGTGTACACGTGACATGCTTACCTGGTACAATGAATCAACCTCAACGGTGGTCTGGGTGACACTCGAAAGGGTGCGCTTGGCACGCTCGCAAGCACTTCTGAGTCGTCTGAGTGCACGGGGGTCCTCAGAGATATCGTGCTTCGTCTTCCTCTTGAACTCATTCTTGAAGTGATCCAAGAGGGTGTTGTCGAAATCCTCACCACCCAAGTGAGTGTCACCTGCGGTGGCCTTAACTGCGAAGACACCACCGCTGATGTTGAGCAACGAGACATCGAAAGTTCCTCCACCAAGATCGAAGATCAAAACGTTTTTCTCCGCTTTTGATTGACGATCCAAACCGTACGCGATGGCAGCGGCAGTGGGCTCGTTAATGATACGGAGGACATCAAGGCCAGCGATGGTACCAGCGTCTTTAGTTGCCAAACGTTGCGAGTCGTTAAAGTAGGCAGGGACGCTGTTCATTCGCGTCAGAACAAATTCACACATGATACGAAAAGAGCAACTCACGTGACGACAGCCTTGGTGACAGTCTTGCCAAGTTTTGCCTCCGAAATCTCTTTCATTTTAGTGAGAACCATTGACGAGATCTCCTGAGGGCTGAAAACCTTCTCCTCGCCAAGGTAGTTGACCTTGATCAAAGGTGAACCCTCCTTCTCTACTACCTCGAAAGGCCAGTGAGTCATGTCCTGGAGTGATATATTTAGCATCGCATTTCAGTTATGGATCATCATACTAACCTTCTTGACGTCGGGGTCACTAATTTTTCGCATGTCATCAAGGCTATCGAAGGATACTTCATGAGGTACTCACTCATAACGACGGCCGATGAGACGCTTGGCATCAAAGACTGTGTTGCGGGGGTTCATAGCAGCCTGATTTTTTGCAGCATCACCGATTAGACGCTCCTCCGCAGAGAATGCGACATATGAAGGAGTTGTCCGGTTACCCTCTGCAGAACCCACACAGATGAATGTGTGAACTCGTCGTACGGCACAGAAACTTACGATCGTTGGCGATGATCTCAACTCGATCATTTTGCCATACACCCACACAGCTAAGAGACGATGTCAATATCATGATGACAGCAAATTGTGGACACTCACGAGTAGGTAGTACCGAGATCAATGCCAACAGCGCCGTCAAATGCGTCTTCCATTTTTTAAAGAGACAAACAAAAAGTAAAGAGAGATGAAGCCGGATGGTGGTGATGGGCAGAAGAGCAATCGAAAAAAATCGATCACCCAGCTGAAGTAAGCATCCTGACCAGTGGTATCAAATTTTGCACTGCCACCAGCACGACCCATTCTTCGACATGTCTACCAAGGCAGGTCTAAGACCATGGCTTTCCGCCACAAGATGTATGCGTAGAAGCCAGCTTTCGGTCCTACAAAATAGACGAAATGTATTCACTTCCAGTGACCAACCGTTTCCTCTGCAGTCACCAGATGATTGGCAGTCGTTGCAAGACCGCCGGATACGTTTCAAAATGCTCGGTCAGTGTCTTTCTTCGTGTAGGAGACTAGCTTTTGCTTATTATATTGTGTAGTCGATCTATTCAGCGAGCATGGCTCTAATGTGACGCGAGATAACACCTTTCAACCCCACCACCAGTTGCACCGGCCTCTCGCTCCGTCAGAAGCAACGTTATCCGCACTAATAGCTGCTGGTGCACATTTTGGGCACGCTAAATCTTTGCTCAATCCAAATTTTATGCCCTACGCGTACGGTGTTCGCGCTGGTATCACCATAATTGACCTTGACTCGACCCTCCCACTGTTGCGGAGGGCTGCGAACCTCACCCGTGCTGTCGTTGCAAGGGATGGCACAGTTGTCTTCGTGGGCACTCGTCCAGATCTGCGTGCTGTTGTGCGCAAAGCCGCAGAGAGGATTGGACCACAGGCTTTCCATGTTGGCGAAAGATGGCTGCCTGGCACACTTACGAACAAATTGCAATTGTTTGGGTCTGACGTCACAAGAGGGCAGCGTGTTACACCCGACCTGGTCATCTTCCTAAATCCTCTGGCTAATATCCATGCCATCCGCGAATGCGCAATACAGCATATTCCTACTATCGGCATTGTCGACTCGAACGTCGATCCTCGCGTGGTCATGTATGCCATTCCTGCAAATGACGAGAGCCCTCGAGCAGCAGAGTTAATTGCAGGTGTTCTCAGCATAGCTGGCAGAGAAGGGAGAGCTTTGCGAGACAGAGAAGAGCAGATTAAAGAGCTACGACAATCTCGATACATGCGTGCTCAAGGACGAGGTACTACACGATATGTAGCTGACAGAGATTAGTTTTACTACGTGGGATCAACGTTGTAATGGATGTGACGCTTGAACCTCACTCCAGTATTCTGTATCCTCCTTCAGTAAACGCAACTTCATAATTTAGTAACAAGACTTACTCTCTGCATCAATCAGTGCTCGTAGATTGCCTCCCAGTTTGTTGAGGCTCTCTACATACTCCTCGTCTTCCATGCTGTCAAAAACGATGCCTCCTCCTGCCTGTAAGTAGGCAACCCCATCCTTGAATGTCATTGTACGAATAGCAATACATGTGTCCATTTCGTCATCAGCGAAGTCGAAACGTCCGACGCCACCGGCATAAACTCCCCTCCGTTCGCCCTCTAGTTCGGCAACCAGTTCGATGGCTTTGATCTTAGGAGCGCCCGATACAGTTCCCGCGGGGAATATGGAGCGGAAAGCATCGAACCTGTTAAAAATGTTGGCAATTACAGGAAACACGATTATCAGTGAAATACCTTGAGAACCCTTCCCTCAGCATTCCCGAAACTTGGGACGTTAAATGAATGACATGACTGAATTTTTGTACTGCCATAAGGTGATCAACTTTCACAGTCTCCGGCTTGCAAACCCGATTGACGTCATTTCTGGCAAGATCAACAAGCATGATGTGTTCCGCTCGGTCCTTTTCAGATGAAAGGAGCTGTTTGGCAAGCTCGCTGTCCTCTGTAAAAAGAGTCAAAATAGCTTGCCCCGTGAAGACATTAAGACTAGCCTGCTGGAGTCTTTCCTCTCTTGACGGTCCCAGCAATGGCATGGTTGTAGACCTTGTTTTCTTCCACTTTACAAAGAGTCTCTGGGCTGGCGCCGACTATCTGGAGCTCTCCGCAATCCAAATAATACATATAAGGACTAGGGTTGACTTGGCGAAGATGTCTGTATGCATTAAAGGGGTGTAAATTTGTTGGACGGGCAAGGCGTTGAGATGGAACTGCTTGGATGATATCACCGGCAACAATGTGCTCCTTGAGCTTGGTTACAAATGACTCGTAGCCTTCCTTGCCTATGTTGGATACGGCTTGGTTTCCTAACGTAATTGGAGGCTGTAGTACTTCGGGAGTTGTGTGACTCAAAAGTACTTTTGCTAGCCGACGTATTTTTGACTGAGCAGTTTGATATACGAAAGGAAGGTTCGTGGTGCCGGCATCTTTGGGATAGAAGACATGAGAGACGATCTTGATTGACTGGAATAGGTGATCGTAAATGAGGAGAGTGTCGCAGATCATAAACAAAGATTCCGGGATAGACAAAGGATCACTGAGTTGTCGAGCAGTCTTGGGCTCGAAGTACTGTATGCAGTCATAGGACACGTATCCGATCGCGCCTCCGGTGAAAGTTGGAATTTCAGGAATTTTCACATATTGGTGAACGGCAAGCTCCCGTTGTAGAGCAGAAAGTGGATCTCCCTGAAACTCCTCGTTCGGTCCAGTTTTGATGACCTTCAGTGGGTCTAATGCGCGTCAATTGACGTTGAAAGCCGTATCATCGGAGCGGGCACCCTACCTGCGCCGACGAAACTGTATCTGGCGATGTTCTCCCCCGCAATAACCGACTCCAGTAGGAAGCTGTACTTGGAGTCTTTGGCTACTCGAAGATATGCCATGCATGGTGTGATAAGATCTGCAGGAAGCTGGATAAATATTGGGACGCAGTTGCCTCGCTTCTCGCGAATGATGAGTTGTTCTACAGCGGCGAGAGATGGATACGCTGTAAATTTCTACAAGCAAATGGCATCAGCGTCTAAACCTGCTATGCAACGTCTCACATACCTGAGGGTCCATGTTTGTCTCGAGGGATATAGTGATTGAAACATACACCAATTAGCCTAAGGTATAAGTAGTACTACTTTGACCTGCAGATGCTGGCCGCACGAGTCATCACACATGACTCTGAAACTTGTTTTGATTTCACCATCCAAACTCCGAGCAACATCGCATCAAATCGTAGCCACTAGTCGAGGAAAGACGGGTATTCCGTCTAGATCAGATCCTAGGATCAGATATATTCACCGGGTCTTTCACAAAACTTGAATAGCCGTCACTTTCTCGGTGTTTCAAGTTGACTCGGAAGTCGTCGCAACATGATAACTCCACGGTTTCACTGTACCCAAACTCTTGAAGCAGTGGTAGTATCAATCTATTGCCCATCAGTAAGAGTACGTCTGTGCAGCACTTGTGTTCCCAATCCTGATCAATGATATCCTCAAAGTAGGCCTCTGATGTGGAGATCAACGTCGATGAAACTTTGTTAACCGTTCATATCAACCCTTACTTCCTTCGTATAAATTTTCCTCATTCGGTTCTCGAAGACGACCAATCCTCTGCAACCTATGATCCAAGCAGTGGATATTTAACAGTTACACTGACTAAAGAAGTGAAGGGACAAGAATTCCCTGACTTGGACTTACTAGCAAAGCTACTGGCTCCCCGTCATGTCGAAGTTCCAAAACAACCAGCCATAGAAGTCATCGGGTCTGAGGCTTCATCACAAAGCGAGCTAGAAGAACTTGTGGATTTAACCGATGCGATCTCGCTCGAACAACGGGAAATATTGGAAGGTGCGTGCGATGACTTCATGCTTCAACCAACATCCTCAAATCATTTCCAGGTGCTGAAAATGACTGGCAGTTTCCCCAGACTATCGCAGGATCCTCTTCTCCATTACAGCTATCCACAAAGAGATACTATGGGTTTTTGGACATGTACACAGGGTACTTCACCCACGTCGTTCACGCAGAAAATGATGTCAATGAACTTGGGAGTGAGGCTGAGAGTTGCTTACCAGAAGAACGACGAGCGAAAAGATTGCAACATGAAGAGAAAAAATGGGATGAAGAGCATTATATGTAGGATCCCTGAACAAGACATCGATTTGAACGCTCATTCGTCTCCTCCTGCAGGGCGGACTATATGGATGATGAATACATCCAAGAACTTCTTGCCTGGGAAGATCTCGGGCTCAGAGATGCCGAATGCATATTCACCGAGAGCGAGAACATGACGATGCTCAATTTACCGCGCAAAGAATGTGAGCGGTATCCGCGCTTGATTATGTATCCACGCTGAGAACATTATAATTTATAACAGACTTGCCGACAGAATTACAGCAGCGAAACCTGTATCTGACACTGTTGACCTTGTTATTCGCATCTGCCTATGACAGGCGCACGACACAGCATGACCCTACCCCTGAAAGCGCTTGGACAATTTGCTCACTCATCCCTGCGTTCTCAGCACTGGATCCCCCTCCATACCTATCTTCAGAAAACGTTCCTCTGTCTATCCCCACGCCGGGGTTCACCGATCATGATCTCGCTTCGGCTTTGATGCCGTCTTATCGGCGTTCCCTTGCGTTCCCTCTCTATCGCTCTTTCGCAATGGCCGATGCTTGTCGGAATGATGTAGCAGCCGTTTTGGCAAAGGGCAGAAGAATGGTCACCCGCTACTTATTGGAGATGAAACACGTTTTGGACCATCATGAAGTGTATTACGTGTATAACAAAATCTGGGTCGATGATTTCTGCGTTTGGATCCAAGCATCTGCGAGGTGCGGAGTCACTTTAATCTTCCGATGGAATGGCCAGTATTAATATAAACATCTTTACTTCCGCAGCGATGAGATTATATTAGACATCGCACAGCAATTGAAAGCTTTGGCCATTACGAAATCGATGATTGGCTGGAACATTGAGAATTTAGAAGATGCGGCCCTTGTGGATACCAATAGCAGCGACAGCGACGACGAGTCCTCCGAATGACCTAATATGGAGTGTTCAAGCTGTGACACACTACCTGTAAGCATGCTTAACATCCTCCATTGGGTTTATCTTCTCAAAAGACTTTAGCAGCTGGCACAGCGTAAACATGTTTCGCTGGCGGTTGAAACATGAACCAAATTCGTGCGACTTTCGGACCTACGATGATCGCCAATTTAAAACACGTTTCATTGGAGTGTACAACCTTGCACAATACAAATAACTTTTTGGTGACAGAGAGCTCGGTTCGTAGATACTTATCGCAGCAAACAACGGCCAAGTCTATTAAGGTGATTCTATAACCCATGGTCACGAATTAAGCATAAATCCGAGTAAACCTCCTAGGGAAGTATATATATATATACTGAGTCGCTGCCAGTAGTTAGCGCCATTTCGAGTTCGGCGATTTTGAGCATGCGCCACCTCTCACCGCATGCACAGTGTTGATAAGTGGTTAGAGCCTCTTTTGAATGAGTAATAAAGTTTGCCAAGGTATGTAGTGGAAATATGCACTTTCTGTTCGCGCCCGTAGTACCTTCGAGAAGCCTCGACTCCACCGTACTTATAGGTTAACGTTCTGCCTCGTGTCGGTGGAAGAACCTGTCGAAGCCAGCCTGTATCCGGTGTACAACGTCCAGCCTTTTACTGATATGAGAGAAGACAGGAAGAGTTGACGTGCAAATTGCCGAAATTCGCTGCTTGGTTCTCAGCACAAGAGCTCGCCACCACTTTAGATGATGAAATATTGCTCGTTCGGGGAACTGCGAGACTTGAAAGGCAGGAGGCTTGCTTGACCTTGCTCAATTGTTATTCGTATATCCGAAAAATGCATCGTGCATCTGATCCCTGTCGAAGACCATATGGTGCTAGAGTTGTTGTTCACATGCGGGTCCGTGAACGGCATCAAAATTAATAAACGGCGGTGCGCATCAATTGTGTGGCGTCCGCATCAGCATATGTCCACGGATCAATGTGAATAATAGGTGTAAGTATCATATAGGTGGATCCTGCCTCAATCTTCTGACGAGACACCTTGTGCATGTACTCTGACATCTTTGGGCAAAACATCGTAGCCACCTTGACCAAGGTCAACAGGGAGAGCAGCAGTATCGTCCAGATGCTGTGAAGCGAGCAAGGCCTCCCCTTCTTCCGCTTCGCCACCCACCGTCTCCTCTAGGGCCAAGGGGGGGTGGAGGAAAGAGGGAGGGTTGACCAAACCATTGAAAAGGAACTAGAAGACCACGTTAAACAATAAGTACCATTATAACGCGAGTAAGACGTACCGTGCCATACCTAGAATATAAAAGACATGTGAGCACCACGTAAGAACTGTATAAAGAACTTTCTTACACCAAGAAGGAGAAACCCAGTACTTGGAGGAGTGAAATGGGGAAAAGAAGTTTCTCCCAGCCTAGTGCAAGGCTGACTAGCCAGATGGAGAGTGTTCTGCAGGTGTCTGTCAGGCTCCTTGCGGTGGCGCTTACATGCCTTGTGACACTCAAGCCGAAGTAATTAAACAAGGAGATACTAATGGCGATGACGATGCCCGACCAAAGGACGCTGGGGGTGTTAACGAATTGGTACCAACCCCTAGGAAGGTCAAAGAAAGGCGAGGTGGAAGCAATTGACGGCATAGCGAGAATGGGCATGCACATGATGATTGTGAGGGCGCCGAATAAGCCCTCGTAGCCCACAGCAACCAAAGGTGCCACGGAGTAACGGGCCATGATCTTCTCTTCTACAACGAACTGTGTTGCCGTACTGGGTGGGAGCTATTCTTAGTCGCTGAAGTAAGGGATTATGAAATACTTACAACACCTGGGCGAAGAGAACGAAGAAGATGCCTAGATATGATCAGTATAAATTTCCATAGAAAGTAATGGGATGGCCAACCAACGAGGACTTTGGTGACTTCAGGTTCTGGCTGGTCGGACCCTAAGAGATGCAAGGTGGAGTGTACAGCGTCCTTGATAAGCGAACCGCTGTATCCCACGAGGGAGACGCCGGCCATGACAGTCAAAAGAGAGACCCATCTGTATAGAAACCAGTGAGGATTATGGAATGGGAGAAGGAGAGAGGACGTACTGATAGAGCCATAGACGACGGTGTAAGAAGATAACGCTAAGGATGCCCACGAAAAGAACGAGAGCTCCACGTGTCATCTGATAGATTGAAACGGGTGTATAAAGGAGACCGACATTCATAAGCTGTTTGAATTGTGATCAGAGAGGGTGATTCAGGAAATATGGAAGATGTAGTACGGACCGTTGTTCCGGTAAGATCGCAAGCAGCGGGGAACCATAAAAGAAGAATTTTCCAACCTCGTAGCTCTTCACAAGTTTGGTCAATTTTACCGGGCTCGTCTTCTAAATCTGACGGAAGAAATACGGGTGCAGTACGCTGACGTGCACGGAGCCACGTATAAATGACAGGGAGAAAGCCTAGATGCGTTATTTATGAATATACAAATATTTGGGTAGAAATTGTCACTGACAAAGCATTTCGCCGACTGGCACGGATAGTTAGCATAGAACGTGGTACAAATAAACATAAAAACTACGGACGGAACATCTGCAGAGTTTGCCATACGGGTTGCTCGTAAAGAACGTGGTGTGCAGGGTTGGGATCGCTACAATTCTCCACGCATTGCATATCCTATTCAACTAGTCAATGCCGTGTCTCTGAACGTGAGGCTGAAACACTGCACCTGCCATTTGCTCCACAAAGAATTACTCGACCCCTACAAATCCATTAGATAGTATTACTCACTTGGAACAACAAGATAACTCACCGTAATTATCATACCCGCAAGGAGAATCGGAACGTAGAACGACGAAGGCATCCTTGGATAGTTGATGGCGTGGTGGTCGAAGCGAGACTCCAAGACTTGAACGAACGGGAGTAGCCGCGTGACAAGTAGCCGGCGTGACAATGCTATATTCAACGCCGGTGCTCCGTAGATCTGGATCACAGATCGGGAGATCGTGTCGCGATGCTCTTGCTTCTCGCTCGCTGTCATGAATATTCTTGGTACCAATTATTGACCACTTATTTATCCCAATTGCTTCTGGGCGTCTTTACATCCTTCCTCCATCACTCTCTTTTCCTTCACTCTTTTACTCATCCCCAATCTTACCCTCATCCCAATGGTCAAGCTTACACTTGTCTCTCCCAAAGGCAACCATGGCGTCCGTTTCTTTCCTCATAGTGGCTACCTCGGCTTGACACCCCTCAAGTTCGAAGGAGGTCCGTATATTTTCCTCTCATTTATTATCGTCCTCTCATATCCCCTCACTCAGCCGTTCGCACTGAAATAGAGCAGGATGGAAAACATCTCTCTGCCAAAGATATAACAGTCTTCGTTCGGTGTTATGAATTTCGCCATGGCCGGTTGGGGGCAGCACAATCCAAAATTTTGGTAGAGCACTCAGTCACATTATGGAGGAAACCAGATGGCCAAGATTGGGCAGAGATAGGAAATGTAGAACACCCATTCCGACTCACCATCCCAGTCCATAATGCTGGACCCAGCTCAGCTCTTTACTTTCAAGAGTATCGAATATGTTGGCGAATCGAGGCCGGTATGTCCTTTCAAGCATTCAATAACTCGTGTCTTATGTCATTCAGTTGTCAATCACGCTCCCGTTCCGGGCATCGGTTCTCGCTTGCTTAAACATTGCGATCTCTATTTGATCCGCCATGACTTACCAGGAAATTTGTCTCCACCCTCTCCAGTAACCCCGCCCCCAACATCTCACCTATCTTCCATGAGCACAAAGTCTAGAAGCCCTTCACTCCGTTGTCAAATCATACTGCCCACTAAACCCGTTGGTCCCCTCGACATCGTTTCTTTACAAGTCACTGTTCAACCCCTCGATTCAGCAGTATCTATCCGCAGTGCGACCGCCGTGGTCGAAAGAAGAATACAATTTTCAGAACTCCCAACATCCCCTTTTGGTACTTCGACATCATCAGCCCCTACATTATCATCGCACTCATACCTCGCGTCAAATCAAGAATCAAACTCTCATGATCATCCCTCTGTCGCAGCGAACTCTTACGACCTCGCATCCGCTGCTTCCTCTTCCAACGATCTCCACTGCCCTTCCTCAACTTCTTCTTCGATATCTGACACGCGCCCTCTTCTGCCACAACAACAATCATCAGTGCCTAGTACCTCACAAGTGACTCACACAAACGAACGAACAACGACACATATTTTTGCTCATCTTGAATCTTCCCATCGCTTCACTCGCGATTCTACCGGAACCTGGCGTCAGACTCTCACCTTTTCTTGGCCCGATGCCAGTCCCAGTAGCCGGTGGACGGTTGGAGAAACACTTCAGACCGGCACGGTTTCTATCAGGTTTTTTATTCGCGTAAAGGTATATTGCTTATTTTTCCCCTGTTGTTTGCCTAATCATGTGTTTCAGTTGATCGTCTCCTCCCCTACCTCGAGCGCTGAAACGGTCGAGCTTGATGACCAAGAAATTATTGTAGTCTCAACCAACGAGGCTCAGCGTCAATTGGCTCTTTCACGCTATTCCGCCGCAAGCCAATCCAAGTCTAGGTCTCCAAAACGATCAAAGCGAGAACGTCCACATACAAATACTCAACTACCGTCACCGCCTCGTAGCCCTCCTGTAATCGTCCAAGTACCAGAAAAGGCGCCCACTGTAGCTAAAGCCGAGCATGAAATATCAAATGGGCATACCCACAAGTTTTCTTCTGTACCATCACCACAGCCCGGAAGCAAATACAAACTCAAGTCCGTACGCAGACCCCACACTTCTGCGGGGCCCCGGGACACGCCGCATGGGTACGATCCACAGGGATATAACCATCTCCACAATCATAATAATCGACATCCTGTCCCTCTGCGCCCCGAAACCGCATATAGTGGACCCGCCACGAATGGACGCAGTACTCGTGGTGCTTTCAACCAGAAGTGGGTGGAAGCCCCACGGCTTGGCCATTCTAGTTCAGGCGCGAGCTCGGAAGGAGCGCACTCTACAATACCTGAAGGTGCTACTGGCGCAGAAGGTAGCTTGTTGTTCGAGAAAGTCGGACAAGTGGAGATGCGCGCGTGGGAGGAGGAACTAGCGAGAATAGAATTGGTGAGCCGCAGAAGCACTGCGGATATGATGGATTTTGTGTCCCAGCGCAGGAAGCTGAATGGCCAACAAGTCATACGGACATTTCTGCAAGCGGAAGGCTGAGTACACGGATTCCCTGCATTCTACACTATTTATCGCCACTGTTTTCCGTTGTCATGTTTTCCTTATATCTAGCATAGGTTCTCTTCGCATAGTCCAATCAATACTTCATACCAGCACGACTCACTGTAGAATGTCCAATTCTACTATCATTGCATATTTATTAATTTCGTTGGCACATGTCCTCGGATACCGTTTTAATGAGATATATCACCCAAGGTGCTCATACAAAGTTGATGGCTGTTCCGGAGTTAACTTCCAGGTATGATGCGCCAATGATGCTGACATACAAATAAGTAAATACTGTGCTTGACCATTAACTTGCCTCCGGGCCTTACTTGATAACTTACCAATATCACAACACAATGAGTTTTCCGTGGTTCAGAATGACATTGCTAGGAGGCGGTCGTAAGTTCTTATCTCGACCTAGCAAACACAGAAGCTGATGGTAGCTGGGGCTGGGTTGAAATTCACTCGACGCACATGATGCACGGCACTTTTTCTGCGCCAGTGATGGGCCTGGGTTACCTTTTGATGAGCGGTTCGTCTTCTACTACTATCAACCCGGGGACCTTCACCATCTGATTCGCCCACTATTGTTTCGACGACTCTTGTTCTGTTTCTCCTGATGGATTGAACGTCATCATCGCCTTGTTCTTGATTTGTAGCGACCGTACCTACACCTGAACAGACATATGCCGTGAGTTCTTTGCCCCATCTTTCGCCACTGGTCACGCTGTATCATTCCGAGGCTATGCCATGGCATGCGCATGCTTTGCAATCATCATCTTCAGTAGAACCATGTCTCACTATAAGCGCACTTGGCAGGCGATGTCACCTGATCTGCGGCGAAAGGTCGATGCAAACCGCGCAGCCAGACTCCTTCAAGAACAAACCATGAAGCGTCAGATGGATGCTCAGGTCAGCATTTCTTTCACGTTCTGTGTGATGCATATCTAATTTCTACGACTAGAACGATCCAGATGCAGGAAAACCCATTTGGGCCGACCAACAAAATCGTCGATAGTGATCGGTATCTCTGCTTAGCGCTCTCTGGACAGTATGTGCGTGATTTGTAATGTCGGTGCCGCTCGACGGGTTCCCCCGCCGTGAGACGGTAGCACACATGCAGATCAGAATTGGGACCAGTCGGTGTGTAATTGCACCCGTGCATGAACGCAATAGTGAGAAACATCTCACCATTGTCATTCCTCCGCGGATACACAAATGAAGCGAGATATACGCCATCACCGAGTTTGGGCCACATGACACTCATCTTCCACGAAGTTTGATCGTTAACGGCAATTACGCCATAACATGAGAGTGGCGAATAAATTCAAATTCATGTCGTGGTGATGTATTCAACAGGCTGTTCAACAAGTATGCAAACATTAAGAATTACGAAAGATGCTCCTCCAGGATCTATAAACGATGAATGACACGATAACTAACACCACCTCCACCACCATCCCAGTACCATGCAATTGACGATCATGAATTAGCGGCCTTTACGGCAGCCGCCCGGCCTACCGAGTCCGTCTTCAATAACGGCTGCTCCATTGACGATTCTGGTGAAGATGGAAGTGCATCATAAGATGGCTGTCCTAGAGTATTGAGGCTGGAAATAGAGGTCGCACCAGGCGTCCCTGCGGATGGCTGCATGCTGTCAATATACATGGAAGCATTCTGACTTGAGAGCTTGGCTACTCCATCGGGCACGGCCGATGCTGTGGAATCAACAGTTCCATCATTAATCATCGGAGATGAAGTGCCCGGTGTCAGGCATTGTGGGTAGCCTGAAATCGAGATTGTCCCATCACTGCGGGTGGCGTTGGCATCAACGGGTGTCTGCGAGTGAGATGAAGAGGTTGGTTGACCTGCTACAGGGGTCATTGCCCGACTACCACCGTGATTCGCTTCGGCTATTCCCTCTCCCGACTCCAAGCTCCGGGCGCCCGATGGGATATTGGAAGCGTCGTTCCCTACTGTGTCTGTCGTCGTCCGATCCTCACTCGACCGACCAGCAGTATCTCCCTCTACTGAAGCAGTAGCAGTAGCTTCTTTCTTCCGTTTCTCTTCTTCTTTTTTCTGCTGCTCCTCATGCTCTAAAAGTGACAGGCGCATAGCCTCCATCACCATTAACTGAAAAAGGGATATCAGTTGAAATACGTCTGAGCACACAGCTAATACCTCTTCCAGATCTTGACCGCCAAGCCCCATCTGACCCAACAACTGACTGATGTCCGGCTGACCACCATTATTTCTATGTCGTCGACTTCTTCGACTGGTACCGTTATCTACTTCACCGCCATCCTGAGCTTCACCAGTCGGTAGGGGATGAACGCGGCCACTGGTCACACCAACTGGGATGAGTCTGTCCCCTACTTGACGCATGATTATTCGCCTGTTTGCACGGCGCGTAACTGCAGCTCGAACAGCGGCAAGTTTAGCTTCCCAGTCTGGCCTTATAGAATCTATGCACAGCAAAACATGATGATATGCGACATTTGAACATGAGTCATTTACCTGTAGTGACCACTTCCGGACTATCATGACCAAAGCTCTTGCGACGTCGTTTTTGAGCCGCATTGGGTATATTCTGCTGCGAGCCTTTGGGAGCATCCGACCATACTGGCAATGACTGAATAACAATGAGTAAGGAACGAAGTTACCTCGTCAGTGATAATAAGGAATATGTCTGAGGAAAACAAACCGATCCATCGCTCCCAATTCCAGTACGCCATGATGGAGGTGTATATACTACACCAAAATTCTCCTGCACACAATATGGGCATGCTGCTGGCTCACATACGAGATGCGTAGCCGTGGGTTCGGTCCTCTTTATCTGAACAAAGCACTCCGTACATATTACTTGATCGCAACACCTTGAATGGTTCATATTAGGGGGATAATACTGAGGCACAAGTTACTCAGTGGTTGCATGACGCACGTGAGAGATAACGCACAAGGAAACATATTGGGCATTCTACAGCACCTCTGTAAATGGCAGCTTCTGGATAACGACAGGACTCCTTCAATGCACCAGGCCGTTTAGACTGATGAGTTGGCTTTGTGGAATCTCGGGAGTCAACCCTTGTAGGAGGGGTGTCGGAGTTGGTACTGTCAGTATCTGGAATGACTCTCCTAGCTGACATGATCTGCTCATCGTCCCAGTTTTCATTATAATCTTCTAGAGGTCGATAGAAAGGAGCAAGCCTGCGATCTACGATGAGCTGGGTGACAATCCCATGATTCCAATCTTTGGGACCAGTGTAGACGCCCTGAGGAGCGAGATAACCGTAGTCAACGGTGTCGTCATGATGGCCGCGTGAGGACGACGAGCTGGTGTTGCCCATGGCTTCAATTGCAAAGACGATAACGTGTTGGTAAGTTCAGAGCAACCAACGAAATTGGGGCGGCGAGACCGTCGTATGCGCGGCTTCCTTTGCTGTTCACTGGACAATTAGGTCACCATAGTGTATTTACATGTGTTTGTGTTTTGTGGCAAGTTGAAGGCCCGAATTTGAAAGAAATCGTTATCTTGCCAGGTAGGTTAGGTTGTACTTGCAGGCTATTGGGCTTTTCATGCTTGGATAATAGATAAGCATAAGACTAAGGTTAGAAGCTGATGTACAAGTATCATTAATTTGGAGTTTTGCGCCTGATGGCGTGCTTGGCTGTACGTATCACATGTATACCGCGTAATTTGACGTATTACATCTATACTACATAGGCTAACTTTGATACTTGTTTCCTATGATACCGCCCGCGTTAAACTTTGGTTTCGAGCGCGCAACGTCCATGCAATCATCATCAGTTCAACCGTCAGATTTTCAGACGGGCTGCCCTCGTGGACGACAACTTACGCAAACAAATCGGACACGTCAGCAAATTTCACAAGCGACATGCTAATGCAAATACCAGTGCTGCTGAGACGTGCCGAGCCGAGTGTCTGTATCCTTTCTCTTCATTACGATCATGGACCATCCTTGGGTTAATACCCCGGAACAAGTCCTAGAGCACTTCGGCGTCGACAGCTCTCGCGGACTCACTGCAGCTCACGCCGCAAAGCATGCTGAAGTGTATGGAAAAAACGGTCAGTCGGCGTTGTTCATGTATTTGGTTTTGGCAGTTAACATTCCGTGCAGAACTTCCAGAAGAACCTCCGACTCCACTATGGGAGCTTATCCTAGAACAGTTCAAGGATCAGCTGGTGATGATCCTGCTTGCGTCAGCAGTTATATCCTTCATTTTGGCATTGCTAGATGACTCTGAGGATACCACTTTATTTGGAGCATTTGTCGAACCCATCGTCATATTGCTCATTCTTATCGCGAATGCAACTGTTGGAGTGGTACAAGAAACAAACGCAGAGCAAGCCATAGACGTAAGTGTTATTGTATAGCTTCGTGGTGCACTAATGCTCAACTGTGTTCGTGCAGGCCTTGAAGGAATATTCCCCAGATGAGGCCAAAGTCCTCAGGTCCGGCCAATTAGCCCATATTCACGCTTCTGAACTCGTTCCAGGTGACATCGTGTCAGTCTCAGTTGGCGACAAAATTCCGGCGGATTGCAGAATCTTGTCCATATCCTCTAGTAGCTTCAGGGTAGACCAGGCCATCCTCACTGGCGAGAGCGTTAGCGTGAACAAGTCGGTCGACGTTGTCTCTGACACAGGCGCCGTGAAACAGGACATGACAAACATGCTCTTCTCTGTAAGCGCTCTCACCTTCTCGACGTTCGACAAGGTGTTCATAATTATCTAGGGTACCACAGTAGTCAATGGGAGTGCGCGAGCCATCGTCACTTTCATTGGTATGAAGACCGCTATCGGCCACATTCATCATTCAATCTCGCAGCAAATTAGTGAAAAGACTCCGCTCAAACGCAAACTCGACGATTTCGGTGACATGCTGGCCAAAGTGATCTCCGTCATATGTATCCTGGTATGGTTGGTCAATTTCCGGCACTTCTGGGACCCTGCACACCATGGCGTAATGAAGGGTGCTATCTATTACTTCAAAATTGCCGTGGCTCTTGCTGTAGCTGCGATCCCAGAAGGCCTTGCTGCCGTCATTACAGCATGCCTGGCTTTAGGAACAAAGAAGATGGCGCAGAAGAACGCGATTGTCAGGAATTTACCAAGCGTGGAGACCCTCGGATGTACCAACGTCATTTGCTCGGACAAAACGGGCACTCTCACTACTAACCAAATGAGTGTTTCAAAGGTGACATACGATTCACTACCGTATGAGATGCATCTCACCCAATCTTGCCCCTCAAGTTCCTCACCATCAATGCGCAAAGCGGCCTTCCAGAAGACCATCACGTTGAAGGTACAACTTATTCCCCACACGGCTCCATCACCTCTACCAAAGGAAAGGGCGTGGATCTGCAGTCTGATCCTCTCAGGCGTCTCGCGGAGATTAGCGCCATCTGTAATGATGCAAAGATCGTCTACAACTCTGTGAGCTCTACCACACTACCATGCGGTGTTCTTCATCCTCATTGGTGTTCCTAGGACAAGGCCTCATACAGTAATGTGGGGGAGCCGACTGAAGCTGCCTTGAAAGTTCTCGTAGAGAAGATTGGTTGTCCGAGCAAAGAAGTATCCCAGTCCCTTCCCACACTTTCGCCGTCTGTGCGGGCGAGTGTAGTGAATGAGTACTATGAGCGTTCCATCCCGAAGCTACTCACCATGGAATTTTCACGTGACCGCAAGATGATGTCTGTCCTTGTACGGCTGAATGGAAAGGGTGCCCTCTTTGTCAAAGGAGCCCCCGAGTCTGTCTTGGAGCGGTGTACTTCAGTTATGGTGCATGGCAAGGTCATTCCATTAACTGCAGAGCTACGTAAAATACTCCTCGCCCAAACGGTTTCTTACGGGTCCATTGGTCTTCGCACTCTGGCCTTCGCCTACGTAGACGTTCAAGACGTTGATCCCGCTCACTATCAAAGTCAAGACACTAGCGATTATGCTCGCTTTGAACAGAATCTGGTGTTCGTTTCTCTTGTTGGAATGCTCGATCCTCCAAGACCGGAGGTCCGTCTCGCTGTTGCGAACTGTAAAGCCGCTGGTATTCGTGTTATCTGCATCACTGGCGATAATAAGGGTACTGCAGAAACGATCTGTAGGCAGATTGGAATCTTCGGGGAGAATGAAGACTTGACAGGGAAGAGCTATACTGGCCGGGAACTAGATGATCTCAGTGCTGAGGAGAAGATCAAGGCTGTACAACGTGCTAGTCTCTTTACTCGAACAGAACCAGCGCACAAGAGCCAACTTGTTGATATCCTGCAAGGTCTTGGGCTTGTTGTAGCGATGGTCCGTCGGCGTACTTGCCATCTCTGCCTAACTGACACCTCTCTTTCTAGACTGGCGATGGTGTAAACGATGCTCCAGCACTGAAAAAGGCAGATATCGGAGTCGCCATGGGAAGTGGTACTGATGTTGCCAAACTAGCTGCCGATATGGTGCTCGCGGACTCCAACTTTGCAACTATAGAGCTTGCGGTAGAAGAAGGTAGACTCATATACAACAACACTAAGCAATTTATCCGATACCTAAGTACGCGCAATTCACTTTATCTTAGTCGTTCTTGCTGACCCTTCCTAGTCTCGTCAAATATTGGCGAAGTCGTTAGGTAGGACTGTATACTGTTATCATTCCGAGTGGATCCTGACAGTTGACCATAGCATATTTTTGACTGTTCTGCTCGGCATGCCAGAAGCCCTTATCCCAGTACAACTCTTGTGGGTCAACCTTGTTACGGACAGTTTGCCTGCCACCGCCCTTGGGTTCAACCCACCTGATCATTCTATCATGCGGGTCCCTCCAAGAAACAGTCGAGAGCCTCTTGTTGGAAAATGGCTGTTCTTCCGTTACATGGTCGTTGGTACTTACGTCGGATGTGCTACCGTGTTCGGATATGCGTGGTGGTTCATCTTCTACTCAGAAGGGCCGCAGATCACATTCCATCAACTCGTGTGTATTCCTCTAACTCAATTATCCGTTCCATATTGATGAGTGCGGCAGACGCATTTCCACCAATGCTCTACACTCTTTCCAGAAATTGGCTGCGAGATGTTCACGAACGTTATGGCGCATCGGGCGACAACCATGAGTCTGTCGATTCTGGTAACGGTAGAGATGTTCAACGCAATGAACTCGTTATCTGAAAATGAGAGTCTGCTACGTTTACCCGTGTGGAAGAACCCGTTCCTTGTGGGAGCAATAACTCTTAGCATGGCACTTCATTTTGCTATTTTGTATATTCCATTCTTCACGGTCAGTCTTCCCGCATCAATTTCACTAAATTTGGAAAGTTGAAAACGTTTGTTCTTAGGCGTTGTTTCAAATAACACCGCTGAACTGGGCTGAATGGCAAATGGTTTTGTATCTCAGCTTGCCTGTCCTTGCCATCGACGAGGTCCTAAAATTTGTGACGGTGAGTATTAACAGTCTGTCATATTCTTTCCCGTGCCAAGCTCATTTGTTCATAGACCATGTTTATTGACCCTCCCACCCAAGTGGAGTTGAAATGATGGGATCATATTTTGGATTACGAATGTATCAGCGTTGTAATAACGGAAACGGCTAGAACCCTAGAAGTTGTTAGTATCTTGAGATGGTCGTACTATCACTACCAGTGCTGACAAGTACTGAGTCCCGAACTGCAACATAGTCAGGCAATTGACATGTCACCCATGAATATCATGATAAAACACACATGCCAGAGCTGTCAGCGGCTTGGTTGCAACTCGAACAATTGGCGGCATCAGGCACTGCAGCACCCTCCTTCTAATTTAAGGGCCAATCGGGTATAAGCCTGGGCGTCTAGAAGCCGTAAGTGATATTGTGATAGTCACAAGAGTCTCCATATAATATGTTGTATCTCAAGCGTGGGCTCACGTTCACTTTCTGACCATCACCTTCTGTGTTCAAATTTTTCACAACAACGACCAGTCACTCTTTTTGCGGATTTCCTTCCCGTCGACCCTCACGCTCTCTACTTGTTTTCTAGGCTGACTGCATGCGCTTCTTTGCTCACTTGTCAGTGTTACTGTCGTTCGTGCTATCGTGGTGCTCGGTGTCGGCCAGCAGTGCCCACCAATTCCAGCGACGCCATCATGATGGAAAGCGTCTGAATTCGGCCCTCGCCGTTCGAGACTCAGGAGATGTTGATATGTACAAACGCGATTTCCCCAATTCCCGTTTCACATTTTATGCGGTCGGTCTGGGTGCTTGCGGTAAAGTAAACCAAGACAGCGACATGGTATGCGATCAATTCAAATTAATTACCTGGGGCTAACTTCGATTATTTAGGTAGTCGCAATGAATACACAGGTAACAATTTCAAATTTCAGTGTTTTTGTAATGCAATTCAATGAGATTTTCTAGCAATTCAGTGGATCATGCTTTCAAATGATCACGATTACTTGCAACGGAGTGTCATTGCAGGCTCAGGTTGTTGACGAGGTAAAGACAACAACCATCGTGATACTAGTTGGATTAGTCTGACACCCAAAATAGTGTATGGGATGCCCCTACGGTGGCCTTGATTTTTCGGAAGGCCTTTTCCAGGGTTTCGGTCCACTTGGTGCCGGTGTGCTCACTGGAACATGGTCCTTCAATAGTGCCTCTGCTCCGGCACCGTCACCTAGTACATCCACCTATCAACCGCCCCCAACCACTACCTCGCAGCCCCAACCAACGCCAACGCCAACCTCAACCCCACCTCCTCCACCTTCGACAACCTCGAGTCCCAGCCCTACACCGTCCTCATCTTCGATAACTTCAAGTTCAATCAGCTCCTCAACCTCAAACACTTCTATTTCGTCGTCGCCTTCGGCGTCGAGCAGTGCCTCGAGCACAACAAGTGCCGATTCTGTATCGGAGACCGCTGGGTCTGTTCCTGCGTCTGTCGGAGACTCTTCCGCTCTCATGAACCTCAACCTGGCAATGGTGTACCTTGGCGGACTTCTTAGTGACGCTCAGACGTAATATTAGCTGTTTCAATTTCGCATTCTGCTGCGAATTACTTTACAAAAGTATGGCATTGCTATATCTACTTTGTGGACGTTTCTCTAGCTCGTTAAGATTCAAAGGACTTATTCTTCAGCCAGTAGCTGCTATACCCACATAATATCGTACATCCCATTGCCTGTCCAAAGTTTTCGGGGGCGATTTTACTTGTCGATGATACTGTTATTACAATGTCTGGTTTGGATTTCAATACCTTGTCGGGCATTTCAAGGTTTAAGGGTGAAATAGCCCTTGAAAAGGGTTTATGTAAATGATAGAGTCAAATCGCCATAGAAATGTGGTTGTAACGGTACGGCAATGGTATGGCATGCATGGTTGAAAAATAACAAGATTCCTTGCAAATTCGTTTCAACAATAACCTCCTCATCGCTTTCGGATATTTGCGACACGGTTTGGTAGTAACTGCGGATGTTCCCGGGGTCCTAGTCTGATAATGGTTGGTATGAAGAGATTTCACTATTTTCATCGTAACATAGACCACTCCCTTCCCTAAGCTTCCAAGTAACAAAGCTGTAATCTTACGAGCTAGTCATTCTCTTGTGTATACGCTCCTTCAACTTCAAATTTGATACAGATCACCTGCACCGGAAACTTGTGCCATTCCTTCCTTACAAATTGCACAATGCGGGTCACTACCATTCTCGGTTTTCTCTCTACAATCATTCCTTTCAGTTTCGCCAACACTCATGGTAATCACTGGGGCAGACGTCACCAAGAAGTTGCCATCCGTGCCCGTGGTGATGTGGATGTCCTTAAGCGTTCCTTCGATAACTCTCGGTTCACCTTCTATGATGTCGGCTTGTGAGTTCCATCGACGGGTGCCTTATTTGAATATTGCTCATCACTTCTTTTTTCAAAGGGGTGCTTGCGGAGACACCAGTGCTCCCACTGACTTTGTCAGTATCGATAAGATATCTGGATGACGTCTTCTTCTCATGTTATGTGTCATTTCTAGATCGTGGCGCTAAATGTCGATCAATACGGCAGTGGATATCCTGGTCCAATGTGCTTCATGTCAATCACGATTTCTTATGGTGGAAAAACAGCCCAGGCTGTTATCATGGATGAGGTCTGTACTCCACTACGCTATTCCATACTGTGACCTTACCCACAGACGGCTAGTGTATGGGCTGCCCTTATGGTGGACTTGACTTCTCTACCGGTCTTTTCGACTACTTTGCGGATGCGTCGGAAGGTGTGATCTACGGGTCATGGTGGTTCAATGACGGAACTGCTACTACGTCAACTAGCAGCTCAACCTGGACTCCTGAGCCTACCACCTCGACTCCAGCGACGACATGGACTCCTGATCCTACGACTTCGACTCCAACGCCGACACGGACACCCACTACATCTTCATATACTTCCAGCACTCCGACTCCTACCACTCCGACTCCGACTCCGACTCCTACCACACCCACTCCCGCCACCACTCCCACCCCCTCGACCACCGCCACCACTCCCGCTTCGTCTGCTTCGGTCAATTACAACTCAGGTGTGGGCAGTGGGATTGCCGTCCCCACTGGGTCTGCTGTGGCTGCGCCAGACAGCGCCAACCCCCAAAATCTTCTGGCCTTGAACCAAGCCGTGATTGAGATCGGGATCATGCTAGTAGCCGAAGAGAGCGGTATTTAAGGTCGTGCACTGGAACATCTCATTTGGACACAGGACGCAGTGTCTATCTTTATTACAATATTTTACTCGGTTACTTCTTCACATTTCACACAGCTCTTCTGCACGTTGAGCTCGTAGATTTGTTGCAGTGCTGTTTATACCCTTTCCCCTGAACATTCCGTTGCATAAATATGCTGACTCCGAACTTGCTAGTCATATGTTCTCGTGGTCATAGATATTGTAAAATTCATGTTGTTTTTCTTCGAGTTGAACTCAAATCATGGAGCACATTGGGAACAAGTGAATATTAGTGATGTCATTTACCGTTGTAAACTACGAGTCTATGCTATACCGTGCATGGATGAAAGAAAAAGTACTTCTCCGCGAATTAGTGAGAGAAGCCGATTAGAAGTACGTTTAGTCCATGTTCCTTCACCCACTTCAGGGAGCTCCGACGGCTACTTCGGCGAAGATCCTTACGTAGGGCTTTCTTGCTGGGTTGCATGATCTGTTGTAGCTCGCCTTGATTTTTCCCCCGCTTCGCTACATAATCGTTGATATTGACATGTAGCGAGGCCTTCAGAAGTTTTGTTGCTGATGATATGCTGGCGGGCAGCTGTTTGGAAATACCGAATTCGACAAGAAGAGCCTGCAGAAGCAGGAGCTTCGCACCAGGATTGTTCTCCTTCACAGGGGCATCCAGGTACCTGCCCGCAATGAAGTTATAAATTATTTCATTAAGTATGAGCAAATACGCACTGCGTGATGTACGCTGAAGCGTCTTCATATGAACCATTGGGGGTTCTTGCCTCCATTGCTGGATTCAAGATTTGTTCCACGTTTTGATTTGGTTTGTGGACTTGGTTCGTATCCCATTCATACTCCACTTTGTTGACTGATAATAGATTGAATGGAATGGACAGCATACTATCCTCTAGGGTGCTGTCGACGGAATCATTGTTAGGAGCGCCCTCCGCTGAGGTACGGGGTAACAGGACAAAGTCCGTGTCGCTGTCGGTAACGCTACTCTCCGATGAGTATTCATCGCTGACGCTCCAAACAACCACATCTTCAGAAGCTTCTGTAGCACAACAAGAAATGCTGCTTATGATTTCGATGGAGGAATCGCTATGAGAGTCGGTCATTTTCAGTCCTGGTGCGATTGAATAGGGGCTTCGATGGCTAGCGTCTACTAGTGCGCAATCAACGCATCTTACGTGCCTCAGCATTTTTTACTTACCTGGAATTATTCTGGGTCAAATGATTCAATAGAACTCTTGCTATTGGTTTTAGTAGGTGGAAGTCACAGAAGGACGAACGGACGAGCGAGCGAATCTTGCGAAACGATGTTAAGATCTATCTAGACTGTCGCGGAGTTTGTAATCCAATTATTAGTTGTCGACGTCACTTACCACGGCCGCTATGAAAATCTCAGGCCTGGTTGGCCATACATTCTTCAAGTTCGTGTTTGCCACGCAATGAGCACTGATCCAGTTCCAAAACTGCCGGAGACACATCGGGCTTGGAGATCTGTGAAGCGAGGCAAACCTTACGAATCTCTTGTTTTCCAGACGGACCTGCCTGTTCCTCCCCTTTCACTTGGGGAAGTGCTTGTGAAGGTCCAGGCGGCAGCACTTAATCCGGTGTAGGTGTCCTTACAGGACATTTATTGAACTCATTATATCTTTGAATTTTATTAGAGGATGGAAGGTCATGTCGGTTGCGCCCGACATCCTTGCCAGGAGACCAATAACACCAGAACATGATTTCGCCGGTGTGGTTGTGGATGCAAACGGCACTGAGTTCTCCGCAGGAGACGAGGTTATCGGGTTTATTCCTGTTCGTGAGTATGAGTATTCTCGTGCACATATCACATTGATTCAGGTTGTTGGATAGCACTGCAGTTGAAGACGGGGCAGGGTGCGCTGACAGAGTATGCAAAGCTTCCTGCTACTCATTTAATCCTGAAACCGTCCAATGTCTCTGCGATCGAGGCTTGTGGTCTTCCCCTAGCTGGGGAGACTGCCTTTCAGGCCCTAATCGGCATTGGAAAGCTTCAAGCTGGCCAGTGTGTATTCGTCAATGGCGGAAGTTCAGCGGTTGGCATGAATGCCATTTATATTGCGAAGGCTCTTGGTGCAAAGGTTGTCACTAGTGCTTCGTCAAGAAATGAGGAAATTTGTCGTAACGCGGGGGCAGATGAAGTATGCGCTTTCCCCTGTAGTTATTTCTTTCCTAACACCCCGCCAGTTTCTCGATTACACGAACAAACCTCTTCATGAGCACTTGGTGGAAAATCCGCCCTCACCCAAATTTGACATCATCTTTGATGCCGTTGCTTTAGTTGACCCGGCTCTTTACAAGCACTCGAATGCCTACATGAAACCAAGAGGTATATTCATCTCAACTGGACCTTGGCCAGACCTAAAATCGTGGGGCGGATCTGCTGGCGTCTCAAAGTTTCTTTCTTTGACCTGCGAAGTTCTGAGGCCATCGTTCCTCGGTGGTGTTAATGCAAAGTGGAGGTCGGTGCATTCTGCTACCAAATCATTGCGCGCCGCTGACTCGGACATACGGTTTACAGCATGGTAAGCGTAACTCACAAGCCACAGGATCTTGCAAAGCTGCGCGATTTAATGGCGGAAGGTATCGTACTGGATCTTTCGTGTGTTTGGTACTCGGGTTTACCGCATTTCAAGGCAAACTCAAACTGACAGTAGACTCCGTGTATGGATTCGAGGACGTTCTTAGTGCGTACGAGCGCATCATGACATCACGAGCTACTGGCAAAGTTGTAGTCAAAATAGATGGCAGCCTGTGACAACGTTATTCAAGTACTGGTCTGCTGTAGATACATTTCGTTACCTCGTGCAAATGATTCTACCTGATATCGAATCGGGATCGTCGAGAGGCACCGAAGAAGTTAATCACCAGACCGAAAGTGATGGCATCTGGTTCTGACGAACTCACCATGATATTATAATTGAGATGTATATCGACTTGCGACGTTAGCCATCTCTGCAGCCTTGGCAGGTCTGTAGACGCGTCCAACACGCGTCCATACTAATAAATGTTTACATTAATTATGATGCTAGCCACAGAGCTGATTATGAAGCGATATTATGTCAGCAGATTAGATGTGGAGGGAGGACCCTGTGCCCATTGCCCAACATCCCTTCCTTGCTGTTCGTAATCTTCCTTCATCTTCGCTTCAACGGAGGCGGAACCTGGGATCATCGACCGTAATATCGCAGCAGCTTAGGTGCAGTGAATTCTTGCAACCATGGAGGTAAGCTCTTCGCGCTTCATCATCGTTTATTCTTGTTCAAGTTAGCATCTAGGGCTTGCTCGATTTCTCGAGGGAATTCGATGTTTCCCTGCTGGATAAAGTCGTCATGGCATTTTACACCGGTTCTGGCCAGGAAGTGAGTGGCGGAGCTACCGTTCGCCATTTGCGATGAACTTACATTCATTTGACCAGCAACAAATGGCTCAACACGTGCTGACGCAGTTTGAAGAACATCCTGATGCATGGACAAGGGTTCCTGACGTTTTGGAGAGATCCTCATTCCCGCAGTCAAAGGTACTGTCCTGTACGAAAGGCGTGTTCATAATAGCTGATTCCGTATTCGCAGTACATCGGCTTGCAGATTCTAGAAAAGCTCATTGTGACGCGATGGAAAACATTACCAGATGGACAGAGATTAGGCAGGGTTATTCCTTGAGATAACTGACGTGGCTAACGTCGCGTGTAGGAATCCGTAATTTCGTTGTTGGAATCACCGTCAAGGTGGCATCTGACGAGACCACCATGCGGAAAGAGAAGACGTACATCAACAAACTGAACCTCGCCCTCGTTCAAGTGAGTGATACGCATACATGAGTATAGATAATCTTTATGGATTAAACCTTTCAGATTCTGAAACAGGAGTGGCCGCATAACTGGCCAACTTTCATCACTGAACTCGTGGAGTCCTCGAAAACCAACCTTTCCTTGTGCGAGAACAATATGGTCATATTGCGGTTGCTTTCAGAAGAAGTCTTCGATTTCTCTGCTGAGCAGATGACGCAAACCAAGATCAAGAATCTTAAGAATCAGATGTGCGGCGAATTCAGCGAGATCTTCAAACTCTGTTCCGAAGTTTTGGAGGATGCCCAGAAGACAAGTTTAATCAAGGCAACTCTCGAAACATTACTGCGTTTCTTGAATTGGATACCTCTGGGATATATTTTCGAGACCATGATAATCGACACACTGTTGAATCGCGTAAGATTGTCATCACTTCGCCTCAAACCAAGTTAACTGTTCTGCAGTTCCTAGAAGCCCCTGACTTTAGGAATGTGACGCTCAAATGTCTAGCAGAGATTGCTGGATTGAACGTGGGCCCAGAATATGATCCAAAATTTGTCATATTGTTTGCCATGGTCATGACCTCCGTCAACCGCATGATTCCTCCTTCTACCAACATTGCTGCGGCATATTCTTCAGCATCAGACGCCGGTCAGGAGCTCGTTCTTAACCTTGCCCTCTTCCTCTCCAACTTCTTGTCCACCCATCTACGCGCTGTCGAGACCGAGGCGAACCGTGATGTTCTGTTAAATGCACATCTTTACATGGTCAAGATCTCCCAAGTTGACGAGCGCGAGATTTTCAAGATCACTCTTGAATACTGGTCAAAACTCGTGGCAGAACTCTACGATGAGATCCAAGCTCTTCCTATTGGTGAGAGCGGATTACTCATGGGCTTGAGCCTCGGGAGCAGCAGCGGAAATATGCTCAACGGCATGTCTTTGAGAAAGAACATCTACAGTGACGTCTTGAGTAACTTGAGACTTGTTGTCATCGAGCGAATGGTGAAGCCAGAGGAGGTGCGGTTCAATTTTCCTTTCTTGTCTCTTCGATATAACGATGGTTTCAGGTACTAATTGTCGAAAATGACGAGGGTGAAATCGTTCGTGAATTCATGAAGGAATCGGATACGATTGTCCTCTATAAGCAGATGCGGGAGTTGCTGGTCTATCTTACGCATCTTGATGTTGTGGACACCGAAAATATACTGACCGAAAAACTTGCAAAGCAAGTCGATGGTTCGGAATGGAGTTGGCAGAACTTGAACACGCTTTGCTGGGCCATTGGAAGCATATCAGGAGCAATGAGTAAGTGCTATTTTCGTAGCCGTCTGATCTGCTCTAAACCCCTCTTGCAATCTACAGATGAGGAAACCGAAAAACGCTTCCTTGTCACCGTCATCAAGGATCTATTAGGATTGTGCGAAATCAAACGAGGCAAAGACAACAAAGCTGTCGTCGCCTCAGATATCATGTACATCGTCGGCCAGTATCCACGCTTTTTGAAGGCACATTGGAAATTCCTGAAGACAGTCGTCAATAAGTTGTTCGAGTTCATGCACGAGACCCATGAAGGTAAGGAGCCTATTGATAAAATACTCTTGTCACTCTGACCATGTCTGTATGACGCCTCCAGGTGTGCAAGACATGGCATGCGACACGTTCATCAAGATTGCTCAGAAGTGTAGGAGACATTTTGTCATGCAACAATCGGGAGAACAGGAGCCATTCGTAGACGAAATATTGCGGCTACTTCATCGAATCACTGTCGACCTGTCGCCTCAACAGGTGTGTTGCGTGATCTTATTTGGGTATGCCTTCTTATTTTTCCAATAGGTACATACCTTCTACGAGGCCGTCGGTTACATGATTTCCGCGCAGCCCAACAAACCTCAGCAGGAGAAACTCATTGCTAAGCTGATGGAACTACCGAATAACGCTGTGTGTACCTTTTTCATCAGCGAGAGAAGTCTCTTGCTCACAGTTTCATTAAGTGGGATTCGTTGATGGCTCAAGCGGCGCAGAATATGGATGTCCTAAGCAACCTTGATAATATCAAAATTTTATCTAATGTCCTCAAGACGAACGTGTCTGCTTGTACATCTATTGGCAGCTTCTACCTGCCTCAGGTGGGGCGGGTCTTTTTGGACATGTTGGGTCTGTACAAGGCAGTCAGTGGCATTATCAGCGAGACGGTAGCTCGGGAAGGTTCGTGGTTCAGCCTTCCCAATTCCTTCCTGTACCGTAGCTAATCCCCAATCATTAGGCACCATTGCCACCAAGACGCCAAAGATACGGCAGTTGCGCACTGTTAAGAAGGAGATCTTGAAACTGATGGAGACGTATATCAAGAAGGCTGAGGATCTCGAAGCTGTGAATACGAACTTCATGCCCCCACTACTGGATGCAATTCTTGGTGACTACAACCGCAATGTACCGACTGCACGAGATGCTGAGGTGCTGAACGTGATGGCTACCATCACAAGTCGTCTCGGGGTAAGTGCATAGCATGGCCAATACCGTGCTTGTTCGCTCACCCCATCCTACAATCACAGCCTTTGTTAACTCCTCAAGTTCCTGCCATTCTTGATGCAGTCTTCGAGCCTACGTTGACCATGATCAACCAAGACTTTTCTGAGTTCCCAGAACATCGCGTTGGGTTCTTCAAGCTCCTCCGAGCAATCAACCTTAATTGTTTCCCTGGTATGTGTTTCTTGATTTTAGAATCATCTCCTCGCACTAATAACTTTACAGCTTTGCTTGGTATCCCACCGCAACAGTTCAAGCTGTTCATGGATAGCATCATCTGGGCAATTAAGCACACGATGCGTGATATTGCTGACACCGGACTCAACTGTGAGCACATACTTCACGTACATGGAGAGGGCGCACTTACGGTTTATTTTAGTGTGCCTTGAGGTGGTCAACAATTTTGCTGGCGCAGAGACTGCCGTTAGCAATGCATATTTCCAACAGTACTTCCTGAGTATTGTGCAAGATATATTCTTTGTACTCACGGACACAGACCACAAGAGTGGTTTCAAACTTCAAAGTCTTCTACTCGCTCGCATGTTCCAGCTAGTTGAGACGAACCAGATCCAAGCACCCCTATTTGATCCTGCACAGATGGCAGATCCTACCGTTTCAAATTCCGTGTTCCTTAAAGAATATTGTGCCAATCTATTGAAGACAGCATTCCCTCATGTGCAGAAGTGCGTCCCCTTTTCACTTTCCTGCTGGCATCTCTGAATGATTTCTGCAGCTCGCAAGTTCAAGTCTTCGTCTCGGGTCTTGGCGAGTTCCATGGCGATATCAACCGCTTTAAGCTCGCTCTACGCGACTTCCTCATCCAGCTTAAGGAGTTCTCCTCTGGCGATAATGCCGAGCTGTTTTTAGAAGAAAAGGAAGCAGAAGCACAGATGAAGGCCCAAGCAGAACGAGAGATGGCCATGCGTATCCCTGGCATGCTCAAACCTTCGCAGCTCGAGGACAAAGACGAGGATATATCATGAAAGGTCTCAGTCCTTCTGCCATGTACCGTAGTTTCTCGCACAAGTCGCGCCCCATCTCACCTTGCATGCACTCTACGTCTCACTTGCCTTTCCTCAGAAAGTGGACGAATCTCATTTTATCACCTTTTATCATAGCAACTCAATCTGCTATCGAAGATTTCTTGTGTTCTCGGTATCTAATGTATTAGTGTGTAGGCCAGGCAATACAAGAAAGTAGTATATCTAACTTATCTAACATATGTTGGGACGAAACCCACGGAAGCAGATCGCGTGACTCTCCACCCGCACTCCACCGCTGCTATCGTTCGTAGTCTGCTGGCTTCGCGCTTATCCATGTCTGAGCTCCACTCTGTGATACGGAAAATGAAACTGCTTACTGGGACGGATCGGTAACGTAACGACATTCAAGTTGGTGATGACGCCTGCATTAGCTGGAACTTCATCCAGCTGAATGACGAGGACAAGAAGGTGAAGGGCCTATAGATGGCGTCTCGAGTCTCGACGTGTCGCAAGAGGCACCCCATGACCGATGGTTGGGCATTTGAGCACAACTCTGGGTTCTTCAGAGGATGGCGGCGAAAGGATAGGCACCTCTGCCGGTTTCTTGGTGAGAAAGACGGGATTGATCTAAGAAGCCATGACCATCTCTGACTTCACCTCGATCCGTCAAGGACCATTTCCCAGGACGGTGTCAGCAGCTGGTTCGATGAACTGACGCAGGTTTCAACTATCAGCTGTATTTCACTGCAGAGAACTTCTGTAGCAACATATGGGAACCTGATCAGTGAAGAGACACATGAGGCAGAACACCGGAGATAAGGCTTACTTGAGTCATCCTTGTTCTCTTCGTCTTCAATCTGACCAGTCATATATCCCTCAAGACGTCTACACGCTGAAAGTAGTCGACGAATCGCGTTTTCTGCGAATTGATAGTAGAACCATCTTGGTCTATAATTGCCTCCCTCGTTCAATGTCCCCTGGTATATCATCGATCGAGGAAGGGTTGGAATTTACTGAAGAAAAAAGATCACACTCTATTTAAAAACCACGATATGAAGGGAAAGAACCTACCTCCATGACATTGAAGTAGAGTGATGTTGTTGAAGATGAGGAACAGTTGTTACCAAGACTGCAATGGTACATTACTGTTTGGTAGTACTGTGTGCGCCGTGTGCTGAAACGGTGGAGGAAGTTCCAACCTTTATTCATCACCATCACGATGTTCAAAAAGTATATACTAGAATTGTATTCGCACAGCAGCTCATCGCTCACGATTACACCCTAGATTTACGCCTTCCACAGATATCGCAGGCCAAACGCCACCCAAGTCCTCTGTACAACGATCGATAAGGGCTGCTGTGCTTCAACAGTGGAAGATCGGATTAGAAACACTGGAAGAGATCTGGCCTAAGAAGGAGACTTTAATCCACGTAAAATGGTACGTCTTTCCAGGATCTGATGAGTCTGTCTGACATACTTGGTCTGCATGACAAGAAGCAGAGAACACATCTCAATATACTCCGTCCAAAACGTACCCCTCTTTTTCCAGCATTTTGATGGGCCGTTTTACCCCACCCTTCGATTACTTCACCAGTGTAAGCCACTCCTCGGGTCTGATGGTGTCAAACACATATGAAATGCACCATTTGCAGATCCGTTCATTCTACCTAAAGTTGGCGTTGACAGGGGCGCAATTCGCTTTCTGCTGGCAGGTGCTCCCATGATGTGTCCCGGATTAACTTCAGCTGGAGGTTACCTTCCCCCGTCTGAGGAAGCATTACCAAAAGGTACCGCTGTTGCTGTACATGCTGAGGGAAAAGAGCACGCTGTTGGAATCGGAATCACCACGCTTGGCACGGAGGACATGCGAAAACTGAACAAAGATGTAGCTGTCGAGATTGTCACACATCTTGGAGATGACTTGTGGGCCTTGCAAACTCTGTAGTAGTTTCCACGTGGCCTTTTTGGGTGCTTCCATTGTAATATGCAACCTTATCTACAAGTGACTATGCGGTATCTTAACAGTTTGCTACTAGCACACTAGCGATTTCCGGGTTCCGTACAGGCCGGTACGGCGACGATGAGAGTCTTTTTTACAATGTTCCAGTTCCTGGCGCAACAATTGACAGGATCAATGCTAGCGAGCCCCGGACTGTCGCCACTGTGCGAGCCGGTGGGGTAGTAGCTCTTCTGAGTCACATCACACATTCGTTTGTTCTACCCTTCGCACCGCCTGTCACGTACTAACTTCAGGAACCTTGTTCGGCAATGGAAGATACCTCCTTCGCGTATTCACAAGCCACGACTCGTGCCCGTGCTCGAAAGAATCGAAGAGGTAATGGCAGACGCGAACAGCCCTTGCTGATAGACCTCGTAGATCGTTGCAAAGCGGATATTGAATCCAATGGCTGGATAACGACTTGTCTGGGTCGGGACAATGCTTTCATTGTCCGAGCGTCTTGTTGATTGGTATCAGGTCTCTTACAAGACGCCCTGCAGAGGACTAATCTATCATGTCCTGATGTGCTGTGTCTTGGTTTGGGAAGTCCCTCATCGTCCCGTGAGGCCCGAGCGCAACTGGCTTTCCTCATCAGCTCATGCACCATCTTGGAAATAGTGAGTTACACCATGTCACGGCGCTACTACTAGTACTTCTTCTGACGCTGGTTCTTTGTGTTGTAAGGGTCCATCAAATGTGTCCGTATATGATCCAGTGTTTACGGATGCAGATAAGGCATTATTCCAGAGCTTCGGGATGCGATGTTTGCCAGACACAGCAAGTCTTTTGTTCTGTCATGTACGACAGTGTCCGATAAGTGCCTGTTTTATTCCAGGACGGAAAGCATGCGGTAGAACGTCCAACAATCCTGTATATGCCGCATTGTGACCTCAAGCTGTACGAAAACATTATCGGTGCTAATTGGTCAGAAGAGCAACTGGCGCGCATCATCTTCATTGCGAACCGGTTCAGCGATTACACCGACAAGTACGTGTACACTATCACTCGAGAGGGTGAGTTTATGGACCCTCTCCGCAGCCACCCCCAGTCAAAGTTAGAAGTCGAATCTCCGTATTTGATGCGTTTAGGTGGGATTGATCATGATAACAACGAATGCAGGCTAATCTCACGGTCGTTATGCAGTTCCTCACCTCGAGTGCCACTCTCTTCCCGCATTAGAAAGCTTCTCTTCGGCGTTCAATAACATTTCGGTCCAACACGTGAAGCACCCCATTCCGCAGTCAGTAGCGCTCGCAATAAGGTGATCAGTGCTAAAACGCCGTTCCTCCGACAGCGGTAGCGTAATGTCGTGAGAAGGAGGGTTCAAGTTATTCCCCGTGATGGTCACTCCTGAAGAGGCGGAAGCGAGAACCATATTCCCAAAATGGAAACTAACATACATGAACAAAGTGACGGTTATGTACACTACTTACTATAGGGCAGAAAACCATATTCTAGGTTAAAAAAGGCGAAACTAACATTCATGATAGACAGCATTATACGAAGTGGAGTGATCTTCATCGGGAAACGGAAGGGGATCGAGCGCATAACGATCAAAATAAGAGTCCGGGTGCCGGATGTACACGTGAGGCTGTGACCGTCGCCTCCCCCGTTGCCCTGGAAGAGGCAGGGACGTCGGATCCACAAAGTCAAGTTCTGACGAGCGTCCTAGGGAAGGCGTGGAAAGGGCATCGGACTCGTCGTCTGAAGTGTCCTCTATGGCTTCTGGGACAGATAGATCGTCTAACTCGTCGGCATCATAGTAGGGTAGAGCGTCATACGCTGGAAATGGTGAAATAGGAGACTCAATGATGGGACCAAGATCATATGGACGAACAAGTGGTGGATGGAAAGGCGGATATGGCACGGGATATGGCACAACGTATGCTTGATGGCTGAATAGGTCGTCCGACGAAGACATTGGTGACGTTAAGGGGCTAAGTGGGGGATCTTCATCATCTTCAACCGCTAGGACGGATATGCGAACGTCGGCATCCGATGCGTCATCTCCACCTTCGACTAGGGATTCTAGAAGTGAGTCGAGCCACTCAGCTTCGGATGTACTGGCTCCGACCCCCACAAGCTTGGAAGCGTCGGGGAACATGAATGAATCCAACTCCTCATCGTCGTCTTCGTTATCCCCAACATCGCTTGAAATGTAAACATGTTTTGAATAGGAAACACTGGTCGCCGCACTGGGCTCATAGGGGGCGCTAGGTGGTCGAAATATAGAGTTTTTGAGAAGCACCCAGCGGTGTAGGCTGCCTCCCATAGCTGAATGTAGCTTGGAACGAGCCATGGTGGAAAGGTCTACGGGTTCTGCTGACATGTGAAGGGTGGTAAATTTCAAGGCGTATGATGGAGTGGCGTCTGACACGTCCAAGACAGAATATTAGTATATGATTCCTTCCTGGCCAAACTCATATATAACGTACCCGGGTCAAAAATTGTTCTACCAGGGTTGAAACTGGTTTGACCGGTGTATACGATAGACGATGAATGGTTCGAACAAGATGGTGCCGTTGTTGGATTTACGGGCAAGTTTGTTAACCATACTTCAGGAGAATGGTGGGCCTACGCTCTTTAAAGGGACGCGGCAATGAGGAATTGGAGAGGGGCTCTGTTTAAAGACGAAGAGCTTATTGTGCAAACATGATGATGGACGGGGAGGAAAAAGTGGGGACGGCAGGGGGCGAAGACGGTCTTATATAGGAATTTTGAAATAGAGAAACCGTGACAATGACTCAAAATGATGCACTTCGGAAAGAAGCATTTACCCGGGTCACCGCCGGGCGATATCACAAATATATCCAAACAACCTCCTTTGCGATAACGCCACCACGCCAACGATAAAAAAAAATGTTATATGCACCGCGAGGTTCCAGCTATCTACACGACTTGAACGCCGTTCCGACAGATGCGGCCCCCTCAACCTTCATCCATCTGGTCATCCCTGCCTTCTTCGTCCTTGACGGTATCAATAAGTTTCTTCAGTTTATTGACACTCTTTGGTGATGTATCGCGTGCTATGGCGAGCCAGTGCGCCGATTTTACCTCATCACCCATTAATCGATATACTTTCGCAATCTGGAACACTACATTTGACTCCTCGGGAGATGAGTCACGAAGCTGAAGTAGATCTTCCAGCGCTTCCTGCGAGTGTGGGAGAAAAGTTATGTAAAAAAAATGGAGGTCAACGTCCCGATCATGGCTGGTAACCAGGTGTTCACTTACAGCGTATCTTTTCATGGAGATAAGGATTTTCGCTCGACGATAACGAACGAGCGCATTATCTGGCGCTACGCGAACTGCCTGATCGAATAATGAGTGCGCAGCCACCTTGTCACCCCGACGTTCGACAGCCTGAGAGGCCGATAGCCACAACAAGGGTCGATTAGAGTCAGGAAAGTCGTATCAAACAAGCGACACACCATGCCCACACAACCTAGCAAAACTGCATTATTTGGATGAATTTCAACTGCCTTGCGATAGTGATACTCAGCAAGGCGTATTTTGCTCATCCGCAAATAGCAGGTACCAAGACCATACCTATGGCGAAGTCAATCAGCACGAGAAGCCACTTGACGTGTCACATAAACCTAACCAAGCATTGTAATGTCGCGGATCTGCGCGGAGGGCAGTCTGGAAGAATCCGATAGCTTTGTCCAGGTCTTCATCAATAGACTCATGTCCGCTAAGAGTGTACGCGTAAGCACAGGACGGATCCATTTCAGCAGCTCGTCGAAAACACGTAAGTGCCTGAGACCGCTCTTTCTGTAAGGAAAACAGATTGCCAACTGCGATCCACGCCTGCGAAGAGCGTGGGTTTACGTTCATAAGTTCTTGTGCAAGATATGAAAGCTGCACGTTCTGCTGAAGGTGCCATAGAAGAGTCGAGTAAACCTCCATATCGCCCAACCGATAAGGCTCCAGAGCTCTAGCTGCCCTGAACGCTCGCTCTGCCTATAATAGAGAAATAACGTAAACGAAAAGAAGTACATAGCGGTGCCAATGATAATTACGTACTGACGCGTACTCGAGTCGTTCATAGTGGGCTCGGCCCACCATCGCCAATACCCACGATGATTGTTGGTGTGCAAGCGGTATCTGGTCGAGTTCCATGAGACAGGAGTAACAATCATATTTGGACAAAGCTCGAGTAGCACGTGCAAATCGCCGGAGCAGATCATAGATATATTGGTCTGCCATTTCTGAATCGTACGCCTCTTGAGCAGCGAGTTCATGCGCCGCAGTCCAATTGCTTGGCGGGGGCGATGTCTCAGAGGGAGGTGACTGAGCGTTCGAAGTTGGCGAGGTCGAGGACGCGACCTCTCCATGCAAATTGGCATCATCCTCACCATCCGAGTCTATTGATCGCGATCGCGAGGTAGTCAACTGTCGGCGGCGATCTCGTGGAGGTGGATGCTTCAAGAAATAAGTCAGTAATTGATATTAGACCAAAACACAACCAGGTAAACAGGCTCGAAATCCACCCACTCACCTTGAGGGGCTTGCTAGTAGTGCCACTCAAGAGCCGCGTGCTTCGCCGCGGCGCAATAGCAGCACTCCCTCTCTCATTCTTGGTAATTCCACCACTAGCAACTGGCCTGGATGATATGACGGGCTGAGAACGACGACCCGGTGATGAGAAGATATTAGCAAATTTTAGGGCCGGGCGTGCGCGTGCCTTTTTCGAGGTTTCGTCCACAGTCAGCTTGGACGGCTTGCATGCGACAGTCTCAGTGCTCTTTTGTCGAATCGTCGATCGAAGCCTCTTCTGCGCGGGACCAGTCTCATCCGCCGAAGATAGTGGTCGAGCGGCGGGCTGAGACGGGCCGGGCCCTGCTGGCTCAAATTTAGAATTGCGGGGTGGAGGGTGAAGAAATGAGTTCTCCGTATGGAAGAATGGTTCGTTAGTAGCGCTAGAAATGATGCAGAAGACCATGTCAGACATATTGCATCATGAGAGGGTCGTGGCCGCTTTACATGGAGTCGCGTGGATCTAGTGGAGGATCCATCCGGAAAGCTTGAGGGACGTTCTTGCGGCCACGAAATAGAGTGGTATTGGCAGTGATGTCAGGTGTAAAAAATCCAACTCCAGTAGCAATCGGGCCAGAGAGGGCCTTGGCTGGTGGGGGCTCTTCTGGCGGACCCTGTTTTACTGGGGCGGGACGCACCGGAAAGATCTCGTCTACATCAGGAGCCGTACCTAAAAGTGAAAGTTAACTAAGTTAGTTGCAGGATGTGACAATAAGCCCAAGTTGGTCACCGAGAGAGCACAAGCCCTCAAATGCTTCCCACAACATAGGGTTGAGTGCGAGAGCTTGTCGGAAACTACGAGTAGCCTGCTCAGGAAGATTGCCTTTCATTGCCATCGTTCCAGATCGACATCGCGTTGCAGCTTCCTCCGGGAATGCGCGCGAGGTTCGAGAGCCCATAGAAGCTGCAGAGAAGGTCAGTGAGTGTACGGCAATATGGAATGGAATGCGCACCCGTCGGGGTATAGGTGGAATCCTGTAAACTAGCGTCAAAAGCTTCGTGTGCTAGCCTGTGCCGACCGAGAGCAGCACAACACTTTCCCTTGATCTCTAAGCATCCACTACATGTCGACTGTTGAACACCAGTGACTAATTGTAGCCCTGAATGTGGCTGACCGGATCGAAGAAGTGCTGTGGCATAAAGATGACGCGCATCGTGGTTGTTCTCGTCCATGACAAGGTAAAGTTCCGCATAGAAAGCTGCAGATCTGACAAGGTCGAAATCGAGACAAGTCCATACGAGGGTTTGGAAACGCTGTCTGATTTGTGGGAGAAATGCAGGCCTTGTAACGGCTTTCGAATCTTCAAGTGGCATTAGCACAGGCCTAGAGCATGAGAATATAAGTCAGGGAAAAATATGATTAAATCCAGTCCCCCGCAGACTAGCGTGTCTGTCCAAGGAGGCAGTGTTTGAAATTTGAGACGGCTTGATGCAGCGCGGTGATGAGAAGGTTAAGCAGTGCAACGCGAGTTCCCCATAAACAAACACTGCGCGTGGAACAATCACGTGACAATCGCGTAGATGTTTACATGTATATCTCTGATCATTCTCAAAGACAATTGCACACATTCGATGTAAGTAAACATTATGGGCGTATGAATTACACGTAAGACTGTCAACGCAAGGCTGTCTCTGTTTAATGGCCATGTGAATCTGCTTCTGGCTTCGGTTCTGTTAAGATCAGTGAGACAGACTTCTGGGGTGGAGTGGCAACCGCTTACCCGGTACGCACTGGATAGCGTCATCGATCCGCAAAAGTGAAATGGCAGCCTCATACGCTGACTTCAAACTCCTGACTTTACTCATCGTTGGCTCCAGCACACCAGCCGCAACATTGTCGCGGACATCTCCGTTCATAAGATCTAGGCCATACCGAAGTAGTACTTTTTTCGGATCACCCGCAGGCGCGTTCTGCGCGGCGTGATGGTAAGCACGCAGTTTGGCGACAAGATCGGTGGAATCCTTCGCAGCGTTGACAGCAAGTTGCTTTGGGATTGAAAGCAAAGCTGCAGCGAATTCGGCGATCGCCAGCTGTTCTCGCGATCCCTAGTGTGTAATCATAAGATCATCGAGAGGAATGCCGATAGGTATGAGACTCACTAAAGTTGTCGCAAAGTTTTCCAAGTAAATGCTGAGGGCAGATTCAACCGCACCACCTCCAGGAACAACAGCTCCGCTCTCTAAAGTACGCTTAATGATGGAAAGCGTGTCATGCAATGCTCTCTCCATCTCATCTAGCATGTAATCATTCGCCCCGCGCAGAACAATAGACGCAGAGTTGACCACCTTGGTGCCCTTGATGAGAATCAATTCATCATCGGAGATGCGCTCCTGGACAACTTCGTCCGCTGAACCAAGGTAACTGGCCTCATATGTCTCCTCACCTTCCAAGTTCGCGAGACTTGAGATGAGCGTGCCACCTGTTGCCTTTGCGATGCGTCGAAGGTCCTCTTTTCTGCACCTTCTAACTGCCATCGCGCCAGCTTCGACAAACTCTTTTAGACACAAGTCATCAATGCCCTTTGTGGTCAGAACAACGTTGGCTCCTGATGCCAAAATTTTTCGAATTCGTTCCAGCGTAATTTCTGCTTCACTGCAAAAGCGCATTCAAACAAGGATCAAATGGACAATTACTTTGAAGACTAACCGCTTCCTGATCTCCTCCAGCTGATTTGGATCTTCGACCAGTATCTGCACACCCAGCTGCATGCGGGCTTTTTGAAGATTTATATCCAAACACGCAATTTTTGCATTTGTTACGCGTTTTTTCATCGCTAAAGATCCTAGTTCAGTGGATAGTTTATGCAAGAAAAAAGTATGTGGACCTTGACTAGCAACCGTGCAGTTCAGTGCATAGCCTTGAACATACAGGGATTCTCTAGCACTTTTACCGTGAGCCTTGAGCACGTTGACAGCCTTGACCGGATATTTGATGTCACCGCGCAAGTTAATGGTCTTGACAGCAAGCATAGCGTCCACAGCCATAGGGGCAAACAGATCATCGTCACTTCAAAGGGATTTAAGGGGACGGATTGCCAAAAGTTTCTAAACAACGTACTTTCCGATGATCTTGCTAGACATACTAGTCTTGGCAGCATTCACAAGTGCATCACGACCGAGAGAATCAATTTTTATGCTAAGTTGATCCTGCATGAACTTGACAGCCTCTTTGCAAGCAAGTCTGTAGCCTGTGATGATCGTGGTCGGGTGTATTTTCGCTTTTACGAGCTCGTTCGCGCGTCGAAGGAGCTCAGATGCAATGATGACCACAGATGTTGTACCATCTCCGACTTCCTTGTCCTGCTTTTGCGCGAGATCGACGAAAATCTTTCCAGCTGGGTGTTCCACAGACAGAAGAGACAGGATAGTTGCACCATCATTTGAGATGGTCACTTCCTAATGAAAGTAAGAAAGAAAGGCTTGAACATGTAGCAAAAGATGCGCACTCCGATGTTGTCAACGAGCATTTTATCGAGCCCGAGTGGACCCAAAGAGCTTTTGACGATGTTTGCGATGGCCAAGGCCGCGGTCACTGATCCGATGCATCATTTGAGCCTAAGACTAACGACCACCGAGCCACGTACCATTCTGATCCCGTATATCTTGCCCTGACACGCGGTCACCACCTAGAAACGCGCCAGCTCGAGGATCACGTTGGAACATCTTGCGTATAGATGATCTAACTCAAGGACAGTTGCTGACATTTGTGTCGCTGCAGCCTGCTTACGCAAGATTGCCTCCTATGGTTCACGAGGTTCGGATTTCGCACATCTCCAAGTGGAAGTGATTCGACCCACTTGCGAGTATTAACTTGAATGACGTTTTACCATTTGAAAAGTATCACAGACAAGCCCCCCTGCAGTTCGAACGCTCATCAGCACCTCTGAGTCAGATATGTTTTTGGCGACATGACTTTGCTGGGGAATAACTACCCCGACGCTGGTGCGTGTTGGATAGAGAACCTTGGTCACACTCTTACCAGCAAGCAGTCAAACACGTTTCCTCCAGGCCTAATAACTTCTGCAATAACTTCATCTGTCGGTGTGAAGCCATGCGATAACATGTCCATAACGAGAAATATTGTCAACAAATACGAATGGAAGATATCGAACAAAAAGTGTGAACAGAAAATCGTGGTTATCCACATGCTATCACAAGCTAACTGTCCATCAATAATCATGTCCAGCAAAAACAGAATCGAAACTCACGTTGTACTTGACAGGTTGGGAGGTAAGGATGAATAAATGTTTAACATTTGACGATTGAATAATGCCAAGGGGTGAATCCTAGCGGATAAATACTGAGGTAAAAGGAAACGGACGAGACCACAAAAGACATAAATAGCTATCGACAGTCTTAGATGCGAGACAAATAAAGAATCAAACTGAGAAGAAAGAGATGTTGAACATATATAAGAGATGCAGCGAAAATTCTGAGCAGCACAGAGCATGACGAGCGTTGAGATCAGTGTGCGGTAATGTGGCGCCACAAATGGTTGTTTCTGGTTGGGCCATTGGAGAGAGAAGATTTGAACGAAACGAGGAAGCGCAATGGGGTTCCAGGCGTTTGACAGGCGTGAGGGTAGAGAAAGATCGATCCTGATTAGGAAGAGATCAAGTTGATCGCGGAATTGCTGGACATGCAGAAAGCAGACGCGCTTTGAACGTGCAGGAAAATGGAGCAGTAACGGAGAGGTCGGGTTGAGATTAATAGGCAGCCATACGAGTCGCGTCAAAAGTTTCAGAGCGGGTCATACCGACGCGACCCAATCTTTTCGCCTTTGACAGTAGCATGGTACCTTTATTGGGAGGGGGGCAGGGGCTGTCGCCGATGTCGGTCTCCTCGTCGTCTGTCTGGGTGATGTTACCGACCTCGGTCACAGTCGAAAGACCATTACGGCGTGTACGAGCAGCGTTTGCGGCAGCAAATAACTGAGGAGCACCAGCAGGCGCGGTATTCCTCTTGGATGGCTGTTGGGTCATACCAGCGACTTTCGAAGCTAGGTCACCATAAGCATACGACTTCGTGCGTCCAAATTTGCCCTTGCGAAACTGGTCTAAGTCTTCTTTGCGGGACAGTGCAAAGTTGGGGTCATCCATCGTGACATAGCCCCGAGGACGACAGCGAGTAGCACACTGTTTATAATATTCGCAGTACCCGCCTTCCAAGATGTAAACCTCCGGATAGTGAATCTTTGGGTACACGTGGTTATTCATCGCGCGATCTTTGGCACGGAGGTGTTTGGCGCTGAAGGGCATCGCAAAATTAACGTCAGGAGGGAAAATGGTGAGGCATTTCTGGCTTACAATGTTGGAGCTCTCTTTGCGCTGAATTCACAATGGAAAACCAGAATAGTCTTTTTATGAGAGTCGCCACTAACAGTTGGTTTAGGCTTCTGCACGCCAAGTAAGAATTCTTCCACGCCAGCAGTGGTGTTGATGTTGACGGCGCCGGGAACATGTCCACCGTTGTATTCATAGTCGAAGCGGCAGTCGATAACGTGGAAACTCGCAATGCGAGAATTATAGGCACCGTCGAGAAGATCATCCAACTAATGAAAATGGAATGTTAAGTGTTGTCACCAAGGCCACAGATAAAGGCAATTACAGTTTTCGGTACAATCCTCATCAAGCCATCCTCGCGCACGCGGTGACATGGCAAGATTTTGCCCAGTGTCTCGTTGTCCCCAAATCCTGGCAATCCTGCAGCCATGAATTTCGCCGAGGGACTCTCAAACATATCACGCTGGACCATAGCAGTCGCGCCAGTCAGAGGTCTGAAATCCTCTGTTCCATCGCGTCTACGGATAGCCTTGACCTGCTGTCGCTTGGCGTATGCCTGGGCAGGAGAGGACATGTCAGGGTCGTCGAAAGAAGAACCCTCATCAGATAAGTGGTCGAGGACAGTGGATGGTACCATAGAAAATGCGCGTCGTGAAGGAGGCAATTCGAGTGTTGACCGCCCCTCTGGCGAAGCATCTGAGTCAAGAGCGGGGTATGCGGATTGTGGCGAAGGGACACCGGGTTGTACCAAAGCTGAGAAGACAATACGTCGGGCTCGTTTGCTTGCGTTAGGGGGGACTCCAAGGCCCTGGAGCGCAGGTTTAGCGAAGGTGGCCATGCGATCCAACTTGTGCTGCGAAGGTGACGAAGGAGCAGGCGATGACAAAGCTTCATTATCAACACGCGAAATAGTCTCCGGAGATAAAGAACGACGCTTTTTTGCCTGCGGCCCTCCAGGGGTGTCTAAGTAGGATTGGGTCATAACCCCATAAAACAGATTGTTAAACTCAGTCACAGCAGGTGCTGCAGAAAGAGGCGGAGAAGGTAGCAGGTCCTGCTCAGAAACCTCAGGAGCAGGATCCACGTCCATGGCGTCATCAGACCCTAAAGAAATAGATGCATCCAGCGGCTACCCGTGCAGTCATATAAGCAACAAGCCTGCTGGTCTAAACTAAAAGAATCACTTACCGGAGCAAATATGTTTCCATCCATCGTCTGAGAGGTTCTTAAAGGCTTAGAGGGGGCCATCCACTCCATAGGAAGCGCGCTGCGCTGGATCCGTTTGGAGTTCGCTTGGGTGCCAGTTTTTGTGTTGACAGAGTCGTTGGAGACATTGCTGTTGCTCATGTCCTGACCGAAAATACGAGCGGCACTGGTAGATGCACGGGGGCGCGTGGTAGGCCTGTTCATCTTCTCATTCTCCTTCTGAACGGGGCGGTACGCAGGCGAGATGTCCATTGGGACATCGCAATCTTGCACAAGCGTCATTGTGTTACGTGGAGGAGAATTGAGAGACATAGTAGAAGCGAACGACAGCTCGAGGTCAGAAGACAAGAAATCATCAATATCATCATGTTTAGCACTGAGCACCTGGCCGCGTTTGCGAGAGGGAGCAAGTGGCGCGTGTAGGTATTGCGTTGAAGCCGAAGCTGCAGCCGAAGAAAGGGTGGAGAAGAAGGTCATGTCGCGAGAGATAGTAGTAGAAGGTTGGAATTGAACTCTTTTTGGAAGTTTGTTCGAATGATAATCTGTGAGTCGTTTCAAGAATGAATCAGACATGGTTGATGAGAGGTGAGTGTGAAACAAGTCAAATAATTAAGCCAATAAACAGCGTTTGAACGCCAGACGGTGATCGTACGAAGTTAGATGTTACAGGGGACAGAGTAGTGTCCAAGAAGAGAGGACATCCACAGTCCACAAATATTGATTGTAAGAAGAAACACATACTGAAGTAAGACGTGGCCCAAACAAACGGATCGTGGCCAGTAGATTTACGGAAAGTAGTGGCTGTCAACGACAAAGTCAGCGATCTAATGTGGCTTAGAGTGCGAAAAGAGATGAACAAAGAAAAACATCAATACAAAACGAGCAGCATCCACTCGGCCATAGAACTGAGTCCCGCATAAATGAGTCATAGCTCACCTTGAACGTAAGGATAGTGTTAACGGAGGAGGCCGCGCCTAGGTAGTGCGTACAGAATAAGAGTGGGTCACCGTTGCTCAATGACTATACCAACAGCTTGGCTTCAGCCAGAATATTGCTCGCAATGCAATGAACTTGAACAGAACAGAAAACGTAAGCAAACTTTGATGCGAACAATCGTAGGTCCAGCAAATTTGGATCCTGTCCTAAAACGGTCAGCGACGCGCTCAATTAAGCAGTATAACTAGGCAAGAAGCAAGAATATCGCGTGCTGGGTATGAGGTGTCCTGCCACCGTAGCTGATTCGGTCCTACGCACAATTTCGCTCTAGTGGTGTGCGCTGATGGGAGGACTCGGCAAAAGGACAATTGTTTGCCCTCTCTTTGGCGTATGTTGATATTCGTCACGTGCATTTTGTCTTTTGTTTCTTGATCAGGCTAGCTCTGAAACTTGAAATATATGCATTAATGGTAATTATGTAAAGGCGTCTACTCACCTTGTACTCACCAATATTCAAATTTCAAAGACAGATCATCTTTCTATTTCACTAATAGAGACGGTCCTGATTTCTGTAAATTTACTTGGTCCCAGCTGCACATAAATGCATCAGCGCTGAGCGCTAGCCTTCAACTATATTACAAATAATTTCAGAAAGGACGCACGACGGTCACTACGGCGCCCATAGTATGTATGTACTATGAACACATTTTGCATCTTTACACCATATGCTGATTCAGTAGTATCCAGTTCAGGATACACCCGCTCTACGATATCGACGATACCCTGACTTATGATAGTCATGTGGTTGGGACTGTCACAATCATGATATGGCCGATATGAAAGTCGGCTGCGTCCTTAGGTCACACCCATAGCACCGGGTTCCCAATCCTCCCGTTCATCTCTCCACATGCATGAATACAATCTAATATGTCACAAATCAAAGAAAAGTTAACGATACGTTCACGTAGTCATTTGATATTCAAGACTAAAATTGCGCTTTCCGTTTCATCAGAGATGGTCTTGGATTCTGTACATTCACTTGGTCCCAGCTGCATATAAATGCATCAGCGTCGCGCAGCAAAAATAAGTCCAAAGAGGACGCACGGTATAAACACAGTTTGCATTTTTGCATGTGCTTCCCAAGTAGGGTCCAATTCGGGATACACGCGCTCCACAATGTCCACGACGGCCTGAAAGACGATCTTTAATCTTGAAAGTTAGCAAGCCTGACAGGTCAGAATTCGAGTTTGCGCATACGTTGTAACCATCACTGGTTAGATGCAGCCCATCGCTGAGGTATTTTTCGCATGCCTCTTCACTTCTACCAGCGGCATCGAATATCTTTGTCCAAACGTCTGCGACGGGCACATTCTCTTTCTCACCTACTTCCTTGACAGCTTCCGCGTACGACCTCGTAGTCTCGAATACACGTGGACTGTCAGGTCTGTCCCATTGCTTCGTATTTACTGGCGGTGGAGTGATCAAGATTATACGGGTCTCAGGGGAATAGTATGCTGAAGCTGGCGATTTCACCATTTGAATGATATGGCTTAAATTTGTTTTGTATCTGTCTATCGGGACGTGCTGTGGGCTGGGAGCAGGTGCAGCGTCATTGGCGCCGTACCAAATTGTGAGTAGCTTGACCTGCGGAACGTGATGTTGCTCATGCTGTTTGGCAAAGATCTACAAATACATTCAGCACGATTTATAAAATGACAACATTGGATTTCACCTGCTCGCAAACCGGAATTGCCCAGTCCGTTTGATAACCCCCGAGGCCACGATTGATAACATCGAGCTTCCGAACGTACATTTCTATAGCTCGCAGCCTCAGATTCAAGTTCATACCAGATGTTTGTTATATGCATACCTGCAAGTAACTGTGCGAAGCCTCCTTTATCCCATCCCTGTTGAGTAAGGGAGTCACCGACGAGCATGACAACATCTTGTATATTGGCGGCCATATCTATCTAGATCTATCTTCGCCTTTCGAGGTCACCAACCGATCAGTATTTGATAGATATCCAAAGACAGTAGACATTTACCTGTGTCGCCCACCCAATCGCTCTATTGGCTTGAAATGAAGGGGTATCAGGCTGTATCATGATATGATCTTATAAACGCATCCTTGTATGCTACGGCATTCCGCATTGGGAGTCATGTGGTTTATGCCAAACTTAGTATGAAAACCATTGATCCAGCTTCAATTCTCAAATCACCACATAGCCAGTTCAACTGTAGGTCTTATGGCCCAGCCTATATTGCTTCGTGTCTCAAATTTCAAAGCCTACGTGTGGGATGTTGACGGTAGGTCATTATCGTAATCTACATTCACACTTATAATCTTGCACGAGCAGATATCAACATCCTACGATCACATCATCATATATGTGGTATCCTCACCGGGACTCTTCCACACCTGTCTTCGCAGAATATATTTTTGGGATTACCTCTTCAGCTGATGCCGGAGGAGGCTGTACTCCTCGTCGAAAATGGTCAGTCGTCTTTAAATTTATGCACCCTATTCACTAGCGGCAATCATGTGTCCAGAAATTGCCGTGTTAGTGGACGATCCCAGCGCCCATTACGCCCCGTCTCCGTCAACCCTGAAACTATGGAAAGAAGCGCGCCTCAACGATGCAAGGCAACAAATAGCTCTGACGGAAGAGAAAGGGTCCATCGAAGCTTCTAACCCTGACCGTGCCATGTCTGAAAATGCCAAGCGCAAGCGCAAAGAACGAGAAGAGCGTCGCGCACGTGAGAAGACCAATGCCGCTCCCAGAGTTCCTGTGGAAGATAGTCCATCTCCTCATCGTACATCTGAAAATCCATCACAGGCTGCCATCGGAGAACCCCTGGATAGCACTATCGTGATGCCCTCCGGATCTTACACCGTCAACATTCCTGCATCTTCATCCAAGTTGGAATGGTACGCGCCACACTCCGACGTGTCCTTAACTATCGCACGCGAAGCCGGCATATGGCTCTATCCCTCGACCCTGCAAGAGCGCGCACGCTGCGGCGTCTTTCGCGACTTGTGGGAGAAAGGGTACTACATGGGAGGGGGGATTAAATTTGGTGGCGAGTACCTGGTTTACCCTGGTATGTTCCTTTCTATTTGAGGATCTTCCCGCTCCGCCACCCACGCCTGTCCTCGAAAGCGTGTATATCTGAAATATGTGCTAACCTGCGCGATTTGTCTTATCAGGTGACCCCCTCCGTTATCATTCTCATTTTGTCGCATCGGTCATCGAGGCTCCGGATGCCGCCCTGCGCCCAATGGAAATTGTTGCTCATGGCCGTCTTGGCACAGGAACAAAGAAGGCGCATTTGCTGTGTGAATGGAATGATGAAACACAAGTTGTATCATATTTATCTGTCGAATGGGCAGGATTTGGCTGAAAACTGAATAGCATATAGAAGCAACTGTGCCTCATCTCAAAACTTCAGAATCATGTTCCTTTCGCCCCACTGATTTCATCATTATTGTCAAATGGGTATAAATTCTATTGAAATATAGGTTCGTGAAAGTTGCATACGATGTTAGCTAATGGCATATGAGTCGAAGTTGCCTGTGAGATCATGACCATAAAATCCGTCAATCCTTCTTTCGTCTCCCAGAGATAGGCGCCTTTCCATTACTCGGTAGTCTGTCTCCAAGGCTCCTTGCTTGAACAGCGGGGGGAGGCCCTCTCACTGTGCGACCGATGTTCCTTAATTCAACACCTGTCCCTTCTTCTACCTGTTCAGTAGTGTCACTTGTCGTTCTCCGGTGTCGAACACCGGCGCTGCCACCCACACTCAGCACTCTGACGATGAGATCATTCAGCCAAATGACGATGGTAAAGACCGGCATCCTAATGGGAATGAGAGGCGAGGGAAACCGCACAGTATTCGTAGACTCCGTGGAGGGTGCAGGATTGTAAGGATCCTGCGGAACGGGCCGTGCATGCATGGCCATGATGATGAACTGAATATCGATAAAAATCAGTAACAGAACTATAGGAAGGAAGGAATCCATATTATGAGACATACGGCAGGGAACATGAGTGCGAAAAATGCAGCATTCGCCAGTCCACTTCCGCACGTGCAGATCACAGCGGATGGAAAACCAAATGCGAAGTAGTATGCCCATCGTTCTTCTAGATAACGCACTCTTTGGGCCAAGGACGAATTACGCGCCACCCAGACAAACCTGAGGTACCCGTATTTCAGTGAGAGCGGCCACCTTTGGGCCATGGCAACTTACTCAAAGCAATAATATCTAAAGGAAAGTTAGAAGTGCCTCTTATCATCCAGCAGCTGATACACTGACGCATTAACCCAGCACATGAATGCAAAACTAATCCACGATCCAACAAATGGTATTGATCCCAAAGCCAACGACACGATGACAGAAGTAAGAATCATTACAGCACGGTATGCAGACGTCGCGAGCATAGTCAGCATACCGTGATAAGTAACTGGCTGCTGATGTGCTGCACGGTTCCCGTGCTGAAGAACAAAGGACCGTTTCGCGATAAGATTGCACCAGGAACTCTGAATGGAAGAAGTTGGTAAAATGATTGTGGTTCATTTCTGGCTGAAGTAAGTGCCTAAGATCAGGCTGTGGACTTACATTAAGATAGTAAGATACTCCGACAACTGGGAACAGCCAAAGGACGCGATAAAACCATCCAACATTGCGGTGAAGCCAGCTTGGGTGGTTATGCACGAGAGGTTGTAGAAGCAAGTCGAACGCGTAGATAGAGGTCAAGGACAACGAATTGAGTAGTAAGGACTTGAGAATATTTGAACGAATTTCACGATCGCTGTGAGGTTTCCAAGGAATTGTGTGTAGGATGGCAAAATACAGAGACAATAAGTGAATGGAAGGTACCTTGTAGCAGTCTTCACAACAACATCCCACCGAAAGGCTTCAAGGATACCCCTGGATGCCCATGTTAATTGCAGCTTGATCGTTTCCTGTAAAGAGAGAAATGTAGGATAAGCCGAGCGTGATAGCTGATGCTGGTGCGAGTAAGAATACGGCGATTGCATGCTACTTGACTGTCTGGACATGTCCCTCCTCGAAGTCGCGCTGTGACTGCTTGTGGCAAGCGTGAAACAACCAATTTGGTAACAAAAGTCGGAGTCTTTACTGGTATACCGGTAAATGTGCGGTCGGTCATGTACATACATCAAATGCGGATAGGCTCTCTTCCACGTCGCACCCCTAGATCTGTACCACGACCCTAATTTTTCAAATCTTAGCTTACTGTGGAACGTTGCAATAGGTTCAAATCAAGATAATCACGACAACAGGCCCACACGAAAATTGATGATTTGGTAATCGAGAGGCGGGCAGGTAGTAGGACCCAATAAATTACAATACAAATCAAATACGAGAAATAAGAAATGTGCAATCAGAGGCGTGAGGGAAAGTGCATGGAGTAGGTAGCGTAGCCATAGACTAGGTTCTACACCTTAGTGTACCGTGAGATCAGGAGAACAAGTATATCATCGATGGCGGATGGGGAGTCACCTATTTCTTGGCGGTCTGGATAAATAAGTAAGTCAAGTCACAACAATCACAGCGCATTTGAGTTAGGTGCATACCTTCTTCTTGTTCGTTGTCGAGGCGGTTGCTTTGGCTGCGGGTTTCTTTACATTGGTCTTCTTGGTGGCTGCAGTCTTTGCTTTCGCAGGCGCGCTCGTTCCAGTCACAGCCTAGAAACATTGAAAGTGAGCGGCTCACGAAATGCGCAAAATACTAGTGATCCGACCTTCTTCACGGTGCCACGCTTAGATGCTGAGGTAACCTTCTTGATAGGGGTAGGTTTCTTGCCTGCCATCGTCTTTTTTGCAGGAACTGCCTTTGCCTTAGTGGAAGTTGATGATTTCGTCGCTGAAGACTTGGTGGCAGTTTGAGTGGCAGGTTTCTTGGCGGCGGCGGCCTTGACAGTTGGTGCGGCCTTCGCTTTCACAGCTGGCTTCTTGGCCGTGCTAGACTTTGCGGTGGTAGCCTTCGTAGTGGCAGTCTTGGCGGGACGTGCCTTGGCGGCTGCCTTAGTAGCCGCCTTGGGTGCAGCCTTCGCGGGCTTGTTCTACTCTCACTACATCAATCACCATATCACGTGTTCGAGTCAGTAGGTGCACGGACCTCCTTGGATGCTGAAGTGTCAGTGGCCCTCGAGGTCTTTGGAGGCAATTTCACCCGACCAGAGGGTCCTATGCAGTAGTCATCAGTACGGGACTGTGAGAGACCTACGTAATAATTTTCTTACCCTTGGGGAGGACAAAAGTCCCCTTGTCGGCGCCAGTGGCGATGGCCTTGCTCAAATGATTCAGTTGAGCGTTGTCCATGGTGAGGTTGTATTTTTCCTCAACAAATCTATGAGATTATAAGCATCCCTCGGTCTAGTAGGAATAGCCAAACACACTTCTTGATCTGGGGACGGGAGACGCCAGCGCGAGCGTCATCAGGATTGGCAGTAATGCACTCCTATTTAGTAATGTATCATGTTAGAAAAGTTGTTCTATGCCTTCTAGCATCCTACACGATGTAAAAATGTATGACCCGAGGTCCCTGAAGTGATTAGGAGAGAAAAAATGTATGTCACCCGCAGTTGCATATCCCCCCCCCTGGGACCTGCCTTTTATAGTACCCCCTGGGTGCAGATGCCTCACCCTTTCTATGGTGCTCGACATCGGACGAAGGAGATGTATAGGAAGGAATCAAGCACGCTAGAATATTGACTGACTGACCTTGATCATATCTACCCAAGATGGGTGGGTGGGAGAGGCCCTGCTCTTCTTAGCAGCCGATTTCGTAGTAGATTTCCTTGCAGACATATTGCGAGCGATTGCAGTAAGTGCTGTCAGTGTTGTTCTTGCTGTCTGTGCTAATTGCAATGCTCAGAAGGGACCAGAGTAACCGGCGGAAACAAATGGATTGGAGATGGTAGTGGTTTGAGAGAGGGATGTGTTGAAACTCCGAGGGCGCGTTGAGCAGTCAACAAACTCAATTCGCGCGAGTCACGTGAGTCAATATTTGAGATAGGTTTATCGATCCTATTTACTCTGCATAGAGGGTGTTACTAGGTCGCCATTTTGCCTGGTGAGTGAATTTGGGTACGGTGGGGGATTTGTCTTTGAAAAAAGCAGAAAATGCAACACACAGGCGTTCAGTACATATTGATCCTTGAAAATGGCAGTTATACTCAAGAGACTGCACATATATTCACTTCGTACGCGCTGGAGCACGCGCATTAAACTGCTGCTTTCTGCAGGACTTCAATTTTTCATTTATTGGTCGGTTGGACGATTTATGGGGTAGGGAGGAAGAAGACATGTTTCTTCGTATGAGCCAGAACGCGACGCGTCCAAAAAAGGAGCGCGTCTTACGCCCTAATCGCTGCTCGGTCCCCTTTTGGAATGTGTGTTGATCGACGTCGGAACTTGCCGGTAGGTTAAAAGTATCGAGTAGGCTTACGATACTAGCATCCAACCAAATGTCTGTTACGCCAGCCCTCAGAGCAGCTGCGCGCTCGGCATACCGTGACCTACTACGAGCTTCAGCTGCTACTTTTCATGGTAAGTAATTCTGTACCTCCCTCCATGAACTATTTTACCTTGATTTGTAGGAGACGAGCCCATACAAAGAGGTTTGTACACACTCAATGTCAATGACTCCCCAACTTAGGAATACAATTCAGCATTCCGACACAACATGCGAACAGAAGCATTGTATTTGGACAGCTCCGCACAATATGACGTGAAACTGGTCGAAGAGAAAATCCAACTTGCCTGTGAGCTTGCGACCATGCTACGCAGAAATGTTGTGCAAGCTCGCAGAACACAAAACCAAGACGGAGATGATGCTTGGAGTATGTAATCGATTGGACCCATCTTGAGTCACTAAATCGTGTTTTAGACCTTCGGTTCACGAAGGACACTGAACTCGGTGAAAACGAGAGTATTAAGAATCCACCACCCATGCCTTCCAGCAGACAAGCACGGAGATTAGAGAAGGGCGGGCAAAGGTTTATCTTATCACCAAAAAATGTGCAGTGGGTCACTAAGCTAACCTATAGTGTAGAAACTGTTGCTCAGCCTAGCCCCAATTTGCCGCGCAATTTTTCCGCTCTCAGGAGGGCTCACAAAGATCGGGAGATTCCGGAGTTGCGTGAAGAGGATATCGAGGAATCATTCGTTAGAGGTGGGTGTGAAATCAAACGCGAACTGGATTGAGTTAATTGGGGTATTTACTGATCTATGATCAAGGCAGTGGTCCTGGTGGACAGTCTATCAATAAGACTCAGAATAATGTTCAACTTCTTCATAAACCCACTGGTTTTCGTGTAGCATGTCAGGAAACTCGATCACTCCAAACAAATCGCATGCTCGCCAGACGGTGGCTCCTGCAAAAGGCGTGTGTCTCTAAACATCTTGTTACGCCTACATATACAGGCTAACTAACTCATTGTTCCTATCAAACACCGGCACCTGCGATTGAATTCATTTAGCTAGATAAACTACACAACCCTGGTCTATCAAAGGGTGAACTACAACGCGCGAAGCAACAGGAAAGAGAACGCCAACGACGGAAGAAGTCGAAGAAGAAGGCGAGCGCACGAGCACAAGAGAAGCATTGCCTGGAAAGTGATGAACCCTAATACTAGGGCTAGGGTGCGCCATACATATGATGAAGTGACTGCTGCTAGATCTGTCCAAGCGCTCCCTGGTACTAGGAACTGGGATTTAGCAGCTACATAGAGTGCTATCACAACCACCAGTTAACAGGACACTAAGAAAATACTGCACCGCTGTTACGACCGATCATCGGTCGCGGTATTTGCTGCGACGTTTTAGATGTTACTATGTACTACTGAGTATGTCGCAGTACCTTGTCGCGGTCGTCGCGGGCACAATGTCGCAATATAAGTTCGCAATGACTACGATAGATACCATGCACATATATCAGTCAACTTGAAATGTTGGTACTTTTTCGATATCACCAACTCAAGCTGGTCTTTTGTTATCGATGGCTTGAGTGATTTGTGTCGTCCCGCGTCAGATATTAATGTCATTCAGCGTTCCCTTGATCCTCGAAATTATCCACCGATAGCCACTCGCCAGGACCTCAGGCCTCCGAGTCAGAAGCGACAGGCAACAAAATCCCATCGAGGACCGAGAGAGCGAAGAAATGTGGCACTGACCGTCTTGAGATGATGCCCGCGACTGCAGTCACTCGTTTGGAAAAAAAGAAAATAACATTGTATGGGGAGAAATCAGACTATATACAATGTAACATGGAAGATTGTTTAGCGACAAGGAAGTGCCACAGTCGAACAAAACATGGGAGACCTGACTTTGCAGCAGTACTAAATGCGGCGGCGCTGCGGAATAGTCCGGTGTGAACAGTCCTCTCAGCAACCTGAGCTCCCAGTATACCTCTCACCATATTACGCATCTTACCTACCTGCAAGGCTATAGTTGGCCTCCCGAAGACTTTCTTGTATCTGGAACTTACTAGTGTCGAGAGAATTTAATTTTTGTCGATATGTCATCTTCTGCTCAAGGGCTTTACTCACTGGCCACTCTCATCAAACGGTGTGCATCGTTAATGTGTAGAAGCCAGTTCTACGGGAGCTGACATCAATGGGTAATTAGGCTTGAAGCAATCACATCGCGTCTCGAAGACGTAGAAGATTCCAGGAGTGCAGGACATCTCAAACGACAGAGTACCAGCACTGTTACTAGCGCAGCGGTTGCTGAAACTCTATCGGCTTCGGCATCCCCGCCGCCACCACCTGCGATTGAGGCGCCAGTAGCAGTGCCACGGGCAGTCACCGCATACGATGAGATTGTTGTAGAGGGGAAGCTTAAACCCTTTCTGGAGATCAATCAAGCCATTGCGCCTCCTCCACTAAATGAGCAGGTCAATATTATGCTTTCGCGATTTTTGTTACACTTTACACTGAAGATATGCATCTCTCAGGTTGTTCTATTTGCCAAAGTACTTGCTACCCTGCGGTCTGTACTTCACCAGGCGGCAACATGCAGAAAGCCCGACCAGAAGGCATTAGCCGAAATCCTTTCGCCACTCCAAGCAAGCATTGAAGCCGTGACTCGTGCTAAAGAGGCTGCCAGAAAGGAGCGGGACTGGTTCAATCACTTCACTGTCATCGCAGATGGAACTGCTTTTGTCGGATGGGTCACTGTGGTATGATCTTGACGGGTCAACATACCTTTTGAATGACAACGGCCTGCAGGAACCCAAACCGGGACCATACGTGAATGAGATCAAGGAAAGTACCGCGTACTATGCGAACAGGATACTCAAGGATTTCAAAGAAAAGTACGACCGACATCTTATTGGAATGGTCTGAGTTGACGTCCATTCTAGGGACCCAAGGCACGCGGAGTGGGTTCGCGCATTCAATGGGGTTCTTGATGGAATGAAGCGCTATGTTGTGGAATTGCACACCACTGGTCTTGTTTGGAACGCCAGCGTGAGTATCTGTTTATTATTGAATTACAAACTATCATAGACCACTTCCTGCAGGGTATCCCGGTTTCAGAGTACAAATCGTCCCGTTCACAGCCAGTCAGTGGTCCGCCGCCGCCACCACCTCCACCACCTCCACCTCACGCAGGATCAACATCCCCCCCGACAGCATCTGCTGGTGGGGTTGCTGCTGTGTTTGCGGACTTGAATCGCGGCGCGGACGTAACAAGGGGGCTACGTAAAGTCGACAAAAGCGAGATGACGCACAAGAATCCTGCCCTGCGGGCTGGAAACGTCGTCCCTGCAAGTAGCGGCGCGGGCGAGTTATCTTGCGCTTCTTACATCAAATTGTTCTTATTATGCGAATAGGTGCTAAGAAACCCGTTAAACCAACCAAACCCCAGGCTTTGATGGGAAAGAAGCCTGCCAAATTTGCACTGGAGGGCAATAAATGGATCATTGTAAGCATCTCGTTTCAAATGAAGTAACTCGTCTGATGAGTTATGCAGGAATATCAAGAAAATGAATCCGCTTTGGAGGTCGCCAATGCAGATATTACCCAAGTGATCAACCTCTTTGCTTGCAAGAACACGACTGTCATCATCAAGGGGAAGGTCAACGCCGTCACCTTGGGTCAGTGTCTGCTGGTTTGATCCAACAGTATTTTTACTCAAAAGTCTATGACAGTTAATTGCACGAAGACCTCCGTACTAGTCGAATCTGTGGTTTCTTCTGTCTCTATCACGAAGTCTCCATCGTTTGCCCTGCAAATTACAGGGGTGGCACCTACTATCCAGATTGACTCGACAGACTCTGGGCAGATTTATCTCTCGAAGCAGTGTCTTGGTGTAGAGATTACTACAGCGAAATGCAGTGCAGTCAATGTCAGCTTACCAGTCGAAGGAGAGGAAGATGGTGTTTTTGAAGAGCAGGCCGTGCCCGAGATGCTGAAGACAGTGGTACAGAATGGCAAATTGGTCACAACAATTGTGGAACACGCCGGCTAACATACAGATTACTCATATCTCTACCTACCTATAGCTAACTGTGTGCAATTGCAATTAATTTCCGAGACTATATAGAATACGGGTTCACAGAAGTTGACACTAAAGAGACTAGTAGAGTAGGTACTAGGTATCCAGTACTGCCATGACGTTAGCCTGGCACTGCCATGTCACGGTGTGTTCAAATCCATACGTCTAGCATTGGTACAATCACCCGCCACCAAACGACCTGACTCTCGCGTAGCATGGACACCGTGGGCTGGCGTGCTCAACGCAGAGCCCGTAAGGTGAGTAATAGTTCATGCCCTAGAAGCGATTTATACAAGAATCTGGCGCTACACAGGAAGCGCATCATTTTTCTGAGATTCAGAGAGGGCCAGACGGGAGATATCTACCTGTAGAAGAGATTGATCCACTTCCTGATGCGAGCGGGCGTGCTCATGCTGGTAGCTTTGGTATACCACGCTCGTCATCCCCGACTCCTGGTGCACTGCCTGTTCCCCCAAAATATTTCACCGACAAGCCTGTCCAAAATGCTTCTGCTAGTCATTCTATTGAGCAGTTGGCATCTGGTAGCTCCGGCGTCTCCTTGGCCTACATGCCTGCAGTGGAACGCTCTAGAGCACAGAGGCTTCCCAGAATGGAACCCCACCTTCAGTTGATGGTCGGGCCCCTTTTGCGATACGACACAGTTGACGAAAATGGTCTTTGGCGAGGTGCAGCTCTTATCGTCAGTAAGTTTTCACTTGCGCCTGTGACAGGTCAATCAAGCATTTTAACTACATCATTTTTAGCCGCAGATTCAGGATCATTCTATGAACCATTTCCAGTCTTAACATATCAGTGGGACCCTGAGGAGATTGCCCGACCTTCTCCGAGCATGCAGGGTTCTTATGACCTTGGCCCACACCCCGCGGATCCTCACGCTACTGCAATGGCTGGACCATCAGCTCAGTTGCCTGACATGAACGAGGCATACTTCGGTGACTACAAGGGAAAAGGAAACACGAGGGACGATCAGACTCAGCATGTGACCGGTCAGGAGATTTACGTCTATTCAGGGAATGGTGGGTGAGTGCAACCGACTAATACAATATTAAGGGATCTTTGAACCCAGACATATATATATCAGCACTTTTACGTTTTGGCGTTTCCCAATCCAGATACAACTTGGAATCAATGAAATCTGCATCAAGTATCGCATCAATGGTGGCATGCAATTGGCCTTCTTCGTGCCTGCCCATCATCAAAACATGCGGTGGGCAGCCCACTCGGTAATGTTAACACAACCTGTTCGCTGCATATTTTCTTATTTCTTCTTAGTGTAATGGTTTCAGCGCTGGTGTGAATCCGGACGACTTCAGAGGACCAGGGTTCAAGAGTGGTTATGACCCTATGTGGATTGATCTTTTGCAGAAGCATGTCGAACGACCATTTCATGTCCTCGTGGGAGGAGGCGATCAGCTATACTGCGACCGGTATGCGTCTATGCACCTCTGCCGTCCTAAATAGTCACGCTTCTTTGCTAGGTTGACTCGAGAGCCCGAAATACAAGAGTGGATTTTAGCAAAGCCTTCCACGAAGAAAAATTTCCCTTTGACTGGTGAAATTGTCTCATGCGTTGATCGTTTCTTCTTCAATCACTACTGCAGCTCCTTCAGGATGGGGGCGTTTGCGAGGGCGAACAGCTCGATGTGCGTAAGCCAGATAATCATATATACCCCCTGTTACTCACTATCAATTTCTCCTGTCCTTGAAGTCCAATGTTGAATATGTGTGGTAAAATATGCGAATTTGATATCAATGATAACATACTCATGTGGCATCTGCAGATGACCACGGTAAGCCAGTGATGTATGCAACGGTCACTTTTTGACCAATGCACATTTATAGATTTGGTGCGTACTATTACGCTCTATTTCCTTGTCACTGATCAATCTCGCGCGTTTCAAGATCGACGGGTTCGGGAGTTGTACGTGACTTAAAGCTTGTTAATCGATCCTCGATCATGACCCTGTTGTCCTACAGATCCTGAAGAGCTTCAACACTCTCCCGTGTTCAAGCAGTGAGTAGCTTTCCTATATCGGAAGAATCACTCGTTCATGACATCTTTAGTATCGGAGTGCGAGGCTACTTTTTCTATTTGCTTTTTCAATGCTTTATCAATCGTGCGTCGCGGATTGGAATAGATCTCTCATAGACTGACCTCATCGCCGTAGCTCTGCATGATCACTTGGATGATAGAGCAGGGAAGCACATGTTCAAGTCACTTATTTTGGGGGCTCAAGGTCCCTATGTTGGTTTACCATCACATTCATTTTTGTCTTACCTGGGGCCCGATGTACACATTCTGATGCTGGACTGTCGGTAAGTGATTACTACATCACAGTCTGGAGGCATATATGCTAATGCATGACCGCCACAAGCGCGGAGAGAAAAAGGAACCAGGTCTGCAGCGAGTTCGAGTACCAAAAGGCTTTCGAACGAATCAGGTATTTACCTTCGGACGTAAAACATCTCGTTGTGCAACTTGGTGCGGCCTTCAATGAGATCACGGCATCACTTTTGTTTCATATTGATCCACAGGCATCCCTATTGCATATCCGCGAATGGTTTTCCTGGAAGCTGCACTAGACTCCAAGTTGAATCCTTTGATTGCCCTTGGACGCAGCGGAACCGCAGCATTCAGTAGTTTTGTGAACAAATTCAACGCGGACGCTGAGTTGCTGGATGATTTGGTATGCCATTTTCTCACGACGCGGTGTTATTAATGTAGCTGATAGTCTGGGCAGAATGACCACTGGACCGCGAAGTGTCACAAGGTTCGAAAACAATGTCATGTGTAGCTCCAACTTAACAAAGATATGCCTTCCAGAAAGAGCGCAACTGGTTCATTCAACAGATGCAAGGAATAGCAAGGATGAAAAGTTTGCGTATTTCGTTTCTTTCTGGCGACGTACACTGCGCAGCTGTAGGGGTTCTTAAGACGCTGGTCCGCAGCAACGGAGGAAAGAACAACCGGACGATAGATGTTCCGCCTGAAACCGATTATAGATACATGATCAACGTGGTGACAAGTATGTTCTGTCTACTCCCTCTTAAACTCCGAGCTTCAATCCTGTTTCAGGTGCAATCGTCAACACACCGTAAGTGATGCTGCCATCTATTGTATGTGATGAAGCGTGTTGAGCCAGTTGAAGGCCTCCGAATGGAGTGATCGCTATGGTATCTACTTTGGCGACTAAGACTCACAGGACGCTGCATCATGCGGAAACTGATGAAGCCATGGTGTGTCTCGAATCCTAGAAATGATTTGCAGCAATTTCACGCGATAATTCCCGTAGCTTCCTATTTTCACGAAGGAACCAAATGGCAACCATCGCCTCCAAAACAAGTATATAATGGGACGACGGAATTGGTGTGCGGTCTCGTGCGATCCTGAGACACAGGAGTTGGAGTTCGACATCCGCGTCGAGATGGAGAAAGGGGTCGGCGTCAGCTTTGGGTAAGCGTATAATCTGTTCTGGTGTGTATTGGAAATATTCACCATCGCGACACCTTAGATATCCAGTCCGAAGTCCTCCCCCCAAGTGGTTTCCTGGAACGTGACACTTGTGTTTTTTATGACCCCGTCTTGTACTGATTGTTTCTTACCTGGACTGTATCATTAATTTATAATCTCCTCGATCTGTTTTATTTTTAATAAAGTCGCGGTATAATACGCACAATATTCCTACAGTGCCTGCGACTTCCCAAGCACGAACGAGAGACTCATTAGGTGATTCTGAAGAACCGAAATTGGCGGGGAATGACAACTTGAAACACTGCATCGGATGTGCATATATATCGAACTTACTACTCCTCCTGCCGGTGACATGTCAAGCTTAAGACTAGCGGCAATTCCTAATTTATCCATACAAAGCTGGCACTGAAACACAGATTGGCCGATGTGCCGATGCCGCGCATCTGAGTGACTACTCCTCGTCACGCCAGGTCCGAGTCGTGCTCAGGAAAGCAACGTATATCAACTTTACGCCAGCCGCGGGTCCATCTTCTGCGACGCTTCAGTAGCACGCCTCTGCGCCTTCAACTCGCACATCCATCAAGTTCACCCAGTGAAAGATATCCTCTCACAAGACTGGGTAGAAACAATTCAAGCATGAGCGAGACAGACGTTAACCCTGTTCTCGACCGTGCAAGGGAACAGCACAAGTGTAAAAAGAAAAATCTCGGTGACGATGAGCATGAGGATGATAAACGCAGTGTGTCAATTCCCTTTACCACCCCATGTTGGTTTTTAGCGTCTCATTATAATACATATCAAAGTATCACCACCATTCTCGCTATCACGAGAAGGCAACTCACCTATCCAAATCAGACCTCTTGTCTCAACTTCAGCTGCCTCGTTCTATTCTGTCCCAGACTGTCCATTAAAGTCATTTGGGTCTGAGGGCGAAGAACAGACAATGCCCTCTTCCAGTCATGAAACGCCACCGCTGACCAGTTCCGCCTCTCAGGATGGTCCTGAGGTAGAGACACACCAAGCAGATGTTACTCCCGTGCGACTGGATGAGGATAGTTTCGCTCATCTGAACTACACCGCGATGAAGATTCCAAGACCTCCCGGAGCGTGGACTGCCGCTACGCCTGTCCTACTCAAACACGATCCGAAGGTGACATTGCCACCTCCAGTCTCCTCTGGATTGATTCTGACTCCATCATCAACATTACGGACGTCTCTGTCTCGAGCTAACTCTAGACTCGAGCGACGCTCAAAGCCTGAGGCCCCGGCAGGTAATGGCCTCTTCACGCCAGTACATCCTGTGCCACGTACTGAAACTCTTCATGTGCGCACCCCAGCACCCCCAGGCGCGACCACAACTCAGATTTGGTCTAACGGGCCATCCAACTCTGGTTCTATCAGAACAAAAAAGAATATTCTCAAAGTGCGCTTTGATGTAACGGATTCAGAGGCGTCAACTGTTGAAGTTGAACAGCAAGTACCACCTGTAACCGACATGCGCATACCTGCGCCCGACTCTCTACCCAATGGTCATGCATCACGGTCGTGGAACATCCTCCAAACAAGAATTAACATTAACCGTTCTTCTCAAGGTGAATCCGTAGACGATTCGGTGTTAGCTAGGCCTGTAACTCCTGAACGCCACATGATACCCGCTTCTCGTACCAACGCACCATCATCACGTCCACATAGAAGAGCCTTCAGCGTGAAGCTCGTGGATGCATTCGGTCGAGAAAGGATTGACGAACTTCCTATACCGATTGTGAACGGGCGTGCAGACGCGGAAGACGTAATCCGTGCTTTGCCATCAGCTAAAACTCGTACTCCTCGTGTCTCAAGCAAAAATAAAATTTGCGTTATCGATGCAACGGGGGAGAAAGTTCATGAAGATGTCCCTGAACGCTCATCAGTCCTACATCGTGATCCACCTATTTGTCGCACTGCGGCCCTAGCTCAAATACGGCAAACGCTCCAAGAATGGGCTAGTGGGCTGAGTGATGAAGATAGGTAATATTGTAAGCGTGAGGCTTCGCAAACAAAGGCTGATTGATAGGAACTGTAGACCTCCTGATAATCTCGCATTGAAGCCGAGCTACTCAAAAGAACTCGAAGAACGTTCAAGGGCAGCGCGGCGTTCTCGGAATCAATTGGCTCGGACCCTTCGTATCGAATCGGTGAAAGAGTGTGAGCGTGACTTGATGCACAAATATACCAAGGGAGCCGAAGACCGAAGCGGGCTTTTGGTAAGACAAAGACATTTGATATGATCCCATCTTATCATTCTCGCAACTAGCCGACTATCACTGGTGAAAATAGTTATTTCCATCGCCGTGATCTGGTTTGGGTGGGAGTTCTGTTACAGATCGTGTTCGTCCTTGCCATGTGGCGGTGGGTTTCTCCATTTCATATGGAAGTTTCCTCACTGATCTGAGGAATGTCTGCATAGGTTTGCACACGTCCAAGCTGGCCATCTCTTTTGCGCCACCTATTATGATCCTCTATATCCAGGCTTGACCCCTCGCATCGGTGGACGTACTTAGGAGAGGTGGGCTGAACGCCCTACATATGCAGAAACATGGCCACCTACATGATTGTGTCGTCAACGTCACTTAGACTACCTCGTGATGCTTGCAGCTCTGGGAGTACTTTCCCACTCTGGACATCAGAGTGGATTGCTTTTGCGCCATGCAACACAATCTATTTGTGGAAAAGGGGTTGGTTTGAAATCTGCGAGTTCGTAGCATTGCTCTCCACCGCTGGTTCATTGAAATCTGATTTGTGAACTACTTTGCCAGCCACTGCGTCCCCTGAGTCCCATATCCCGCTTGGTTTCATCCTAATCGCAACTTGGACAGTTGGATTGTGTTGAAAATTTTTATACGCGACAACCCGCCAAGGTTCCACACCCTCTAACGTGGCTCAGTGACGACCATTTCGGACCAATTCAAAGTATATTGCGCTCTCGCGAGCCAAGAAGGTCACTGCCTCTGCATGTTTCACATTTACTCTCGTCCTTCACCTGCTATCTGATTACCCATGTAAAGTTATATACATCAATATATACTACAGTAGATCTTCTAGGTCAATGTCCATGACGGAAGAACTATTATTTTGCGTCCGTGATTTGCGGTAAGGGCTTGCGGCATCCCTGAACACTTCGTCGTCATCGTCGTCATCGTCATCGTGATGATCGACGTCTGGCGCGAATCCATCGTGTTGCTCTTCTTCATCTCCCTCTACGACCTCAGAGTTGTACCCACTCTCCGCCTCTGGGACGTGATTGAAATCGCCACTTGACGCAGCTGTTGGTGCAGGGGAGTGTATCTGATCCATTCCACGCTCTATCGCTTGCGGTGTAGACGCGATCAAGACAGACGACCCGAGACGGTCATCACTGGGGGCTGCGGGTTCCGTCGTGGAGCCGTGGGCACTTACAACTGAAGATCCTCGCAGCTCTGCGTTTTTCTTTGCTCTCTTCCGAGCTTCAGTTTGCTGTCTACTTTTTTCCCTCTGTGCTTTCTTCTGTGCCTCGGTTTTCTCGACCTCTGTTCTTTTGGCCGCATCCAATGCAGCCTCTTCTTCTTCTTGATCGTCCAGATCCCACTGTTCCTTCATGAATTCCGGGTACCGCTCGCAAATAGGACGCCAAGTCTGAGTTTGATTTGCATTATGATCAGTGTCCTTGAGCACACTATCTATGTCAGGGGGAGGCGGAAAGTCGAAATTTGGGCCTGGATTCAAGCGCACGCGGGCATAGTTGAACAAGGAAATGAATGGGTAATACCCCAGTGTTCCGTCATCAAAAGGGTTTTCTTTATGTTCTCGAGGGGCTCCTTCACGCGCTCGTTTCTTGTCTTTTTCCTTCTTCCTCGACGCAGGCGTCGTGCGCAAAGGCAGGTAATCGAATAGGTCTTCGAACGCAATGCCTTGGCATTCACCATTGACGAAGAACGCAATGTAAGAGTCTGGCAAGGTTGGTAGAGGGCGGAGAATAGGGGCTTCTAATACCTGTCCAGGACGTACGCCTCGCTCTGGGAGGTTTTTTGTTGATGCAGCTTTCTTGTTTGAAGAGGCGGATGGGAGTGATGCCGTATTACTTGATTTATTGGAGAAGTCCATAAGAGCGGTCATCTCTTTGATCTGAGGATACTCGAGACTTTCGAAATACTCCTGGCCCTTGAACTCAATAGGGATGCGTTCACGTCGAATATGTGCGGGGTCGTGATTGTCACCGGGATCGGGTTTGCGTCGAGATGGAAGGGATATGTACATGCCAATAACATCCCCGCTACGGAAGGAACAACCATAAGGGCGAGGACGCGATAGATAGACCTTATCACCATTGTTGTCACGATAACCATACGAATATGCATCTAAGCCAACTGGACCATTCAAAGGTGCTTCTCGTCGCGCCCAGCCAAGTCGGACATGACTTCCCTGACGCATGTTAATATCTGGGGCATGAGTAGAGCGATCTCCTCCACCATCCTCGACGCGAACCTCCATATACCACTTGCCCTCACGGACGGGTGCATTACATCGCGCACTCCTGAACCCTCTTTCCCCAATTAACCCCATGCCATCAGGAGTGACCTTCACGAAGGAGCTGCGATCCTCCCAGCTAACTCTGTAGCTTGTGGGCAGACTTTCGATTGTTCGACATGGGAGGGCGGATCCAGGGGGCGAAACACCTGCTGGGACGTATCTGAAGGCCATACGGTTCATAGCAAGCTGTTCTGTGGTGTGATACGCTACAGAAGTATCCATGAATGTAGGGAACCGCGATATTGTAAGACGAGGACGAGAGAAAAAGTCATTTCGGGTGGGTAGAGCAACATTGGCTGCTATGCTTGGGTTGTTTGGATCATTGGGTGCAGGAGATGCTTCAGGATGGGACGCGACCTTGCGTTTCTTTGAAGGAACCAACAGAGGAGTGGATGGCCTTGAACCACTTGGTCCGTCTACTATGCTCGAGCTTGAGTCTGCAGCTACCATTGCTCGGCTGAAAGCAAGTTAAGTTGCAACAACAAAGTGTCTGTCCGGATTTGGTCGAGTTTGTCATTATTTCCGTTTCGGTCAAGTCACA